ATTTTTTCGATTTCCATCTCCCCTACGGGTTGGCACAGATATTTTTCTGTGTGTACGTATTGGTTATGAGGTGTTTAATGATCCTTCAAATAGTTGAAGATGACACGCGCCGTAATAATCGAGGAAATGATTTTTTTCGATTATTTTCGCGATTTCCATCTCCCCTACGGGTTGGCACAGATATTTTTCTGTGTGTACGTATTGGTTATGAGGTGTTTAATGATCCTTCGAATAGTTCAAGATGACACGCGCCATAATAATTGAGAAAATGATTTTTTTCTATTATTTTTGCGATTTCCATCTCCCCTACGGGTTGGCACAGATATTTTTCTGTGTGTACGTATCGGTGATGAGGTGTTGAATGATCTCTCGAATAGTTCAAGATGACAGGCGCTGTAATAATTTAGTAAATGAATTTTTTCGATTATTTTTGCGATTTCCATCTCCCCTACAAGTTGGCACAGATATTTTTCTATGTGTACGTATCGGTGATGGGGTGTTGATTCATCTCTCGAATAGTTCAAGATGACACGAGCCGTAATAATTGAGAAAATGATTTTTTTCTATTATTTTTGCGATTTCCATCTCCCCTACGGGTTGGCACAGATATTTTTCTGTGTGTACGTATTGGTTATGAGGTGTTTAATGATCCTTCAAATAGTTGAAGATGACACGCGCCGTAATAATTGAGAAAATGATTTTTTTCTATTATTTTTGCTATTTCCATCTCCCCTACGGGTTGGCACAGATATTTTTCTATGTGTACGTATCGGTGATGAGGTGTTGAATCATCTCTCGAATAGTTTAAGATGACACGCGCCGTAATAATTGAGAAAATGATATTTTTCTATTATTTTTGCGATTTCCATCTCCCCTACGGGTTGGCACAGATATTTTTCTGTGTGTACGTATCGGTGATGAGGTGTTGAATGATCCTTCAAATAGTTGAAGATGACACGCGCCGTAATAATCGAGGAAATGATTTTTTTCGATTATTTTCGCGATTTCCATCTCCCCTACGGGTAGGCACAGATATTTTTCTGTGTGTACGTATTGGTTATGAGGTGTTGAATCATCTCTCGAATAGTTCAAGATGACACGCGCCGTAATAATTGAGAAAATGATTTTTTTCTATTATTTTTGCGATTTCCATCTCCCCTACGGGTTGGCACAGATATTTTTTTATGTGTACGTATCGGTGATGAGGTGTTGAATGATCTCTCGAATAGTTCAAGATGACAACGCGCCGTTACAATTGAGGAAATTATGTTTTTCGATTATTTTTGCGATTTCCATCTCCCCTACGGGTTGGCACAGATATTTTTCTATGTGTACGTATCGGTGATGAGGTGTTGAATCCTCTCTCGAATAGTTCAAGATGACACGCGCCGTAATAATTGAGAAAATGATTTTTTTCTATTATTTTTGCGATTTCCATCTCCCCTACGGGTTGGCACAGATATTTTTCTGTGTGTACGTATCGGTGATGAGGTGTTGAATGATCTCTCGAATAGTTCAAGATGACACGCGCCGTTACAATTGAGGAAATTATGTTTTTCGATTATTTTTGCGATTTCCATCTCCCCTACGGGTTGGCACAGATATTTTTCTATGTGTACGTATCGGTGATGAGGTGTTGAATCCTCTCTCGAATAGTTCAAGATGACACGCGCCGTAATAATTGAGAAAATTATTTTTTTCTATTATTTTTGCGATTTCCATCTCCCCTACGGGTTGGCACAGATATTTTTCTGTGTGTACGTATCGGTGATGAGGTGTTGAATCCTCTCTCGAATAGTTCAAGATGACACGCGCCGTAATAATTGAGAAAATTATTTTTTTCTATTATTTTTGCGATTTCCATCTCCCCTACGGGTTGGCACAGATATTTTTCTGTGTGTACGTATCGGTGATGAGGTGTTGAATGATCTCTCGAATAGTTCAAGATGACACGCGCCGTAATAATTGAGAAAATGATTTTTTTCTATTATTTTTGCGATTTCCATCTCCCCTACGGGTTGGCACAGATATTTTTCTGTGTGTACGTATCGGTGATGAGGTGTTGAATGATCTCTCGAATAGTTCAAGATGACACGCGCCGTAATAATTGAGAAAATGATTTTTTTTTTATTATTTTTGCGATTTCCATCTCCCCTACGGGTTGGCACAGATATTTTTCTGTGTGTACGTATCGGTGATGAGGTGGAGAATGATCTCTCGAATAGTTGAAGATGACACGCGCCGTCATAATTTAGAAAATGCATTTTTTCGATTATTTTTTCGATTTCCATCTCCCCTACGGGTTGGCACAGATATTTTTCTGTGTGTACGTATTGGTTATGAGGTGTTTAATGATCCTTCAAATAGTTGAAGATGACACGCGCCGTAATAATCGAGGAAATGATTTTTTTCGATTATTTTCGCGATTTCCATCTCCCCTACGGGTTGGCACAGATATTTTTCTGTGTGTACGTATTGGTTATGAGGTGTTTAATGATCCTTCGAATAGTTCAAGATGACACGCGCCGTAATAATTGAGAAAATAAATTTTTTCGATTATTTTTGCGATTTCCATCTCCCCTACGGGTTGGCACAGATATTTTTCTGTGTGTACGTCTCGGTGATGAGGTGGAGAATGATCTCTCGAATAGTTGAAGATGACAAGCGCCGTCATAATTGAGAAAATGCATTTTTTCGATTATTTTTTCGATTTCCATCTCCCCTACGGGTTGGCACAGATATTTTTCTGTGTGTACGTATTGGTTATGAGGTGTTTAATGATCCATCAAATAGTTGAAGATGACACGCGCCGTAATAATCGAGGAAATGATTTTTTTCGATTATTTTCGCGATTTCCATCTCCCCTACGGGTTGGCACAGATATTTTTCTGTGTGTACGTAGTGGTTATGAGGTGTTTAATGATCCTCTTCGAATAGTTGAAGATGACACGCGCCGTAATAATTGAGAAAATGAATTTTTTCGATTATTTTTGCGATTTCCATCTCCCCTACGGGTTGGCACAGATATTTTCCTGTGTGTACGTATTGGTTATGAGGTGTTGAATCATCTCTCGAATAGTTCAAGATGACACGCGCCGTAATAATTGAGAAAATGATTTTTTTCTATTATTTTTGTGATTTCCATCTCCCCTACGGGTTGGCACAGATATTTTTCTATGTGTACGTATCGGTGATGAGGTGTTGAATCATCTCTCGAATAGTTCAAGATGACACGCGCCGTAATAATTGAGAAAATGATTTTTTTTCTATTATTTTTGCGATTTCCATCTCCCCTACGGGTTGGCACAGATATTTTTCTGTGTGTACGTATTGGTTATGAGGTGTTTAATGATCCTTCAAATAGTTGAAGATGCCACGAGCCGTAATAATCGAGGAAATGATTTTTTTCGATTATTTTTGCGATTTCCATCTCCCCTACGGGTTGGCACAGATATTTTTTTGTGTGTACCTAATGGTTATGAGGTGTTTAATGATCCTTCAAATAGTTGAAGATGACACGCGCCGTAATTTTATTGAGAAAATGATTTTTTTCTATTATTTTTGCGATTTCCATCTCTCCTACGGGTTGGCACAGATATTTTGCTGTGTGTACGTCTCGGTGATGAGGTGTTGAATGATCTCTCGAATAGTTCAAGATGACAGGCGCTGTAATAATTTAGTAAATGAATTTTTTCGATTTTCACCTCCCCTACGTCTTGGCACAGATATTTTTTGGTGTGTATGTATTGGTAATGATATATTCAATGACCTGTCAAATAGTTCAAGATAACACGCGCCATAATAATTGAGAAAATGATTTTTTTTATATTTTCGATCGAGATCTTCATCTCCTTTACGGGTTGGCACAGATATTTTTCTCTGTGTATGTATTGATAAGCATATGCTCAATGACCTGTGAAATAGTTCAAGATGGCACACTCCGTAATAATTGAGAAAATGTATTTTTTTTATCGCTTGGGGCGCACGAAAGGGAATCCCTATAATGTTCAAAGAACATCTTGCGTTCCTAGGGAGGATAGGGACAGGTAGGTATTGGAATTTTTGTGATTTCCATATCTCCCCTACCGGTTGGCACATATATTCTTCTGTGTGTACATATTGGTAATGAGGTGTTCAATAATTCTTTAAATAGTTCAAGATACACGCGCTGTAATAATTGGGGAAATATTTTTTTTTTACAATATTTTTTGAGATTTTCATCTGCCCTATGGGTTGGCACAGATATTTTTGTGTGTGTACGTATTGGTAATTAGGTGTTTAATGATATCCCAAATAGTTCAAGATGACAGGCACTGTATAATAATTGAGAAAATGATTTGTTTGAATATTTTTGATACTTTGATCTCCCCTATGGGTTGGCACAGATATTTTTCTCTGTGTACTTGTTGGTGAAGAGATGTTTAATGATCTTTGGAATAGTTCAAGATGACAGGCGTGGTAATAATTGAGAAAATAAATTTGTTGGAATATTTTTGTGATTTCCGTTTCCCCTACAGGTTGGCACAGATATTTTTCAGTGTTTATACCCATATTGGTAATCATATGTTTAATGACCTGTCAGAGTTTGAGATGTTTTATGTGCTGTAATAATTGATGTGTAAATGATTATTATATATCCTTCGAATTCACTCAATTTTGTTGCCAAATTCTGATATAAAGAGCTGATACACTATGTCTTGTATGTGTCCTGTTAGATTTTTCATAAATCAATACTTCAACAGTCTTAATGAAAGATCTAATGATATTTGTTAAACTTTGGCAACACCGCATGTGACCCACAGTGTATTCCAAATACAACTTTCTTCACGTCATAAAGTGTGGATGGAAATGTGTGGATAACTTCACTTCAATGAATCTAATTATAAAAAGCCAGACCTCAATGTCAGCTGGGGCATTATAATCATATCACCTAATTTCTTATACCCCTATAAGGTATGGACTAGGTAATGAGAAAAATACCAATCAATCACATGCATTACCTTGAATATATTCTACGTCCGGTGGAGTCAGTATAGGATCGTGAAATGTACCTCTCACTGTAACTGGAAGTCCTAGGATGGTAGGATGACCCGAAGAAAGGCCTATCCAGGGCTGACGAATTGAAGGCTGATCTGTAGGAACCGCTGAGCCCTGAGGCCGAGCTACGATGCGGGCTCAGAACGGGCATTTTGTGTTCGTAAATACTTATTTTATTTTGTATGATGACTGCTGCAACATTTCACTGAAATGACATTTTTGTTTGATATTTTTTGTGAGGTTAAGCTTGCATATTGCTGTCTAGATTTGAGGCGATAAAAATAACTGAGATTTTCTAAAATAACACAAGAGTGAAATGAAATAAAAAAGTCAAAAGGGTTATTTATAGATCTGTTTCAAGTATTGACTGGTATCATATTATCATTACATTACTTAAAAATGAGCTTATTCTTTTATATACCTTCTACATTATTAATATGTTGAATAAAATAATGAAACTTTCCATTATCTGGTAGTAATTCAAGAATTGATTGAAGTGAAGCAAATGGAATGAGCATGCAAAAAAAAACATCCATTCAATCACTTACCTACTAATTGATACGTTTCAGTATTTTGTACTATTTCTATTTTGATTCAAAATTTTTCTAGGAGGATAATTGAACACACAAGAGAGCCATCCTAATTAAATGTTAAATTGTATTGGACTGTGGAACCATTTTTAAAATGACGTCATTTTATTAATCATCAGGCGATTGACCTTGACAAATCTCTCTGAAATAGGTCATGCTTTTCCACAGCCATAACAACACCCATAATTTATAATTTGATATTTTCAGGTGTTACCAGGCTGGTAAATCATTTTCTATGAATTAACGTCATGGTAGTAATTCAAAATTCAAACACCCTGATCATATCCTTAGATGGTAATTTAATATCTCTATCGGATTTTTTAGGAACTTTAAAATAATTTAGTACATAGAACACAAAGCTATGCATTATATACATCTCACATTATATTATGGCGGGGTTTCTGTGATTCTGTGTTCTCTGATGGAAAACTGTGGTGTCAAGGTGTCAACTGTCAATAAATTGACACAAAGTTCCGTTAAAAACAATTCACATTGCCAGCCATACTCCACCCGTCCACCCTTGACTCCCCTTGACTCCACCTTAGGAAGGTAAAGACAACCTCTCAATATGAGATGTTTCACCCCTTAATATTATGTCAATAGAACCAATCAAAGACAGCTAAAATAGACAGGTGGCCTCCTTACTTTTTAGCATGAATACTGATGTCTCTGATGCCCACCCATTTGTATGTTTCAATTCTCTAGCATGAAATTAGTTGAAATTTTCGAAATCTATCAATGAGGCAGGGGTTTAGCCATTTCTGGACTTAATATTGAGACTGAGATTGGCAGAGGTTGGCAGAGGTAGCTAGTTTCCTCTCTATTTAGTTGACATAACATTTTTATTGTACTTTGTACTGTAAGATTATTACTAGATAAGGATATATTCACCATCATGAGTTGTATCCCTTATTCCATAGTGACTGCTGGGCTGCTATTCTTCTTCAACTAGGAAAATTTCAATAATATGAAAAATGCCAGCACCTTTATTAAACCAGAATTAACAGAGGAAGCAAACATCCATCTGCAAATTATTATTTGATCCAGACCCAACTGCTACTGAGTGATGAATATTCTGTTTATTGACAATTCACAGCAATTATGATAAGCTAGATGGTTTTCTGAACACTGCAAAAAATTCAATATTTTTCAAAATAAACCCTAGACTGCTTGAGCATTATTTATGAAGGTATAATTATATAATAAATATAATTCTTTGTGAAGTATACTTAATTGTATTTAATGTAATTTGAGGAAATCAATCAAGTACTCATGTGACTGTGCCTACTGTGAATCATTATAAACTCCTAATACCAAAATCCAAAATCTGATTGGGAGCTTCTCTATTTATTCAAGTAGGTATTTCAAAGGTTCAAGTTTCAAATTATGATAACATATAACATTGAAAATAGTTACCTATCCAAGTGTGATTCAAGTAGGTATGTAATCGGGTACCTACTTACCTCTCCACTAGTCATTATTTACTATTGCTTATTACCGTTTTAGATGGAAGAATATCAAGTAACTTAAATGGTTTGTTAAAACATAAGTAAAAAAAGCATACCTATTATTCTAGTGCCAGGTGCCAGTAGAAATTGTGAAACCCTGGAGATGTGGATTAGTGGACTTTAGAAATACTGGAAATTCGATTGAATAATAATTGAAATTTCTGACGGTTAGTAAGTGTTCTATCAAACATGTTGCCAAATGTTTTTAACAGCACAAAGTACAAAGATGAGAAGAAAACCAAGAAGAAGACGAGTATAATCTGACAGTTATCAATATCAAAACAAAAAAAAATCAAAATATAAATATGACTGAGGTTGATGTATTTATTAGTAATTATACTGTGGTAGATCCAGAAATTTATGAACTTTGGGTGGAGGGGCACAATGGTGTAACAGCCAATCAACAATGTAAGCAATATCTCTAATCTATATGTTTTATTTTGCAGCTAGTGAAGCAGTAACGATATTGAATAGCAAAGGACTGGGGCAACAAACTGGAGCTACCTTAGAACTGATTGCCAGCGACGTTCTCGACCATTATCGCACTTACTCTCTGCTGGAAAAACTCTTAATCAATCCCAACAAACTACAAGAACAATTTTTATTTCAAATTGATACCCTGACTCGTTCATTACTTATAGAAAAGTGAGTTTAACTGAATTCCTTACATTATTGTGAGCACAAATGACATTTTAGAGGCAAGTCATCTGAATTGTCCCTACTACAAGAATATTGAAGTACTAAAGGTGGATTTATGTAGCATAAATTTACACTAAACTCCAACTTGCATTTACACCTCAACTCTAACTGAAAAATTGAACATCTGGTTAGGCATGGTTGATTTAATGCAGAGAAATTGAAACTGAACTTGAACTCTAATCCTATGACTTTTCAAGGGGATAAAGACAATTCCAGAAGAATCCCAATTTCCTTCAATCCCAAGTGCAGGAGGGGACTTGATAATGTTTTCAAAGACTTAGTTTTTGAAAGCCTTTACCAGTTTGGGTCAAAATGAGGCAATTTATTAGGTTATCCAAAAGATAAGGTGGATACACTTGAAAATTCAGGAATACAGGAATTTAGTTGTAATGATTGTGATAAAACATACATAGGCCAAACCAGGCGACCCATAAAAACAAGGTTCAAAGAACATCTAGCACATTTGAAATATGATAGGTTAGATAAACCATGTGTGGTGGAACACATGTTTAATCACAATCATAACAAACAAATTGATAACCTCAAATTAGTTGAGCAAGTTGATAATGTTAGGAAATAAGATGCATATGAAAGCCTAGAGATATTTAAGAATAGTAATAGAGTAATGAATAAAGATAATGGACCTATTCCATATAGCCCTCTGTATAGTTTAGTGATATAAGATCAACTCTACCATGAAAAACATTAACTTGGTTGGGTGGACATATTCCTAGTATATAATAAGCATACTAGAATATAATATTAGAGAAACACATGTGGAGGCATGAAAAATAGGTTTGTACTGGTAAAACAGTATGTAGTGTATTATCCTGCCAATATATTGAACTATCAAGTTTTCCAACTCCCAACTTTCTAGTGTAAATGTTAATTTTTGAGACTACTGTGCAACTCTTGGCATGGAATTTTATAACCTCCAAATTATGATCTATGATTGATGTTTTTTTGGATTTTTGGATACTTTTACTTGATTTCTGCCAAAATTATTTCCATGTGAAGTATTTTTATTGTAATGGCAAACAAGGATGGCCCATTGCTTGATCTCATTTGTCATTTGCTTCTTTGCTTTTACTGAAGTGCAGATTCTTTTTTCTTTCAGTATAATCTTGGTGTAAATTTTAAATAGAATATCATTTCTTATTTCAGATACTATGAATTTGATGATGAAGTAATCCGTGAGCTACTCGGCAAAAAGTTATCATCCAAAAACAGAAAAGATTTAGATGAAGTGGCTGAAAAGACAAGCAAACCTCTCAAGTCCTGCAGGTAAATTCCTAACATATAGTGGGAAATGTGTCCTGCTTGTTTTTCCATGGCAGGTTATTTCAAATTCCTTCTGTTACTATTATTTCTTCCACAGGCGTCAATTTGACAATGTTAAAAGAATATTCAAGGCTGTTGAAGAGATGGCGGGAAACACCATGGAGAATATAAAAACCTCTTTCTATTTGTCTGATGAATTAGCACACAAATATGCTTGCATTGTCTTCATGGCTTGCATGAGATTTGAGACCACCAAGAAGAAGCTGCAATACATGTCATTCAATAGTTTTCGAATTTGCTGTGAAGCTATCATGGATCAATGGGCTTATAACTTGACTGGTAATTTGTATGAGGAAAATTTACTAATGAATATTTTGACTAGCTTATTAATTTCATTATCAAGTCCAGTGAAGTTTTGATTTTTGACAATAATTATTCAAGATAGATTTCAAGGAAATTTATACATTTTTATGCCAAAAAAAAAACATTGAATATTAAATCTTCAATCATCCATATGTCATTTCTTCAATGTATGGGGATATTCCACAATTAATTCCAATTATTAGTGTAGTAGATATGCGATAAAAAATGGCCTCATGTGGAAATAATTCCCACAAATTTTTTTTTGCTTTTTTCAGTTCAGAATGCATAGAATAACACATATGAGAAAATATAGAATGATACCTGTGTGCAAAATGAAAATACAGGGTTTCCAATATTCGTTTATTCATTAATACATATAAATCATAAACCTAATACAAATGGAATATTTGACATGTAACAGAAGTTCATTCATTATCTTCGATTGGAATATTGGTACCTTCCCGAACAATTATTGCGCAATACTCTGCAAAAAATTCCGTATCGTCGACATTTACATCTGATTCCACATCAAAGTTCATCTACTTCAGTTTTGCAAGAACTTCTGTACGTCATCATATGATACAGAAACCCCAAGCTTATGAGGTTCATCGACGAGTATCCGAGATCGAAAATCTCGATGATACTGCACACCAACACCGCTAGACGAATTGAACTTATGATAGATCGTGGCCTTGCAGCTTGTATTAGTGCCTGTTCAATTGAATTTTTCTCCAAATCTGAGGATTTTTTGTTGATTATTATGTCCAAGAATGTTTTCAAAATGTCGGGTGAAAGCTTATTATTTTCCTGCTCGGAACTCATTTCTTCTGGTGGAGGATAAAACTCTAAGGATGTTCTCATCAACTTGATGAATTCTTAATCAGTTTAGCTGTTGCTTCAACTAGAGTCCCTGTATATACCTTAGGTATATACAGGGACTCTAGCTTCAACTATCCGAAATTTTTCAGCATCTGGATTTTCTGAACACTTTCGTCGCTTATAATCACAAATTATCTTGGCAACTGTTTTCCCTGTTACAATCATATTAGCTCTACTTTTTTGTCTCAATATCATAATGTCATCCGAGAAATATTCTTCTAATTTTTTATGCATACGACGAACAGTGTAAGATTCGATATTTTTTGGCAGCAGCTCTGCCATTTTGTCCAGCAACTCCTGAACTGAAATTGATTCATCATTTTCTTTGAGCCACCTGCATATTTCTCAAAAGGCATCTTCTTTATTTTTATCAGAAGGACGTCCTGCTAACTTTGTCTGTTCATTGGGAATATCATGTTGATGTTTCTTAGGAATAGAGTCGCCTTTTCCAAAATTCACACTACATTTCTAATTATACAGAGCATCTGCTCCTGGCAAGTATCGATAACGGAAAGAAGACGTGCTAGGACATTTGATGATCAAAAATCGTTTCTTGCATCACACACATCAATAATAGTTTGTCGAAACGCGAGAGTTCGTACTGGTAAAATTGCAGATTTAATTATTTTCTTAGTTTCCTTGATGAATTGGCCACAAAACAAGCAATTATCTTTGAATGCGAATGTCGGCAGCTCAGATCACAAAGCTCTGTTGCTGCTGCTGCTGCTGCTGCTGCTACTAGTTGATGACTCTCTATCAGGATCTGATTCAAACCTGAATTCATTCTTCATTTTGTTCGGATTCACGTACAAACGACGACATTCGACGTGCACAATTAGAGGATGAATAGGCACTGGTCTTGCTGCTACTTGCTAGCACTTATAATTCCTTGGACACCTTTAGCAATCAATTTAACAAAATTCGAACTATCATCAGTACTTGACGAAAATAATAAAACATTTGTTATCTTCCATCGCTGCTTTTAATTCACTATATTTAGGTTTACCTGGAATAATATATCAAATAATGGATCCTTTCATTCACGATCACAGAGAATAGTTTCAATCACATACCAAAATGATTGTTTCACACCTCAACACGAATTTCGAGATCTGCCAACCATATTATCCGAGAAATTTTCATTTTTAGGAAGATTGTGGTATTTGTTTGAATCTTATCCTGAAGATCCTAACATAGGTAGCGGAACATGTGTTGAGTTGTGAAACAATAATTTCGGTTTGGGCACCTGAAATATGAAAAGTTGCATTAAAACATTTTTGCATGAAAGAATGCTTCTATATTTTTAATACATATAGTGTAAGGGGTCGAATGAAGCTTCAGAAAAAGAAAACTGCGTTTTTGTGGGAATTATTTCCACCTCAACTCCTCGAACTGCTCTACTATATCCAGTTGAAATGCTGTGCCAAGTAAGGATTCCAACTGTTAATTCACAAGTTGCCACCTATAAATTCAGAAATATTTGGGTACCTAATTACTTTTGAAGATGAGAACATTGCTTCTAATGCTTCTGCTCGGGGAACTGACAACACTGTAGTTATAATATTCTGAGGGATTGAGATTGAGCCATAATGACACTTCCTAGATTAATATACCTATGTCTATAAATTGAAAATTAGTCAATAAATAGTCATAGCAAAAGTACCTATTCTCATCTACTGGTATTTAGTAAATATATTTTTAGGTACTGAATACAATGACTTGGAAATGGACAGGGAGTTTCTATTTGAACTCAGAGAACTGAAAGCTCTCATTGAAAAAGAGAAAGAACATAAACAGTAAGTAAACAGTAAGTTAAGATTTCGTTTTTCATAAACCAATAATTGATTTGAAACTCATTCTGAAAAATAATTATAATCATTATGTTTTTGAATATTCAATCAACCACAATGATTTCTCGAATTTCAACATTAACAGTAATCAAAGTCCCTACTTCAATGATAATGATTATTCAAAAATTGTTACATTTTTTTTTTAAGTTTATTGACAATGCACTTGAAACCCAAACTTCTCCAAAAAAATTTCATGGACTTGGACACGAATTTCAAGTTGTACACCAGAGCCCTATTGACTTTAGCTACTACCATTCATAGATCCAGAGATATGAGGAACTTGTTCGTGGATTTATCTCAAATTCTGGAATATTTCAAACAGGCAAATTGGACGTCTCACGATTTTGAACAGTTCCTCTTAGCCTTTAGTCAATGTGCCAATGAAATTGATACCTTAAGGTATGTGTATATCATATTTATACCCCTAAACTTCTCATAGTGCAATTATTATTATTGCATAGAAAAATCAGATAAGGTAATAAGGCGGGAAAAGCAGACATGAGTGATGTGTCAGATGTTTGGAAAATCAAAACTTTTGCTACACAATATGTGTTTGATAGAACAATTCAGCATTCTTTCCATTTTGTCATTATGTTCCGGATTCCAACGATAAATAATGAGAATTTCATGTTGGGAACACTAGAAATAATGAGAAATGGAGAAGAACATGCCATAAATATCTTTATCTACTCACTGAATCTCACCATTTAAGGAAACAAAGTACTCCCACGGGAGGAAAAAATATTAACTCATGTGGAAGTAAAATGTGCAATCCAAGTTATCAGTGTCTTTATCACTATTTATTATAAAACAAGCACCAATAATATCCTTTTTGAATTCAAATGATATCATATGCTTCTTCATATTTGAACGTACTTTTAATAAAAACTTTCAAATGCAGTTACACAATATACAAATCAATTAATTCATGATGACAGAAGTGTCAAGTTGACTTTCGTTCAAATGCCGTCAATTGTCCATATATCTTCGTAATGCAGAATGATTTGGATTGAGAGATAGACCGCCTGAAGCACAATCTCAAGAATGATGCTTTATAAGAATGTGTTCCTTGATAAAATCATACGCCGGAGAAAATTGACACCTTGCCTCCCTTGATACATAAATAACTATAATTTTTACTGAAGTTTTTTATGATTTAAAAAATACTTAACCTGCACCACAAGTAAATAAGATCCTGAAAACATCACCAATTGGAAATATAAAAGTCAGTGGATTTCAGAGCCAATATTTTTTGGTTGAACATTGTAACTTGCTGAATACATAGATTTTGAAGCTTTTATCAACCTTATAATCGTTGTATTATTTTACAGAAAAGATACAGCAGTGAAGTCCAGCTTAGATAAATTCATGAAAGTTACAACAAAATGTTTATTGGTTATGTATAATTGAGTTGTAAGGTCAACCTAACAGGTAAATCAAATCAATATATATATTGTATTATATTCTCGCAGTTTCCTAACTTTATCACATCACAGGAGTTCAAAAATAACCTATAAATCGTTTGTTTGATTTCAAATATAAGAAACAGGCCGATAAACAATTTTTACCTACAACAAATAGGCCCCTAATAAATAGTTGACTAATCGAAACATATATTTTAAGTATATAAACGAAACGTTACACAAAATGTATATGCAAGTGGTCCGATCTATCAGAGCTCATCAGTGGAGTACTCAGTGTTTGACAAATAAAAATGATAGAATGTCTTTATTTTAATTATTCTCGGCGAAGTCCAGTTGAAAACTGTTCTATGTAACCAAGCACCAGTTACACAAAGAGATTAACAAGAAAAATGGTTACTTATATACCTACATAATATTCTTATCTGAACAACAGACCGATATGTTATCATTTCTCTTATATATTATGAAGGACTTCCTTTTGCTAAGACTTCATGAACCATACTAGATGTAGTTTTCTTCTATTTTGTATGTTAAGCCACCATATTTCAGCTAATAACGGAGTTACGTGGTTTCGGATTCACAATGAATAAACGAAGCGAATACTACAAGCATTTTGGATTTTTGAATTCTAGCTGATGTTTGAACGTCTAAAGAAGGTTCATAAATCATTTCACCGTAGTTTGAGTGGCTTAAAACTAGAGATTCACTCAACTGTTTCCTCAAATCTTTGTTCAAAATTGTCCTATTAAGATACAAATTCCTCATACCATGTTGCATTTCTGAACTACATGTTTTATATGTGTTTTGAAACGAAACATTAATGAACAGTCCCAAATTTGTTATTGTTTTACTATGCTCAATTCTAACAGTAATAATCACCACTTCATCCATTGTATGTGCTGTTTTACCGAGACAAATCATCTGTGATTTGGTAGGATTTAATTTTAAACCATGTTTATTTGAATACACGAATATCACATCGAGGGTATCATTAATTTTTGAAACAAGTATTAGCATATTATCATCATTTATGCTTGCATATAACTTGCATGTCATCTGCGAATTGGTGTATAGAACAATCTGAAGAAAGATCTCTCAAGCCCATTGTATAAAGCGAAAAATGAAGCGGTCCTAATATTGAGCCCTGAGGAACTCCTCGAGGTAGTGACATTGATCTAGACCTGGTGTCCTCTATGATAACATATTGATATCGGTTGGAGAGGCATCTCTCAATTAATCTTACTGTCTCAGTGGAAACATTGATATATGGTATAGCCAATAATAGATCATGTCAGAGGGTATCAAATGCTTCACTAAAATCTAGCGTAATCAGTAACGTCGTTGCCTTCATCAGTTGCTCTAAATATATCTAATAATTTGGTTAAAGCTGTTTTTGTACTATGTCCCGAACAGGATCTAGATTGGCAATCGGAAAATAGTTCATTATTAGTAAGAAATCTTATCATTTGATTAAATATCAATTTTTCAAAAATCTTGGACAATACCGGAAGCCAACTAATAGGTCTCAAACCAAACAGTACCTACCTAGTGAAAGTCGATGAGGAGGTAAAATACCTAAAAATAACCCAAGACACCAAACCCACTTCTATCTCAATCTCATAATTGCGAATGTAACCTACAAATGATATGTAATGTATTTTTGAATACATAACAAATGTTTCAGGTGCGTTATATATCCCACCTCATCCAATTATTCCATAGGACAATATAAATTGGAAGAGGGTAGGTATGATGAAACATTATTATTGAATGTCTATTGACAATATTACGCAAAAGTTTGAATTTCTTTGATATGATGAGGATATGAATACATACCATTGAAGTAATTTTTTACTTCTTCAAGTGACAAGTCATTCAACAGTATATGCCCCGTGGAATTATTAAAAATATATAATCTTCATTGTAGATCCCAAGAAACACATTTGTTTTTGATACTACATAACAATTAATAAGTACATTTGAAAGAATGGGACAAAAAAATAACCAACTAAGTAAAACCTAGATATTGATAATGATAATATTATAATATATATATATATATAGTGACCCATTCGAAAGCGGACCAAACTCATAAATTTTTTAATCAAGGATCATATTGATGGTTTCTCGTACCGGTCCCAATTTGGTCAAGCTCTCACATCTACTAGCTGAAAAATTCGCTAATATGGATTCTAGATTTTCCAGTCTCTGAATGTGATAGAGTAGGCCTTGGTTTGAAAAAAATGTACGCTGTTTTGCCCCAAAAGACACTTTCCTCCTTCTACATTTAAAAAAGAATCGAGAAAATCGCTCAATAATTGAAAAATTTATGAGGCTGGCCCGCCTTCAAATGGGTCACTCTGTATATGTTAATTTAATTATATAGCAATAGTCAAATTTAACGTGATATTCACGGTACAGTAGACGATGTTTCTGTCGACGTAGATTCTGTCGACGTAGATTTTGTCGACATAGATTCTGTCGACTTAGATTCTGTCGACTCAGATTCTGTCGACTTAGATTCTGTCGACTTAGATTCTGTCGACATAGATTCTGTCGACATAGGTTCTGTCGAAGTTGGAATTTCCTCGTAAGTGATAGTAAAATTAGCTCCTCTATCGCACATATTTTCATTTTTCCTGTAAGAAGTACTAGGTCTTCCGACCGAGTACAGCTTTATGTATCCCAAGGTGTAGTTGCAGTTAAGGCTCGGCATATTGAATATGTTGACTGAAGAGTTGTCGGCAGTAAACGACACTAGATCGTCTAACAGTAAAGTACCCGTAGATGCGTATGGCTCCACTGTACAATTCAGCGCCACTATGAGGTTTATCTCATTTTCAACCTGTAATAGAAATTTGAAATAATATTTATGTATGAAGGGCGTAAAATAGGCTTTTATGGACCGTAGCGTGTATGTTAACACGCCTAGGTCCATAAAAGCAAGTTACGCCCGAAATACCTACAACACTATATGCATGACCGGTATATTTGATTTTTCATTGTGTATATACCTTTTCACCTCTCAAGAATGATAGAAATACATCATGAGGCTGCAGTGAGGAATATCATTGGTGGAATCAACTTTAGCATGGTAACTCAGTCACATTTTTGAGATAGGAGTAGACTATTATATTTGCTGTCACTTAATGTCATCACAGATGAGTTATTTTGGGTTCGATCGTATGATTTTGCATCTCAGGAATGTCAAGAGAACTGTAATACTAGAAACTAAACTTTGATAACTGCATTCAGTGCAATTATCAATCACTATGACAACTTCAAATCATTTTCCGCCGAATATCCCTCGGACATTAACAAATGCCTCATAATTTTATGACAAATTTCTCAAGCTCGTTACTTGGTAACAGCCATCAGTCGTCGGCGTCGAGCTGTTACCAAGGAAAGAGCTTTCCATTGTCATAAAATTATCCAGTCTATCAACAATATCCTAGGGATTTACTACTGAAAATGATTTTTGATTACTACATTCAGTGCGATTATCAATCACTATGACAACACCATCGACTTTGACAATTTTCCGCCGAATAAAATTTTATGACACATTGACAAATGCCTCATAATTTTATGACACATTTCTCAAACTCATTGCTTGGTAACAGCCCTCAGCCTAGGGATAATACTTCTGATAATCAGAGTTCCTAAATGTACTTGACACTGCTGTTTTGACGTTTTTTGTATATTAGAGTACGGACACTAGACAAGCAGTGACAATGAAACATAACCACGAACGATTTTGAAGCAAATCATATGTTTTACCAGACAATGATAAGAATATGTGTTTCGCTTGGATAAAGGATCCTCGCATCTTCATTCCTCCATAAGTCCTGGGAAGAGTACATCCATCTATCTTTATCTGCATAGCGGTAAAAGGGTACGATAAATTGATTAAGAAAATTATTTCTTCTCGAAATATTGAATGATAAGGCTGAAGGACCTCAATGGAGGTCGATATTAAGCTGGTATGTACATACAGGGTGCGGCACCGAAAACGAAACAGAGGCTCTGTAGGTCGCCAAAACCGGATTATCAAAAAAAACTGAAACAGGTCAACTACATTTTCGAGGGGGACATATTTCTAAAATATTTTCAGCCCTGCGGCGTTGCCGCTTCTAAAGAAAAGAAGCAACAACTTTGTTATTTCTAATGGAACACCTTGTATTTTATTGCATTTTTAGATTCTCCCCGGAGAGCTGATTTCATCAATGCATCACACTTGGGGTCTAGCTATAATGGTTTCAGGGATATAAAGTGTTCAAAATCGAGATTTTTCAACTTTGACATTTTTTTGTGTCGAAACTATTCATTATTGGTCGAAACGGCTCTCATGTCCCTATCTCAACTTGTGATTTTACTATCTACTGACATTTAATTGGAACAGATACAGGGTGATCAGAATTCTGAATCTTGAACCACCCTGTATTTGTTTCAAATAAATGTCAGTAGATAGTAAATCACAAGTTGAGATAGGGACATGAGAGCCGTTTCGACCAATAATGAATAGTTTCGACACAAAAAAATGTCAAAGTTGAAAAATCTCGATTTTGAACACTTTATATCCCTGAAACCATTATAGCTAGACCCCAAGTGTGATGCATTGATGAAATCAGCTCTTCGGGGAGAATCTAAAAATGCAATAAAATACAAGGTGTTCCATTTGAAATAACAAAGTTGTTGCTTCTTTTCTTTAGAAGCGGCAACGCCGCAGGGCTGAAAATATTTTAGAAAGATGTCCCCCTCGAAAATGTAGTTGACCTGTTTCAGTTTTTTTTGATATTCCGGTTTTGGCGACCTACAGAGCCTCTGTTTCGTTTTCGGTGCCGCACCCTGTATATACCAACGAAATACATATACTATTCCTATGTGTAGGTATATATATACGTTCAGTTGAATATTTTTATATCACAAAAGTTCAGAATGGGGTAAAAACTGATAAATTTCAACCAATGAAACATACTTTTATTTCGTATGGAACAATTTCACTTGTACAAGAGTAGTTATAAGTAATTAATAAATGAACAGATGATATGGCAACAATAACAGCTGATTTCAGTTAGGATAAATAATAAAGGTTACGGAAGTAGGTATAAATGGACTTCAGCGCTCGACTCACTATATAGATCGCCGTTCACATTGCTAAAGGGGATTGTTGATTTGAACCCGGCCATCGGTAGATCATTTTCAATACCTAACATAAATGGTGCACTCGTTAAGCGTTCTTGTTCTGTGCTCTGATAATATCTTGCTCGTATCTTGGTACTCAAGAAGTGCTTCAAAATCCACTAGGAGCTATGTAGTCGTCTAGCACTTCTCAACTACGCATGAACATGCACATTCAGACTTGGGATTTCAACTTTGAAGAAGCGATACACGAAAAATATATTCAATTCTTTGATATAGATACATCAATTCTGGTACATCAGAGTTCCACAAAGTGACTATATGTTTTCACAAAATTATTATAAAAGTTCGCATACGAAGATGATCTAAAGAATTCTTGGATGAACAGGGATGTGAAATCTGTATGAGTCAGTCAATTCAGGAAGTTGCTGCTGTTTCATCATCAGATGATAAATTGTGGGTTCGGCTCTTTCTATCAATACGATCCTTTTCTTCAACATCAAGTCTTCCGTTCTGAAGTGTACCTGATGAAAATGCGTTGAAACATGTTCAATATCCAATTCCTACATTTTTTCCTTCGGTTCTCACGATGTTCGTGGAAACCAGAACAGAAAACAAGATTTGAATACCTCGCAAATTTTTCCAGTTTTGTAGAATTACGTTATCCGATGGAAATTCGAATAGAGTGAATTGATTTCCCGTGTTCTCACAGTTGGAAACTGCACAAACTTGCATCTTTCTCCTAATTCTCTCAATTTGTGAAACATTTGAAATTTTTGTCATGTACGTCCGTGTACTGTCAGTTCCCGCTTTTTCCATAAATTTATTTGTGGTTATGTCTGATTGTCAGTGCTTGTCATAGTGTCCGTACTCTAATATACAAAAAACGTCAAAACAGCAGTGTCAAGTACATTTAGGAACTCTACTGATAATGAACCATCACAACTACAATATACAGGGCGAATCTGAAAGTGAGGTTTTCCATTCAACAGGGTATATATCTCGCCAAAATAAGTTGTTTGGCCTAATGCTTCATTTCCCTCCTAATTTTTTGGTTCAGTTTAAAACGATAATTAATAGGTTGGAAACGTAAAAAGAGGGTGAATGGCTGAGTTTGATAACCCTTCTTATAATCATGCGTATCAGGGTTACTAATTATCTATCTTTGATTATCGTAATATAAATTCACAACAAAAATATAGTACAATATTTTACCCACTACTAATAATGCCAATTATTTACTCAGAAATAGATGATTAGATGATACTCCTGAAATTGATGATATTATAAAAATGCAACAAGTAAAATTCCAAAACCATGTTTCATCTGAAGAGTGCACCTATTTTTTTCTTCATCGAATCTCACAATAACTTTTATATCATCCTGCATGCACTCCATTTTGAATTTGTGTATCCGGACACTCACAATATCCAGAAGAATCCACACCATGTGAATTTTTCAATCAATCTTCGATAAAAAGCACCATTTTGAAGAAATTTTGAAATTGTTTCGAGAGAAGAAAGATTTGTTTGTTTGTATTGAACAAGCTCCGAAACTACTGGACCGATTTGGGAAAATGTTTCACCATTAGAATCCGACATTATTCCTGATGAGCATAGGCTACTTTCACCTCGGGAAAATGCTCAATTCCTACGGGGAATCTGCTAACAGAACAAAGGGTAGTAAGAATTACCCTTCTGTACTTATCTTTTTCACATAACTTCCAAACGGTTGAACCGATTGAGTTGAAATTTTATATGGGTATTTCGATTTGAAAATATAATTGGATGCGGTAGGTGGCGCTGCTGTCGGTACTTCAACTACTAAACGGTTTGACCGATTGGGTTGAAAATATTAATATGTATAATCGCCTATATTTTGGACCACGACGTTTATGTTGTTCAGTTCAGTTCAGCTAATGAAAAAAAAATACTACAACCTTTAACATACTAATACACCGCTAACAAAATAATTGTCATCAGCAATTCATTATCATCAGTAATTATAAACTTATTACTTGAAGATGAACGTGGTGGCACCGCAAAGTTCCTTAGTAGATCAACAATAATCGTTGTAAGAAATGTCATTATTTGTCGTTTTTGTTGTTATTAATGGTTTTCAGGCAGTTCTGGGATTAATTTTTGGTGTTTCAATAACTCGTTGAAACATATCATAAATTAAAATCAGACTATTTTGTGAATAAATATGGTTCGACAGTGTCAAATCTGTTAAAAAAGTTAGATACGAATATCCTAACCTAATATTTCACAGGTACGTAAAAATTTTGTTCAGTGACGGTGTTGTTTGAGGGCTTGCTTTTGTTCAGTCCACAGAGTTTATTTATTTATTAACGGACAAGCCAATTATGCAATTGACAAAAAGAAAGTATGAAAATACAGAGAATGTACATATTATTAAATCTATGAAGGAGACTAGCACAAAAAAAAATGTAGAAGGCTAAAACGAATAAAAAGATAAGGATTATGAAATAAGTGATTAACCGTTTTTTTTTGCTTTCCTGAAAGAACATAAAGATGAATTGAACAGTTCAATTTGGTAATTGTGTGTATTTGCTGTTTTCATAATTCTATTCATGGATTCATTTTCGCCATAATTCGCCCTACTGAATGGTATCTTGAAAATGTCACTATTTCTGTTTCTTCTAGTATTTGCGGAAAGCGTAGTCAGATCAACAATTTCCGGAGAATCAATGTAGCCATTGATAATTTTATGGAGGATTAATAAATCAGTTTCCATTCTCCTATGTATCAACGTATTCATGTTCAAAATATCTAATATTTGTGGATAGCTTTATGCATCCCTATTGAATCCCATGTGATATGCACAACTTCTTAAAAATGTATTTTGACAACCCTCTGAGAGATCAGAATCAGCTTTGTAAAATGGTGACCAGATCAAAGAATTATGTTCAAGAATAGACCTCACCTGCGCACAATAAATAATTTCAACAGCATTAACAGATAGTTCTTCAGAAGAACGAAGGAAAAAGTCTAGCATTTTACGAGCACGAGATGATGTTTCTATTACGTGATGTTTGAAGGACATTTTCGAGTCGAATATTACTCCTAAGTCTTTGATTGTATTGGTTACCGATAAATTAGTGTCATTAACTCTGTAAATATGATCAATAGGATCGAGGCCTCGTGAAAATGTTATCTTTTGACATTTATTCAAATTCAGTTTTAATAAATTGATATGGCACCACTGTAGTGGATGATGATTTGAATGTATAACAAAATAAATTATTAAACAATAAAGTAGGACCTTCAGAATCATCAACACTACTTCCCAAGGTGATTATTGTTATTAGATCTTATTTTATAATATTAGCAATGTAAACATATTAATTAGGACACATAGGTAGGCAGAGTAAAGATCAATCTTTTAGAATCATATACTAATAAGACATGAATGAGAACACTGCTATGTATTGCATGAATGATGTGAATTAAAGAGTTCTTATTTGGCTAATATAATACTTACTGGATGATACATTGTTGGGAGAGCCTGAGTTATTACACCACCTGGAAAAGTCATTTAGATCGAGCTGCAAACTCTCAGCATCAGAAATGCATTGAACCGTTCTAAACATCTTCAGGTCATCGGCAAACATCAAGAAGGAACTGTTGATGATGACATCAGAGTGGTCATTAACAAAATGATTAAATAACAGGGGTCCTATGTGAGATCCCTATGTTACACCTGATGGTACTTCGATTGGTTGTGAAACTGAGCTCCCATATTTCATATTGGACTCTACTAGTGAGATATCCCCAACAACACAAGTAAATCCTAGGGACTTCCAGGGACGTCCCGTATTTTATACTAGGACATTCCAGGGATATAGGCCGGCGTACCTCAGTGCTTCGATGCTTCAATATCGATTCACGTGGAGGTATCGATCGTGGGTTCGAGACCCACGAACGCAGACTTTTTCTGATGGCCTAAGAAAGTGTTTGGGATCACACGTTAAAAGGTAAGGCCCCCGTCATTCCTTGCTCGCACAAGTCTTTCGAAGACTTCTGAGGGTTGCTCGTAAGGGGGCAACCGAATGACGGATAGAACAATTTTAGAACAACAATATCCTTTGTCGGGACAAAGTACATACTATGGACGTCCCAGGGACATCCACTTTCAGACAAAAAGGACATCCAAGGGATCCTGGTATGTCCCTGGGATGTACCAAGTACGGAGAAATGATATCTCTAGGACGTTCCAAGGATATTCCAGGGACATCCCTTCGACAAAAGAATGTAAGTCGAGTAGGGATTGAACCCGGGACCTTCAGCTTATCAGGCACGCACCATACTCTATTGGCTAATATGCCTTCTGATGATTTATGTACTAAACAGATTTATGAACAGTACAAAACTGAAACCTGAATAAATACAACTTTGTTAGGATTTTATGTTTGTATAATTATTATCATTCTTTGTTGTTTAAAAATGAGGGGCATTATGTATTTACGATTTCTGAGACTATATTCTTCATTTCCATTACAATTATTTTCCGGAAGAAAAACAAACATTTTCAAAAAAATTCAACTCAATATTTTGATGAAATTCAATGACTCTGGTTTGAATGTATATCAGATATTTCAGGGACACGAATAGGATAACCTAGGGATGTACCGGCCAAGAAGCTATCTGGGACAGCCCTGTACTGATGAGAACCAACAGCTCGAAACCGGTCTGCAGGTAATCAGCGTTCCTGAATCACTTAATCGCAGCTCAGCGTTTAGGAAGGAAACACTTCATTCTGCGTGGCATATAGCCAGCAAAGTAGTTGTTTTTCTCTCGTTATCTACCATTTTCGTTCATTTTATGAACTAGTGTGGTAATGACTTTGAGTTTCTCTCTCTTTCTGATAATATAATTAAGATAGCATTCATCTAGTAAGATTTTACACCGTTCCTCGAGAAATTGATTCACTTGTCCGTGTTTAGCGTTTAGTATTGTTGGCCGTATACATTTTAATGATTCATCAATGAATCACGGTATGATACTCACTGTCAACGGTATTATGGCTCCTTGCTTGACGAACATCACCATATCGGTCTCCACGACGCTCACATCAGTCCAAGAATCAGTCGCATTCGTCGAGTGGGCCTTGCCGCTCCACATCTCGAACCACACGCCCACTGTGGGCGGCAGATAGACGCGCATGACCTTCTTGTTGGGCGTGAGCGCATGCGCTACGAGGATGCTGTCGCCTATCATGTACTGGTCGGTCAGAGGGAAGGTGGCTGTGTCTTCGTAGTAGTCGTAGAACATCGGTCGAACGAGCGGTTCATTCCTAATGACATCAGATATTTGTGTGAATAATCGAGGCGGTGTTCTTTCTAAAGTTTTCTGATTTTTAATGCGGCTCTCTATTTTTTTTACATATCTTCTCCTAATGTACAATGTGTCCAGTTTTCGATGCTTTCGCGTGATATTTCAGTCATCTTTTGAGATAGAAACTTGCGGTTTTCGTGGTCCTGTGCCACTTCTTTGTGAAACTCGATGACCTTATCAGATTTTCCATAACTGTTTCCGTTTATGGGATACAGGGCGATTTTGAAAACTTATACTTTTTGGACCCCCTCTATATCTACGAAGTGTCTTAGCGAAAATGTTAAATTAAAATCTCATTCCATAGAGAATTTTACGCAGAATTCAGTGGCGCACTGAAATTTTTTTCCGGGGTTTTGAAGATACGACTCAAACTTATGGTTTTACAAATGGAAAAATGCTCTATAAAGAAGCAAACATTGAATTTTAATAGTGGGCTATGGATTGTTCATATAAAAAAATACGATTGAAGAAGTATTTCCTTTGATTTTTCCATGAAGAGGACAAAACAATCCCAACACTGATTAACTAAGAAAACACTGTTTGCTTGTTTGTAAAATATTTGATTTGGAACATTGGTAACATTTTTTTTAGGGATGAAGCATAATTGTCACATTCATGAGTTCTTACATCCATAACATATTTCCTTTGTAAACATGTCTCCACGGAAAATTCCTGGTGTAGATAAAATACATTCAATTTGATGAAATGTTTATGCCCCCTCGTGGTTCAGCTCATGGTTCAGGTAATAACGTTGTAGAAATAGTCATATTTGTCGTAAATCTCTGCTTGTGAAAGGATGATGAGATAGAAAGCAGCAGTAGCTTTAGCAGGTCTTTATTGAATATTTCTGTTCAGAAATAGTTAATATACAGTCGGGATGTCCCAAATTGTTTGGACTTTGGCCACGATATCTTCTGAACTATGTTGTTTTAGGAACTCTAAATCTTTTAGAAGCTCGAAGTCCTATCTACAACAGCTTCAAGTGCCTGTTTTATTTTTTGTGGATTATAATCCAGCCTACAACAAGTTGTCGTTTATATTTTCGCGGCATCATTCCAAATTACCCTTTCATAAGCATTGGTTCTGTTATATCAACATTTCGAATGTTCACATCAAAATATAACCAATTTATTTTCAAGGAGAGTGAAGTTGAGACTCCATTGTATGTACCTCGAAAAATTGAAGTTCTGCACATTTTCAATTAGCAACATAACAAACGAGACAAGTTGCCTGTTTGAAAAATTTTCGTAAATAGGTCGCGTGCACGAAGACCGACCCTGGAGGCAAAATATTGAAACACAACCTCATTCTTCTGTGAATTATTGAAACACAACCTCACTTTTTCATTTGGTTACAGAGGAATCAAAAGGTTGAAATAGTTTTTCACAATATTTTGATATACGAATCGTGTTTCTTGCGTTATTCATTAATTCAAGCATGCCTTCGCATTGTGCTGTTGTACAATGCACAAAAAATGCAGCAAGAGACTAGGGAATATGATTTTTCAGGTAAATAGTAATCTCACATAGTTAGCATTATGAAATGTTATCATTCCTAATTAAAATTCCTTCTGCCTTCTGCCACTTCTGCAATACAAGCTAATGCTGCTAATAGATTGAAAATGTCTATAACACACACGATCGTCAGCATGTCAGACCAGTCCTACCGATTGATTGCATGAATCCAATCTTCTGGCATTATTCTAGAAATTTCAGGTATATTTCTATTAGCTGATCCTATTGCAGAAGGAATTTCGATGAGAAATCAGAGAAATAACCAAATTTCAAAAATGGAAACTATGTGAGTGACTATAGTAGGTACTTACTTTTGAATCATAATGTACCATCCGGATTTCTTCATCTTCCGCTGCAGTTTTTGTGCATTTTACAACAGCACAATGTGATGGCATTAGCGAATTGATAAATAGCGGAAAAATACGATTCATATGCCAAAATAATTGTGGAAAACTATCTCGATCACTTGTAAACAAATATATTTTGCCTCCAGGGTCGGTCATCTGACAGTTCTTGCACGCGACCTATACAAACTGTGTAATTCTAACCTCAAATAATTTTGAAATTGACTGAAAGTGCCATAATGGCATAAAACTTCATTGAATGAATTGCGTGCAAGAACTTTAAGATGACCGACCCTGGAGGTGAAACATTGAAACATCACCTCACTTTTCTTATTTGCCCACAAATTTGAAATAGTTTTTCACAATTATTTTGGCATACGAATGGTGTTTTCGGTTATTCATCAATTCGCGCAATGTACAAAAAATGCAGCGAGAGACGAAGGAATCGAGGTGGTACATTATGATTTGAAAGTAAGTACCTACTAGAATTGTCACTCACATATAGTTTTCATTTTGGAATTTGGTGATTTCTCTGATTTCTCATTGGAATTCCTTCTGCAATAGAAGCTAATAAAAATACTCGTGAAATTTCTAAATGAATGCAAGAAGATTGGATTCGTGCAATCAAACGGGAGGATTGGTCTGACATGCTGACGAAATATGATTGTGTGTGTTGAAGACATTTTCAACCTATTAGCAGTATTTGCCTTTATTGCAGAAGAGGCAGAAGGAATTTCAATAAGAAATAACAAAATTTCATAGTGTAAACTATGTGAGATTACTATTTACCTGAAAAATCATATTCCTTCGTCTCTAGCTGCATTTTTTGTGCATTGTACAACAGCACAATGAGAAGGCATGCTTGAATTAATGAATAACGTGTCGTGTGCCAAAATATTGTGAAAAACTATTTCAACCCTTTGATTCCTCTGTAAACAAATAAAAAAAGTGAGGTTGTGTTTCAGTTTTTTACAGAAAAGTGAGGTTGTGTTTCAATGTTTTACTTCCAGGGTCGGTCATCATGCACGCGACCAATTAGAAATTGATTAACGATATTTTATACCTAATTGTTCTACATACAATATTGATTACGGATTTCTGAGATGCCTGATCGAGAATTATTTCATTTTATATGAATATGTCAAACATACATTACAAAAATAATAATGCCATCAAGGAGCAGACTCGTTGGAAGAAGGAGATTGCACGTATATTGTATGGATCATGAACATATCTGGTAACTTTGATTCATGCATTCATTGATGATGAAGTACTTTATTCAGATTTGAAAGAAACGCCTGTTTGTTCTATGAGTTCCAAATAGCCCCATTCTACGGTAGCCAATCAACATCTGAAACACAAGAACGAGAACCTAATAGGCTTGTTCGAGCATGCGCAATTCCACAGAAGAGTACGGATTTTTCAAGTTCCGTGAAACTGCGCATGCTTCTAATGGTTTTGGACTATTGTGTTCGATTATCAACACAGACATTTCAACCAACCAAAAATGTGTATTCTGAAATAAGTGGAATAATCTACGATAGATTATTACCTGTAGAGAATAGTGTAGTAGTGCCGCAACAGCGCCATCCTTCTGTCCATAGCTGCCTCGATCGTGCTAGTCGCAAAGTTGGAATCGAGGCTGGCAGGGTCTCTGAATGGAGAAGGGGAGGATATCCTGAGGAAGGGCATGGTGGAGGCTACCAGGTACCAGCGGATGCACAACTTCTCTTGCGTGGCCGCATCGAAGGCCGTCGTGTCCCCGCAGACTGGCACACTCACTAAATGGTTCCCCGTTATGCTAAAATAGTTATCATATGTACAGGCTGCCCTATTATCTACAAAAGTAGACATTTGCGGTTTACGCGAACGTTGGCTACTTTTTTGTGAAACTCGCGAAATCGCAAACGAAATTTTCACTTCGTTCTTGAGATACAAGGTGAAATTGAAAATTTTGCATTTCGAGACCCCTCCTGTATCTCGGTTATTTTTTAACTTATCGAAAAAGTGAAATTCGCCTTCTACACATTTTTTCACGTAGAATACAGTGGCGTAGTCAGATTTTCGCAATCTTCTATAATTAGCAAATTTAACCCAAAGTTATGTTTTTTTAATGAAACACCCTGTATATTTTTTCATATTTGAAAAATTGAACATTAATGAGTAATTTCAAGAATTAGACAAAAACTTTTAATATCTAGTTTTTCAGTAGATATTTCATCGATGGGCCATGAAAATATAAAACAGATTGAAGTCAACAACGGATACATCGTTAATTTGATAGACTATTCTTTTCAAAAAACTCCATAATTAAGCTATCCAATAGTTTATCCCACCATAAAGAATACTAAATCGAAATTATAGAAATTTAACCTATTTTGGATTATCAATTGAAAAATTAGCTTCATTTTTACATAAACAGGACTTAAAAGTAGCATATAGAACAAATAACACGTGGGGATGGTTCATCAAGAATAATAAAGACAAAACTTCTAAATTCGAAAAATCAGGGGTATACAAACTCCACTGTGGATCTTGCCCTAAGTTATTGTTCGGTCAGACAGGTCGTACGTTTAATTTTTTAAGAAAACAAATTCAACATACGCAAACCATAATATATTAGAAGAAAACCAAAGTTTTGATGATAATTTCGAAATTCTACACGTAGAAAATAAGGGAATAAAATCCAATCATTTTGATTCAATAGAAATCAACAAATTCAAAAATTTTACTTACCGATCAACTAGACCTCAGTAGTTCACTACTGTTAAATTTGTTTTCCTAACAGGTAATAATATGTATTTGCTATCAACCCTTTTGAAGTTATCAAGTCATATTGTGGCTATTTTCCGATAACCGATAATGAAGGTTTATCAAACCTTTCCACAGGTTTTTCTAATCCTTCAGGTTGGGAACGTAGGATATATATAAGTTTAGGCAAGCCAAGGTTAGTTTATTTCATTGTACCAGTATATCACCTGATGAAGCTACTGTGTTAGCGAAACATGTCGTGTGGCTAAGAATTTTGTAGAAATCTCATCGTTTGTTATCTGCTGGCAGCACTTATCCGCGTTTTGTTAATGAACTAAGGGCAAGGCTAGAAATTCACTGTTCGCTACTGATATCAAATGGTCATGCGGCGCCAGTAATATCCCCTCTCCTCCATGGAAAACCAAAAAGTGTGGTTATAATTATTATCATTATTTTCTTCATGTGCTATTTGTTCGAGTACTTATACGATTTTTACAAATATAATCAATTATTTTTCCATTTCAAACCGAAAACAAAAAATTGATGGTATACATATAAATTCCTGCAATACATACTAGGAATTCATGTATTTCATTGTCACTGGTACTACAAGTAGGTACTAGAGCTGCTGCCATCATCAATATCAGATTCATCAGATGAAGAATAAAAAAATTCAGCAGTAACAGCTAGAACGATATCATCCATATTTTATAACTAAACTATAAAGTATAGTTTATCCAAAAACAATTGCAGATTCTTGTGTCGCACCTGCAACCACTTCAAAGGAAACTTCAAAAACGCCGACGCCGTACAGTGCGAGATATTCTGCAATTGATATTGGATATACTATACATACATGAGTTGAATAAATCTATAATTCCTATTTTTCCTAGATATCCGTTCCGTTATTCCCAAGCCATTTAAAACTCAAATCGTTCTGTTATTACTGACTGTCACCAGTATATTCAGTTTTGTTTGTTTAATCTATGAGAGTAGTAATACTATAAGTACTTCAAAATATTCGAGTTATACATCGATAACTTATTTTATAATTATTACAAAGAGTTGTCAGTTTAACAGTTGAAATAATCCGACCGCAAACCGGGAGGATCATTTTGTTAAACTGACACGATTTGTAATTGTGCAGGAAGTTTTTGAGATGTAAAAACAGTGCGCAAAGCTAAAACAGTGCCCGAAATACAAACTTCGCGCACTGCAGGTAAACTACACTCACCGGCAAAAAAAGGGCCAGCAAAAAAATTGATCGCACTGTAAGATTTTCAATTCAAGTCCGATTCTGGTGAAATTCCGAACAAATCATAGATTTATGTTTCGGAATGTTAGCCTGAATTCTAATTCTCTAAAAAGCTGATCATTATACAGGGAAGAACCAAAGTTACTCTTTCACTCTTAACTTCACCTAACACCAAAATTGGACAGGAATTAAGAAAAGTACAGGGCAATTAATTTGGCAAATTTTTTACTGACCTGTTTTTTGTATTTATTTATATAGGATTTCTGTTTTCTAACCGATATGGTCCTCAATCAAGCAAAAACCCAAGAAATCATTCAGTTTCGAAAGTTTAAAAATAATTAAGGCTTTTTAAGCTAGTTCAACGACATTTGAAGACCACAGGGGGAAAGGGGAAATGACACACAAAGTAAGTTTCGAGAAAAACGCATTTCAAAGTTTAAAACCTCCTTACTTTTTGGAAGTTGAAGGAAACTGACATCAAACCACCTGGATTCATTTGATTAAGTATAATGAGCAATAAAGTTGAACAACTAGAAATAAAAATCATATTCGAATGGAAAACTCATCGAAAACAAAAAATAAGTCCAAATATTCAAAGGAAAAATGGGAAATGTATAAATAAATTATCAAAAAACTGGATTGTTCCCTAGCAATTATCTGCTGTGGTACATTTCGCCATTCTTGCCTGACTACCTAATGAGCGGTAAGTTGTCATATAGTACATCTAGTAGGAATCATCATGTAGCAATCACATTATTTTATTTCCACCACTCAGACGTACTGGACAAGCCCAGTCAGCACACCTTTTTTGTCGTCAACCTCGAACAACTCTTTACCAAAACTCGTTTATGCATAGAACGGCAAAGCTTTGGAATTTGTGGCCAAACAGAGTATTCCCAAGAACTAATAATCTCCAGAAGTTGAAAAAAATCCCAATACCTACCTCCTCTCCCTATCCTCCCTAGGTACCCACAATGCTCGACGAATATTATAGGGATTCCATTTCGTACGCTCCAAGAGATGAAAAGGGGTGGTCGTATCTGGTTTTTTTTTCTCATATTTTGTTTGCCTTTTGACAGTGTGAAAACTCCCTATTAAAATCACAATGGAATCTGTATTCAAGCAAGCACTAAGCTTGGACGTTCCCCTTTCTTCACTTTTTTGAAGTGGACATTCCGCGTTTTTCCATGTGAACGTATTTTCGAACGAGCATATTAGCTGAATATTTTGCGTTATTGCAATGGACTTCTGTTTGTGCGAATTCGGCTTACTGCAGTAAATGATATGCTAAAGACCTTGAAATTTCTAAATATTGTAGAGTCGTCTTTGGTATTAATTTTTAAAATTGTCAATAAGCAAGCTCCTTCCTACTTGCGAAAATATATAATCAAAAGGGCAGATATGATACATTATAATTTGAGGTTCAATGATCAGTTCTACATACAAGGTTCAACACAAATGCTTTGGAAAAAACTCTCTTCATTGAAGGTTTGAGAATGTATAATGATCTACCTCTTCTAGTTAAGACATCAGGAAATGTAAGAATTTTCAAAACAAGATTGAGAAAAATGTATTCTATTGTATAGATTATATTGTTTATGTGTGATATTATCGAATGTGTAATATTCATGTATGGTTATGTAATAGCTATCGATGCTAAATAAAGCTCTATTCTATTCTATTCTGTACTAAAATATAGTGGTTAGGCTATCAGATGGCAGTGTCAAGTCAATTTCTACTAAATTGTGACATCCCCCCTCTTTTCTCTGAGGTTTTCATTTTTTATATGGAGCTAATCATATTATTTATTTTAGAATACTATTTTTTGACGTTTGTAGAAAAAATTTTGTTTGCAACACGTGCGCGAAATACTTTGGTGATCAAAGAACTGAGCCTTTAAAAAAATCCTTCTCCACTATTAAGGCGGGCCTTATTTGTCTCACTCACCTTATGTATAACGTGATTTGAATTCAGATAGTACGTACCTGCTGAAAAGAATATTTTCTATGAACTGTCCCAGATTGTCCCAAGAAGCATCGACATTTTGGATCGTAGTGACCGATTGCGTTTGTCCGAACATTTTGGCCGATGATAAAATCATCGTTTGCGGATCGCTCTTATTGTAGTAATCATTGTATGCTAGTGTTTGAGAGCGACCGTACGAATTGTGCTTGAGAATGTGCGAAATGTTGTTGACAGTTGCATTCCACGGTATCGTATAGGACATCGCTTCTTGCATTTCCTAAAATAAAGAAAAATTCATTCAACCATAAATACACCGGCAAAATAATCGAACGACTCAGAATATTGATAAAATATTATCTACATCTATAATATTATAAATAGGAAATATTTGTTTGTTTGTTTGTATTGAATAGGCTCCAAAACTACTGGATCGATTTGGCTGAAAATTGGTATGAAGTCAGCTCAGAACCAGGAGAAGGTTATAGGATACTTTTAATCCCGGGAGCTTTAGGAAAGTCAAGATGGCGGATCTAATATATCGGACGAGTTTTTGTATTTATATGCCGATTATATTTAAAATTTGTAAGTGGGCGTTTTCGGGATGAAAAATTATGATTCCTTCGTCAAAATTAGGGAATTCAAGATGGTAGATCCAATATTGCGGACGAGTTTTGTAATTATGTTCCGATTCTCTTAAAAATTTTCATCTGGGGTTTTAGGAGTCGGATATTATGATTCTTTCGTGAAAATTGGGAAATTCAAGTGAACAAAAAAACAAATGGTAGTTTGAAAAACTGAAGAAACATGCTTTTATACACACACTGGCACAATTAGGGGAACGGGCAAAATTTACACTAAGTTTGACATCAATTTTCTTTCGAACCGATCGCTCGATTCAAATTTTTTTCTTCACGAAATGTAGCTTCATTCTTCACGAATACATCTGAGAAATAATTACCTTCAAACGATGAGTCTTTCCATCATATACAGGGGTGTAAAGAAAGTACGGATTTTTCGGTATTTTTTTAGACATCCTGTGGACTGAACCACTGATAATTGAAAGGATTTCTCAACACCAAATTGGAGCCCAATCTATTCCGAATATGTTCGTTTTTTATTCATCTTGATATCTCAATTATTCAAGAAAATACAGAGTTTCAAAGGAAAGGTGGATATTGGTATCAATTTTACACCTCAAAACTCAAATTGGATCTGAAAATGTGTGGTTTCTTGACTAACCTAACCTAACCATGACTAAACCTCTGCCATAGGAGACAGAAGCAGTAAAATCAAATTGTTCATTTTGTTCACCTCGGCGATATAGTCTTTCCCTGCCATCTATTGAATTGGTGGTCATTTTCAATTAATGCTACAGCCCTCGCCACATCAGTAGGAGTCAAATCTCTCATGTTGAATTTTCATTAATCAAATTCATGAATTGTGAATCGCTTGACTTTGACAATAATTAATTACATTAACAAAATAGCCAACGTTGATTAACAAAAATAGCATTTCACCAAAAGAACATTGGAACAACTTTTATCACCCCTGCATATTCATGAGAGTATTCGTATATGTGTCTTTAAACAGTGAACCGATAGGTAAAACTGTGAAAAATTCTCATCTTGAAGTAAAAATCCTCACAGAAACAAGTTGAAAAACGACACGTTCTCCCCAGTTCGAGTTTCGAGGTTGTTGTAAAATTAATACCAATATCCTTTGAAACTCTATATTCTCTTGGATAATTGGGATATCAAGATGAATAAAAAACGAGAATATTCGGGATGGATTGGGATATAATTTGGTGTTGGAAAATCGTTTCAATTATCAGTGGTTCACTCCACAGGATGTCTTAAAGAATACCGAAAAATCCGTACTTTCTTTACACCCCTGTATATGATATAAAGACGAATCGTTTGGAGGTGGTTATTTCTCAGATGTATTCGTAAAGAATGAAGCTACAATTCGAGAAAAACAAATTTGAATCGAGTGATCGGTTCGAGAGAAAATTGATGTCAAACTTAGTGTAAATTTTACCCGTTCCCCTAATTGTGCCAGTGTGTGTAGATAGCGAACCTAAAAAGAAGTAGAAAATAACATAATAATAGTGTCGATGAATATTGAACTGAAAAATATATCATAGAAATAATGTATATTATAGCAAAACAACGTTTGCGAGGTCTGCTAGTCAACAATAACTTCGTTAATTCAAGTCCGATTTGTGTGATTTCCCTTTCATATCGTAGGTAAATTCAAGAGGAATCTCACAAAAGGTTGGGATTTCAAGAAATCGAGCATGTCTCTAAGTTATACAGAGTGACACAAAAAGTGCATTTTTACTCCAATTTCAAAACAATTTGTGGAATGGCTAAGCTGGTACATCATGTAATTTCTCATTCAATTATCAAGCTACGTTTATTACGTACGTTTCATCTTTTTATTTTTTACGTTAACTGTTTTTTGTGAAAGTAACAAGGGTTTCAGAAAAACGTTACATTTCTACGTTTTTTTCTTTGGTGATAACAAAGTTTCCCAAGAAATAATGTTTTGCAAAGCTGGCTGTGACATCAAATAGTTGAATAATATATGGATCTTTCTGCAACCGACTCCTACGAGAGCTACTGCTTTAATACAGGATGGTAGATCACAATGTTATGTGGTCAGAGCTCTGGGAGTTTCAAGAACTAGGATGCAGAGAGCTGTGAAACGGTTTCGTGAATTTGGTGGTCGGAAGAAATCAACGAAAGATCGTGATAATCGCTTCATAACGGTCAAAGTTTTTAGGGACGAAAGACTCACTTCTGTCCAAATGGAAAACAAATTATAGGAGGTGGGCCATGTTTTGGTCAGTGATAGAACAATAAGATGTAGGCATTTTGATATTTGACTCCTAGCAAGAAGAGTAGCAACTGTTCCAAAGTTATTGAGGAATTATCGAGCTAAACGCCTCAGATATGCTAGGGAACACGAATATTGGGGTGATGAACAATGGAGCAATATCCTATCCACCGACGAGTCAAGGTTTTGTCTCAGATCACCAGATAGACGTGAAAAAATGTACCGAAGAACTAGAGAACGTTTTTTCCAAAACCATTTTTAGCCAGTGACTGACTAGGCTTGGACAGACTTAGTCATAGTGGAAAGGAGGATTCATGACAGTCGTTAGGTATATATAAGAGACGTCCTAAAACCACATGTTGTTCCATTTGCGCCGTGAATCGAAGACGATTTCATGCTAATGGGTGACAGTGCCGGCAGCATTTTGCAAGAATTGTCAATGAGTATTTGGCCGATGTTGAAATCCCAGCAATAATTGGCCTCCTCGAAGCCCACACTTGAACCCAATTGTTTGGGATGCTCTTGGGAGATAAGTACTATCTTGTTTGCCACTCCTGTAAATTTACAGGAACTCAGTAACGTTCTGATAGAAGAATGGCAGCAAATCGATCAGGCGTATATACAAAATTAGATAATGCGCATGCCAAGACTATTTGAAGCAGTTATTCGTGCTCGTAGGAAAACACGTCGTACTGATTTCATTACCATGTTCATATCGATTTACTGGTTTCATTCGTTATTATCATCATTGCATATTTCCGAAAGTTTATTATCACCATAATGTAGAAATGTAACGTTTTTCTGAAACCCTTGTAACATTCACTAAAAAGCAGATATCGTACAAATAAAGAAATCGTACGTGATGAACGTAGGTAGATGATTAAATGAATACTTACTCGATGTATTACCTAAAAGCCACTCCACAGATTGTTTTGAAATTGAAGTAAAAATGCCCTTTTTGTGTCACTCTGTATAATTTGGAGATATGCCTCATTTCTTGAAATCTCAACCTCGTGTGAGATTCTCTACGAAATCAAACAAATCAGACTTCAATTACCAAAGTTATTGTTGATGAAATTTTATCAATATTTTGAGTGGATCGATTATTTTGCTGCTGAGTGTAGTTAGCTTTAGGAAGATTTTCTATATTAATATAGATTTTCGTGAATTTTCCAGCCGAATCGTTAATGTACAGGGTGTCCCAAATTGTTTGATTTTGGCAGTTTTTCCTATTTCCAGAACAGCTAGGGAAGAAGTGAGGGTCTAGAGCTCAATTTTTGTGAAATGTCAATTGGTGAAAACCGCATTTCGATATCTCTAACCGTTTCCGAGATATAGGCAAAAATTGACGTCTGGTCGATTTCGATAATATGCCATAACATTTTTATTTTTTTTGGTATTTTTCTAAACGGAAAAAACTCTCTACAGGCACTTCTTAACGTAGAATGAGATAAATCTGCCAAAAAAATATATCGTGTATCAATTGTCTGATATCAAAGCCAACGTTGTTATTTCAAATAGAAACCATTTGGCTTTGACTACAGAAAATATATATTTACAACATATTTCTCTTTGAAAATGAGGTTTTGGTGTCATTTTAACTTAGTTAGCCATGAAAAGCAAAATTTTTTGCAAATCAATAGTCATGTGAGAATCAAATTATGTAAAATAATGAATTGAATGAGAAAGTAGCAGAGTAAGAATAATATATCAGTTAAGTAACAATAAATCTCTCAACGGTTTACTTTCAAACAGATCCCAAATAGTGTTCGAATTATCCACCATTTTGGTCGAGACAAAGATGGCATCTCTTCTTCACTGTACAATAAAAATGAGAAGAGGACCGAGAACAGATCCTTGCGGAACACTGAACACTGGTTGACCCTATCCAAAGTTGGATGGGTCAAAATCATGGCTTGTCTCACTTGAAAGTGCAAAAACTTGGGAATATGCGCGTATAATTATTAATCAGACAATTTCGACTTACCTCAGTAAAATATGGAAACGTGCTGTTATCTTTCATCACATAACTCTCGTCGATTGGCCAGTTATCTTTCAAGACGAATCCATCGATATTGATGTGGAAGTAGTTGGAAATGAAGTTATTGAATTCTGACAAATATTCATGAATGCCACTGTGACTGAAATCGGGATAAGCGACGGTGGCACCTCGGTACCTCCCTGTGTATATTGTGCCGTTAGTACGTCGATACAAAAGATCTAAGCTAGCTGCTTTCGAATACAGCGATCCAGAATCCACAGATAACTTGAAGATACAATCAAAATTAACAAAGTTCGAAAAAATTACTGAAACTGTAGTCTTTGCTGTATGTGATTTTTTGTTTGAGCTTCAAGAAAGTCACCATGCTAGTTATTCCTATTTTAAATTCAATCACATATGGATATCAGGTGTATAAATAAGGGAAGTAAAGAAGCTTATAAACAAATTTTAGGACGGTGAAATTGCGCCGCAAGCGAGGATTGTTTTGGGTTCAAGGTCAAATATATCTCAGATTTGCAAAAACTTCAGAAAAGATGGGATTTCCACAAAATTCTTAGTCAGACGACATGTTTCGCTAGCACAGTAGCTTCGTCAGGTCGTTGATTGATATATCACGCTTACGCAATATATCAATCAATGGTCAGGTGAAATACTACACCTTTCCCAGATGTATTTCAGAAAGCGTCAAATCAATTTCAGAAAGCCTCAATTATATTTCAGAATAGTCAATTGTATTTCAGAAAGCGTCAATTGTATTTCAGAATAGCCAATTTGATTTCAGAAAGCGTTCATTGTATTTCAGAATAGTCAATTCAATTTCAGAGAGTATCAATTGTATTTCAGAATTGTCAATTTAATTTCAGAAAGGGTCAATTGTATTTCAGAATAGTAACTTGTATTTCAGAAAGCGTCAATTGTATTTCAGAATAGTCAATTGAATTTCAGAAAGTGTCAATTGTATTTCAGAAAATATCATTTGAATTTCAGAAAGCGTCAATTGAATTTCAGAAAGCATCAAGATCGATTAGTTAGTAGAAAGTGCACTCCATGTAAGAATGCATAGAATGTTGAGTGCTTTGTAGTGATGTTTTCAATTTAATTACCCCAAATTTCTTTTTTATGTACCTTTAGGTACCTATATACTATTTGATGAACAGATTACAGGATTTCAGGTATAGGGAACTATCATAGATACACTTGTTTGTATTGCTATGAAAGAGTTCTGATTTTGACATGTTTGTCCAATAGGGAGTGACTGATGGCTGTTTGATACTGTAAAATAGGCTTCTTAATAACATTTACAAAATCAAGGTCTGTTGCTATGACGTGAATGTCATGATATTTTCACGATTTATAAAGTCTGGCAGGAGAACACCCCGTGGAAAGTGCCCGGCAATTGTATATTCTCTTTCATGATAGGATCCGATTGAAAATAAAAAAATCAGCTTTTGTTGAAATGATGTTTTTGCCAGTTTTCTTTTTTCGTACTTTCAACACCCGGTATCTCTTGAAAGCCTATCCAGTACTGAAGATTTTTAACCCCCAAAACGATTCCACCGAATAAGATATAACATAGAAATTATCAACCTTGTTGAAATGATGTCTGGTCGTTGGCTTTCAGTCTATAGAGAACGATTTCTGAAATTCAATTGACTATTCTGAAATACATCTTATGCTTTCTGAAATTCAATTGACGCTTTCTGAAATTCAAATGATACTTTCTGAAATACAATTGACACTTTCTGAAATTCAATTGACTATTCTGAAATACAATTGATGCTTTCTGAAATTGAATTGATTATTCTGAAATACAATTGACGTTTTCTGAAATTGAATTGACTATTCTGAAATAAACTGGGCGTCAATTGAAACGTTAATAGTGAAATTTGACATCAAGTTTGACTTCTCGCAATTTCTAAAATATTGAACGAATTTTGAATTGCTGCCCAGATTCTGAATGCCTCTTTCATCGTCTTTCGAACCGTTCCTTACAGCTTCTTATAAATTGATCAGGACCCATGATACAGGGTGAAACAAAGTTTCGTGCATTTTGAAAAAAATTTCTCCGCCCCCCGATTTTGTCGGAAGACCACGATGCTCATATTTTATTCGGGCATTTCATAAATAGCAACCATACCTCGAGACGTTTTCGAGTTTTTGCCAAAAACTATTGTGGTTTCTAAAAAAAAAAAGTTTTTATATTTTTTTTAAATGGACTAATTTTAGAGGAGTTCCATAAATGGATGCTTTTATGTATTTCAAGAAAGCGTTGGAGCAGATATGTATACCAGGTTACTCAAAAACGATCAATAATTTATTACTTCGCAGTCTATGATAAAAGTTTTCTACCTTAGTGAGCAGTAAATCAACATATCTCATCAACAAAAACAAACAACGATACCTTGTTTTTATAACAAGGTATTGTTGAAACAATGTAGGTATGCATAGAGGTTATATCAATTGCCAATTTTCATGAAAACGTCAGTGTAATTCAGGCCCTAAAAAATTTAAAGATGCCTCGTTCAAATCGGGTCGAAATGGAAAATATCATTAGGTAAGATCACTATAGTGATATAAACTATAATTCAGTACAGAAAATTAATATTTCAGGTTATGACGATAAGGATATACCCACACTCATTAAAGTACCATTTTCAATGAGTCAGTCATGACAATAAATAGACTGGTTCATCGTTTTGAGGATACAGGTAATCAGTCCATTTAAAAAAAAAGCAAAAAAATTTTTTTTTCGGAAACCACAGTAGTTTTTGACAAAAACTCGAAAACGTCCCGAGGTATGGTTGCTAATTATGAAATGCCTGAATAAAATATGAGCATCGTGGTCTTCCGACAAAATGGGGGGGCGGAGAAATTCTTTTCAAAATGCACGAAACTTTGTTTCACCCTGTATCACGGGTCCTGATCAATTTAGAAGAAGCTGTAAGGAACGGTTTGAAAGACGATGAAAAAGGCATTCAGAATCTGGGCGGCAATTCAAAATTCGTTCAATATTTTAGAAATTACGAGAAGTCAAACTTGATGCCAAATTTCACTATTAACGTTTCAATTGACGCCCAGTTTACAATTGATGCTTTCTGGAATACAAGTGACTATTCTGAAATACATTTGACGCTTTCTGAAATTGAATTGACTATTCTGAAATACAATTGACGCTTTCTAAAATACAAGTGACTATTCTGAAATTAAATTGACGCTTTCTGAAATACATCTGGAAAAGGTGTAGTCCTTCAGGTTGGGAAAGTAGATATATATAAGTTTAGGCAAGCCAAGGTACTTTATTTCATTGTACCAGTATTTCACTTGACGAAGCTTCTGTGTTAGCGAAACATGTCGTGTGACCAAGATTCTTGTGGAGATCTCATTTTGTTTGTGAAGTTTTTACATTTGATATTGATATCCATAAAGTAACGGCCGAGTCAATAAAAAAAATCTCAGAGAGATATTAGGAACTCTATTTCAGTGTATACCAAGGAGGGTCAAAATATCAGCAATCTACTTGTATGGTTAATGATACGCCGCAGGCGAAATTTTTGTTTGGATTCAAAAACAATGAATTGAAAATACGATTTCTTCCAGAGTAACAATTGCCTCACGTTATTGTATTATATGAAATTTCATGTTCTCAGTTTGTTATAATCTATATAAAATAATCTGAAAATAATAAGAACAATAAGGAGAGCAAATAGAAAGTATTTTGAAAACTCTGTAGGTTAACCGAGCAGTACCTATGGATGTTCTCCAGATTTTGAGAGAATGATGATGATGTGTATCGCAAGGGATATACCGTTACCACCGATACAACAAGGCCAGCAGACTCTGACGTAAACAGCTCGTGACGTGACCAAGAGAGGCCAGTGTTTTATTTTATCGCTTGTCGACTAACGCATCAGTTCGTGTTAATTCATCGGTGATTCACGTATGTTTTTGAAACGGTCCCGAATTCTTTTGTTGTTTATTCATCAAAATAATTGGCGGAAAAATCACTGTTTTGTGAAATATTTTGTGTTGTGATCGGCGAAATAACAATGCCTTTCAAGTGTTGTGTTCCCTTTTGTCGGGGAAATTATGTGGGTGGTTCGAAAGTTCATGCTTTTAGTTTCCCATTGGACGAGGAGCTATCGAAAATGTGGGTATATGCAATTCACCGCGAGGATTTTACTCCATCTAAGTTCAGTAGTAAACAGAGCTCAATTTATAATGATGAATTAATAATAGAAGACAATTACTCTCTCATAAAAAGTATAAGTAGAGGAAAAATGGAAAAGCTTTGATTGTGCAGTTAGTTTTGTATTCGTATATTATAGTCAACAAAATCATCTCTGAATTCGAGGAAATTTTCTTGAATGTTCATAATAAACGGGCATTTTTATTTCTCATTCTCAAATTTCTTTCTGAAAACGGTCATTTGCCTCGTGGCAATGAATGCAGAATTCATTCCAATGATCAAATTGCAACTATCATATTAACATGAACTACAAACACTCTACTTAAAAAGGTAAAACTGCATTTATCATGATATTTATCATGAAGATATTTGACTAAAAAGTTCCAAATTTCACCTTCTTTTTCACCTGTCTTCTGGATGGCATTTAGAACAAACTTCCCTTCTTTTTTCATCATATTGGAAAATTTATAAATAATTCAACAATAAATATGATTTTCTTGAGATTAATCCATATTTAGTGAAAAGAAGGAAGTATATCATTCAAAATAATGGCGTGTGTAATATCATTCAAAAGCAACCTATTGACATTTCACATCTCGTATTTTGATTGACTATTGATTAAATGGTCGTCATCTGGAATGCTTGTTCACTAAATATGAAAAACTCGCTATAAAAATCATATTTCCTGTTGAATTTTCTATGTGCCATCGAAGTACATCATGAGTATATAAAGTGTCCAATGACAAAATAAGGGCAAGTAGCTTCAAATGCCCCCAACACAAGGGGAGAAAGAAGGCGAAATTTCGAACTTTTTCTTGAAATATCTCAATAAATAGTGGTTTGTTCACATTTTCAATATAAAATTCGGTTTATCAGACAAAAATACGTGAGTATCGAAAAAAATTTCAAAAAAAACCATCGCATGATAAATGCAGTTTTACCCTTAAAAATTACGGTTTCAAGTGTAACGATCCACTTGGGTGAAAAATCCAACAACAGAAAATTGCAAACACTCACTGGTTATTTTTTCAGGTAATAGGAATTCTCCAAGATAAATATAGGTAATTGTAACAAACGGCATGTCAATCAAAATAAAATACATTTTCCACAATTTTCTTTCGATCAATCTCACGATAAGTTTATGTTCTGCGGGCCCTGTATAAGTAGGTGTGAAGTTTACCTTCACCACAATTTTTGCCAATATATTTAATTCGAATGGGTTGCTGTAGGTGGATATTTGTGTTTTATCCTGGTTTTTGCTTTAAAACTTCGTTTTTCCATAATAAAATCGAATGGGGTGCGAAGAACGGCTCAGTTGACGACTGGTATCCTTTTTTAACCGGAAGCCCTTCAAAAAACAGCAAAATCGGCTCAATGATGATCTAAAACTAAAATCGAAATACGCGGTCGCCTTATAGCGCTATAAGCGCTTGTCGTTTCGAGCCGCTGGTTAGGCCTCACTAAGTGACATCATCCACGGAGCATGCAGGCCTTGTTGTATCGGTGGTAACGGATATACTGATATATTTTTTCAATTTAGCGAAATATTTTTCACTAATTCACTTTTTGTTTTCATCTCACCCAAATCAACAACTATCACCAATAACAGCAAATAAGTTAAACTCATCAGTGTATATTCTATATTGTAAATAATTTGTTATGCGTTATTTCGTTGACATTGTAAAATTATTCAGGTGTATTTTATGAATGATATCTACTATCTCATTAAATGATGTTTCAAAAATTCTAATATGATGTTTATTCAACACATAGTTTGTTTTGGGAATTTGAATGAAATTATTTTATCCGTTATTCACATTAGACTTCATTTTAAATAGGAATGAGTAGTATGGTAAAGTTACTAATTCAACAATGAAAATCGAATGAAATTATTTAACATGATCATGGATGAGAATGAGATTATCATTTTAATATTTTCAAAATGATTTGAAATCTGAAATTTATTTTTTACCTGTGGAGGTACTGACAAGAGGAATTTTTTTCCCTGTTCACTCAGTGCAGTGAGAGTTTCATTGATGATATTCACATTTGTCAAATTATCGATCATTAGAGCCATATAAATATTTTCGTCTATGCAATAACTATCTGCGTAAGTTTCCATGGTGAATTGCTCTATGACCTGGGTAGTATTCCGGTTCTCAGAATTCCTAAAATACCAAAGCTTGAGTTATTTCAGATGGTAATGGTATAGGGCACTACCAATTGACACAATAATATTCCAATAAGCCATATAAATTTGGAGGTTATGGAATGGGAACTCGGCAGAATTGTCGTTATAATACTTGAGACAAGCACAAGGTACTTATACTATAAATGAGCTAAACATATTACTGAAAATTTACCTATGACAACATATGGCATAGCGGCCACAAAGCAAAAATTAAATAATCCGTTGGAACGAAGACAATACATTGCTTCCTGTTCAGTTGATATACAGGGTTATTCATAGAGAATATTCAATCTCTGAACTGCAGATACTGAACACCAAAAAATACTTTGGTGATATCGACTATTTTTTTAACGCGGCTTCGCCTCGTTAATAAATCAGTTCTCGATCACTAAAGTAGCATTTCACGCTCTAGATTCAGAATAACTATATTAGGCATGTACAAACAGTGATCCAAAAAACATTTGCTTAGAGTAATGTTTGCATTTTTATGTTCGAAGCGGAGATTCCGTTTCCGATTAAACAGAAGAAGTTGTGAATAATTATCAATTAAGTAGTTACAGGGTGGAGCATTTGTGCGTCGGAGCTTGATTGCTCGAGTTTTATGATAGCTAGAAACTTGATTCAAAAATGAATGTGAATTTGACAAGAAGGAACATAACTAGAAATTTTATTGTGCACCGAACAAAATCTAGAGGGTCGTGATCATTTTTTTTAATGGAATGCCCTGTATATCAGCACATTTTTTCAAGCATCCTTGTAACCTCCATTTACCCCTATAATATCCTTAACTACCTATATCTCGATCATGTCAAAGTTAATAATTTTTTGTCGAGATAATGTCATCTGCAGATGCATACCGGAAAAATAACTTTCTTCACAATGATGAAATTCAAGGGAAAATAATCATAATATCATTTGAAAAATTTTATATTTCTAAAGAATTTGTATACTCTCAAATTAAACAGGGTGGCTGATGATGAGTTTTCAATTCGTCACTTTTCAAAGTGATTTTGAATTATGGAAATGGCCAACCTATTATTTTCAAAGTTCAATAATTCGAAAATAGTAACAAATATCAAATATGAATGTTGAGATTGATTTTACATCAAATGGCCCAAAAATATATGGGGTGCTCCATTTGAAAAGCTCGAGAAGAATAACTTCAAAAAGTTCAGAATTGAAAAATCATTATGATCCACTCTGTATAAAATTGGAGAGTATTGAAATTCTCCAGAAATATCACGCATCTTTTCATCAAATGATATTATGATTATTTTCTTTCCTATTTCTTAATTGTTACAACAATGAATTTCTCGGTATGCACTTGCAGATGACATTATTTCGACAAAAAAAATCGTATATGATCGATATACTCAACGATATCATAGGGGTTGGTGGAGGTCAGAGAGATGCTTCAAAAAATGTGCTAATATACAGGCCATCCATAAAATGATCCCGATCCTGTAGATTTTTTTGGTGCGCCTTGTATATGCGGCAATAATTTCTAGATATGGACCTTGTTGTCTCATTTACATTCGTTTTTGAATCGAGTTTCTAGCTCTCATAAAACTCGAGCAATCGAGCTCCGACACACTAATGCCCTACCCTGTATATTATACAGGGTGTTTCAGAGTTGTGTGACAAAAGCTTAGGGGAGAATTCTCTGAAAAAGATATAAACAAAAGTTCATAAAATAATGGGTTTTTTTCTGTGGCGGGAAAAAAGTTTGGCATTTCATCTCTGTTGGCAGGTTATAAAATGTCACTTTTCATAAATTACTTTTTTCCCGTGGGAAAAAAGTGAGTACTTTTTTTCCGGATATATATCACATATATATACTCTGTTAATGGCTTTTGTTGTGCTATAGTTCCGAAAAATGAGTCAATAATACCGTCTCCGAGAAAGAACTGCAAGTCCTTTTATCTTCCATTCGACTTCGCGGTTTCGTATATTTGTAAACAACTACTGAATTCGCAATTTTTAAAATCAAATCACAGAATTGAACTGACAGAAGTGACATCAGATATTTGATTACTTCAAAAGAATGATAAAGATGCCTATAAACCGCAGGTGTCCCTACTGTTAAAAACTTGAAATTTCACGTCGATAATTTTCAGATTTCGAAATAATGTAATATCTTCTCAATATTGATTCGTCCTTCCTTCTGTCACAGAAAAAAATAGTGTATTATACACGGGAAAAATATTAGATTTTAGCTCACGGTTTTTTGTCTCCCTCCGCCACGCGTCGGGAGACAACACAACCTGGAGCTAAAATCTACTACTTTTTTCCCCTTGTATAATAAATAGTAGATTGTTTTATTAGGATCAAAAGTGTCACTTTGTTTGACAAGCGAATTTTGCATTTGCGAGGCGGAGCGTTTAGCGAAGCCGAGCGTTAGCAAAATTTGCGAGTCGAACAAAGTCACTTTTGATCCGAATGAAACATGCTATTTTTTCTGCAACCGAAACGATTAACTGAAATAAACATGTGAAGTAACCACCAATGCCGTGCCATATGTATGCAATGCAACAAATATTGACAAATAATCCATGTGGTGAGAATATTCTACCTGCATTAACAGCAGGTTAGGTTTTCTAGAATGTTCGAATTGTAGTTTCGATATAAATACAACCACAGAGTGAGATATTTGTGTCTGGACCAGGTGCTCTAATGGCAAATACCGCGCCAGTGCCAGCTATAGGAACAAGACGTGGAAAATGTTAGGTTAGTGAGCATATCCACAATGATAATAGTGATTATTTATTCCTCTTCATACTACACTGTGTTTGACTTGATTATCAAATGAAGCTGAACAATATCGTTGTTTGAGACAGAAAAACTATTGGTTGCCGTGATTATTCAAAAACAAGTTATTCATCCCGAGAATAACGAATGAAATACAGATCAAGCAAGTATTTGAATCTTGAAGGCTTCCCTGATCAAAACAAAAATACTTAACTGAGATATTTATAATTCCAATACTAAACTATAATAAGGTGTATTTATGTCTCCAGCATGGGTATGAAATGCCAAATCTGCTGAAATCGGAAACAAATCAGGTATGCGTCTCAACCCAAATAACCAACCGTTACAATGTTGTTTATTCTTGATGACGTCCAGTACATCCTTTTTAGTTCCTAGGAGCTAAAGTTCAACTTTAGCTCCTAGGAACCAAAATTCAACTTTAGCTCCTAGGAACTAAATATGTTGCCTAGCAACATACCTATTTTTGTGTCAGTAACAGAAACGTCACTTTAAGAGCTAATTTTGGTATCAAAATAGACGACTTTTGTGTCGGTTGCAGAAAATAACTATTTAATAGTATAGCATTATGGTGCGGGGGTGCGCGGAGGGGCGTGACGTCACTGTTTCCCCGCCACGTGATTGTAGAATTCGTTTGTGTCACTGTCAAATGGATTGAAAAAATTTTTGAATTTGAATTCGAAAGAATCGCGAATTTTAGACTTTAGTTGAAAACATGGTGACAAGGAGACTGAAGATATCTTTGAAAGAGGGTGAGAGGTTGTATAATAATATCGTGTAGTATTATTCAAGGCTGGTCACATCATAATATTAATGAGTCAAGAGTGGATATAGAAGAAACAAATGTTATAAAATGCCTGTGTTTACAATCATCTGCTCTTGGGCAGCCTCCACATGAGATTCAGATAATTCCAAAGGAAAATGATGAGCTGTGGCAATGTGAATGTCCCTGTGAAGCAGGCATGTCATGGTTTTGTAAACACATTTTATAGGGACTTATATTGACAGGTAGGAAGGTGCACTTTTGATCTATCACACACGCAGGTAAAAAATACATGAAATTTCAGGAATGAAGACTTGTAATATGTGAAGCTGCATATATAACACACAGAAGTGGTGAAAATATAAAAAGAGAGTAGATCAATCAATGATCTATTATACAGCAAAACCATTTCAATAGTTCTGCTACCCGCTTATTAAAAGAAGGAAAGTGACCCCCTAAAATCATTCTCCTTTTATATAATTCAAGTTAATTTTACAGGGTATATCAGTCTATTTTGTTTTTTGTTTGGAAGCCAATGAACTCAATGTAAACAACTAGCTATTGCATGGTACTCAGGAACACTGGTGAGTTTATTAAATTTTAACATACCATAATATCATGAAAACTGTATACTTACATTAATTTTGGGCTATACTTGCTACTTCATTTTTACATGTAGCAAGGAGTCTTGGGAAAAAAGGCAATCAACTTCTTCTTTCCAAAGGATTTTTCAAATAAATTTGTTCAGCATGGAGTTGAATATATAATTCAAATCTCTTTCAAAATGTTCATTGAAAATGATATTGAATTTCAAATCATGCAAACAAATTTGTGTCCCAATATTTTCCATGGTTAGAATTTTCTCCATATGAAATTATGTTTTAGGAAGGAAGACCATGGAAATAATTGAAATAAGTGTCCTTACTGAGGTCCTTACAAAGAGGTTTGTTAAATAAGGTGTGTAACATTCAGCTTGAATTATTTTCTCAAAATTTTAGGTAAAGGTTCAGAACATTTTGTGGAACAATGCCATTTCTTGATAGGAGATGGTATAAAAAATGTGAAGTTGGAAGAGAGACACACTTATTATGGATAAATTCAGTTGGGAATAATGGCCCTAAAATGTCCCTAATGAACTTGAAAGAAACTAAGTTTCTTGTGTAATTCTTCTTCCTCCAAAACTTACATAGAGATTCCAGTTAATTTTATGCAACATTTTGTGTTAATCTTATGATATTTCCATTATGTTGCACTTTTATTGCATTAATAAAATGGAATGAATTGTGATGACTTCTTTATTGATTCATTTTCTTATTATTTCATTTTCAAACAATAATATGTTCCAAATTGATACTGAAATAAAATCATTGAGTTAGAATCATGCAATTTATCAAGAAGGAAATCCTCTTTAGTTAATTGTTTCTTGTTTCTCAGGAATGATGGCCTAATCAATTTCAAGATATTTCTTCACATCCCTTGTCAGCATGCCCTGATCCACCATGATTTCATCATTAGGTTCAGACTTCCCAATAACATTTTCTTCATTAAAAAATGCTTTATCAGTAGCTCAACCTCCATATCACCAAATGCCAACAGTAATCAGTCCTAATGGAGTGATATTGCAATAAGAATTTGACTGAGTTTCTGTGATGTGTCTGTACAACAGGAGCACTGGGGAACATAACATATCTTTCTAAATTCCTGTTTTCAGTCTTTTGTACTTGCTGCATGTTTTGGGAAAACAGTGAACTATCTCGTAGATACAAAAACATAACGGAAAACTTCAAAATTTATCAAAATTCACTGGATTGCACAATGCTAAATTTGTTTGTTTTGTTTATTGTTTATCACCTCCGCCATTTTCATTTTGCCGTTCGACAAAAGACGACTGGGGAAACAGTGACGTCAGGCCAGGTGAATATAAGGCAACCTTATAGAGTTAAATAGCCTTGAATTCGAACATCCTAGAAAACCTAACCTGCTGTTAATGCAGGTAAAATATTCTCACTACATGGATCATTTGTCAATATTTGTTGCATTGCATACATATGGCACGGCATTGGTGGTTACTTCACATGCTCATTTGAGTTAATTGTTTCGGTTGCAGAAAAAATAGCATGTTTCATTCGGATCAAAAGTGCCTTTGTTCGACTCGCAAATTTTGCTTTCGCTCGGCTTCGCTAAACGCTCCGCCTCGCAAATGCAAAATTCGCTTGTCAAACAAAGTGTCACTTTTGATCCTAATAAAACAATCTACTATTTTTATCTTGAAAACATATTTTTCACAAAATTTGAAGATTGTATACATTCTAGAGAGGCTATTGGATTTCATGTCTTCTTTATTTTCATAAATAATGATGTGCAATAATTTTTTGGATAATATCTGAGCATTTTTATTTTTCCTTATGGAGTACAGAGATATGCCAAGGCATGGAATGGTATTGTCCGTTTTTCGCCAAAACGAAGCAAGATACGCAAAAATAGCGAGAAACAGAAATGTTGTATTTCTCGTTGGCTCATCTGAATATTTAAGAACCCGAAAAAATACACAGGGTGACTTTTTTTTTACAAAAAAAGCCGACTTGCTCGATGGGTACGCCCTTGGAAAATGTGGAACAAATCTTATTGGTCCAATGAATATATGATAGTTGTATAAATGGACCACAACAATTTCATTCAAATTGGCTTAAGCGATTTCAGGATATTAATAAAGAACATCTGGTGTTGAGTTAGCGGAAATTCGGTCGAAATGTCGAGGAAAACCAATCGTTAAATTGTCGACGTTTCGAAACTTTATTGTTTCATCTTCAGGACACTGAAGAATAAAAACCAAGAACAAACATATTGAAATGATGTTTTAAAATGAGAGGTTTTGATGAAAACAATATAAATTATGTAAAATAACAATCGTTGAGAATAAAACACTTCTAACAGTTCACAGAAATCAACATTGATAGGTACTTACATTTAGGGTGGCTTTCCGGGTTTAAAAGTGGTGAAATTAATGAAATCGAAATGAAGTATAAATACGTATAAACAGGTTCATGAAAGACCTTAACACAGACACGAACACGAAGAAATGAACAAACTTCGTATTGTTCTTCATATTGCAAATATATAAAGAAACGATTTTGTTGAGTGGAATCTCTCCTAGGCTTTTGTAACTACAACTCTGAAACACCTTGTTATTATGTTGAATATCAAGCTCACTAACCTGCACATGTGCGTTCCCATCAACCAAAACGGCGCTACGGAAGTAGACGTCGCCTGCTGATCATGCAAATCCTTCGGTGTAGGCCCTACGGACAAAACCAGCTCGATGGTACCGCCTGTCAAACTCCTCAGTACCACCAGATACGAAGGCAGAATTTCGATTTCCAAAGGACCTTCGTGCTTGATTTGTACCCCATGAAATTTCCCGTTGGCGTACGCCCAAAACACTGGCACCGAATAGTGGTCGTTTTTGTTGTTGTATATCACTTTGGTGATGGTGGAATTGGCTACTGGACTGATGATGAATTATTGGCATTAAATTACTCCATCGTGTTATTAAGGATCTAGAGTATATTGTGCAACAAGTGGGTAAAGTGCTTTTCCCCACATGTTGCACACTATACTTTTTCTACAACTGCACTTATTCAAAGAATCCGAGTAATGTAACATATTGGTGTTAAATACTGAAAATGGTAAATTCAAGATTAATTAATGAAAACATCCTGTAACTCCTTTGATTGCCAACGTCACCAAGTGTCATTGAAAACTGAAAAGCTTCAAGACATATTATACGACTTTGCAATTGAAAAAATCTCTTCATGTTGAAAACGGGAGCAGAATCGGTCCCGAAACGTCCAAAGATAAGTGAAAATTTGATATTTTTTCTATATACCTTTATTTCTCTTCTCCAAAAATTTTTCAATACAAATTGTCACTGACAAGCTAGTGAATTTTTCTTTTAGGCTCTCTGATAGGAAAATTCTTTAAACGCAGTGACATTTTGAGGCAAATCATCTGATTTGTCCTTACTACACGTATATTGAAATAATATTCATATTTTTATTTTATAGAAACGAGGAGAGAAAATCCCAAAAAATTTGGAATAATGAATATTGGTGTTATTGGAATTTATTTCTGTATTTTTTTATATTCCATAAATTTCTCGTACCAATATGCTAATTCACACTTTTTTCATGAAATTTCCGGAAACAATTCGCAGCTTTTTCCATTATCTCTGTCTCTGGCGGTGTATTTATCAAAATCGTCACATCTCGGTATTTACATATTATTTATTATGAATTGTTGGAACAATATTCGATGGAAAATGCGATTTCTATCAAAAGCACTAATGAGAACTACCCTAAAGAATTTGAAAAACTTCTTCTGACAGTTGTGACAACTATTCAAAGCTGAACAGCAGCCAAGTTTTGATCGATTTTTGTTGATACTCCATGGAAATACAGTGTGTCCACCTTAAGGACTTACCACCCCTGTAAAATCGTTATTATCCGACCAATTTCAAAAAACCTCTTTTTGTTGGATAGGTATTTGAAATGCCCATCCAACGAGAGAGTGATCTAATTCTTGGACTGTTATTGTGACCAACTGCGACAAATTTCAATGACCCATATTCCAGAAAGTACTATTAGGGATTTTTTTCCACGAAACTTAATGATGGATTCTGAATCAGTACCACTTGAAATATACCTGTACCGATTTTCATCATAAAACACAGGGTGTCCGAAAAAACGAATCATCATTTTCTTCAAATAGGTGATCAGCAAATGTAGTTCTGTGGTTTTTTTAGAAAGAAATAATCACAAATTATCATTGAGGATTATTTCAAATATACCTGTACCAATTTTCGTCATTTGAATATACAATGTGTCTGAAAATTAAAAAGTCATCCTAATAATTCTTCACTCAAAAAGATGAATCAGGACCACTTGGAACATACCTGTACCGATTTTCATCATCATTAAACACAGGGTGTTCGAAAAATCAAATTAATATTTTTTTTGAGTTGATGAAAAAATATTGCCTACTTTTTCTTTTTGATTGTTTTCTCATACACATCGTATTTTTGAATGATGAAAATCGGTACCGATATGTTCAAAGTGATCCTCAATAATAATGTGTCATCAATTCTTCTCAAAAATACCACAATACTACATTTTCTGATCACCTATCAAAAAAAACATAATTCGTTTTTTCGGACACCCTGTGTTTTATGATGATAAAAATCAGTGAAGGTGTTTTTCAAGTGATCGTGATTCAGAATCCATCATTGTTTTTTGTGAAAACAAATCCCTAATAGTACTATCTCAAATATGGATCAATAAAGTTGGTCGCAGTTGGCCACGATTACAGTTCATGAGTAAAATCACTCTCTTGTTGAATGGACATTTCAAATACCAATCCAACAAAAAAAAGTTTTTTGTAATCGGTCAGATAATGATAATTTTACAGGGGTGGTAAGTCCTTGAGGTGGACACACTGTATATACCTACCTAATTGGTTTTTCATGAATTGATATGTGGATATAAGGAAACTGAGAACAGCGGGCGGTTAAGTGCACTTTACAGTCCGTAAGCCATAATGTGACCGCGGGCGGTAAAGTGCAACTTAACGCCCGCAAAACCGGGCGGTAAAGTGTACTTTACGGCCCGCTAGTGCATCAAGTATTTAAAGAAATCACTCCACTTGCCTATTCTCTTGGAAGGTGAGCAAGGTTCTATTCAGGCCGAAGAGCGAGTGGTTGGTCAGGTAGAGGGTCCATTCCGAGTATTTTTCTGATACCATCAGCGGCCCGTTAGATGTGGTGAGTAGGCGATCCTGTTCCGCATTGTTGCGGTATACTTCCACCTGGAGTTTTCTGTTTTGCACGTTCACCGTATAGTTTTTGTTTGTTAAAGTGTTGGTCGGCACAGTCTCATTCGCTCCGTGGAGAATTACTCTGACTGTGTCGGGGCTGATTTCGTCCACTGATATTTTCAGCTTTTGCGAGGAAAGCGTCCCGATGGGAGTTTTCTCGTGAGATGCCCGGAAGTCTCCTCCGTTCGCTTCGTAGAAATATCTAGACGGCACTGTAATTGAAGAGTCGAGTAGTCATGACGACTGATATTTTTTTCCTTATCATCATTGGCCAACCACATTAAAAAATGTAGAGCAGTTCAATTTTAAGCAGTGATAACCAACAAAAAATGGTTTTTACTGTTTTTGGTGCTGTTTCATGCGATAATAATGTCAATATGTTATACATGGCTCTGTGAAGCGAATTTTTTGCCCTATTCAATGGTATAAAAAACAAAATGTGGCGCCCATAAAAAAATCGAAAGATGCATGGTGAATCTTCGAAAATATTAATGATAAAATATTTCCGACAATTCCCCAACGTCTTCGTCTTGATCAATTACCTATTAACGCAAAATTCCAAATTTCTACCTCTAATATTAACGTCATATTATTGAGGTTCAATTTACGCAACTTTTGTCTAATTTAATCAACTTTCTATCTCTTACCGTTTAGGAGATAGCAATACTGTCCCTATTAAATCGTCCGGACCCTGTATACATTTACTAGCTGACCCGGCAAACGTTGTTTTGCCATAAACATTATTATTTCTACAAAATATTTTTTTAGTTAAATATTCATCAGCACAATTTTATTAATTTATTTTCTACTTCTTTTGGTTCGGCTATCTATAAAAGCGTTTTTCTTTAGTTTTTCAAACTATTTATTACAATAGCTGACCCGGAAAACATTGTTTCGCTATATACATATACATTTGTTTATAGAAAATGTTATTTTAGATTGGCTACCCATAAAAACTTGTTTCTTCAGTTTTCCGAACTACTATATTTATTTTCTACTCCTAAGCTATCTCTTTAGTTTTTTAATCTATACTATCTTTTTTCTATTTCTTTATAGTTTGGTCTCGAGTTTGGCTATCTATATAATATCCTGTTTCATTATAGTTTTTCAGACTACTATTCATTACAAAGCTCGTCCGTCATATTGAAACCTTCATTTTGAATTTCCAAATGTTGACGATAAAAACAGAATCTCTGACTTCGAAAAGCCCAAGATACCGATTTTGAATAGAATCGGATAATAATTAAAAAAACTCGTCCGCCATATTGGATCCGCCATCTTGAATATCCAAATTTTGACAAAAGAATTAGAATTTTCGACTCGGAAACCCCCTAGATACCAATTGAATAGAATCGAATCATAATAGACAAACTCGTTCGCCATATTGGATCTGCCATTTAGAATTTCCTAATTTTGACGAAGGAATCAGAATCTCCGACCCCGAAAAGACCAAATACCAGAAACCATTGCGGATATCATCTATGTAATCTATAACACACAATTGACACACTTTCTCAATACGTCTTGATACAGTAAGCGGCACAACATACTTAAAGAACTTCGTGCAACAACAGAGGCAGTTTTCCAGGAATTACGAAGACCTCCTTCAATAATTTTGAATGCATTAATACGTATTGAGAAAGTTTGTGAGGGAAAATGGACATCAATTTAAACAATTCAATGAATAAGTTACTGAATAATTTCGAGATCCAATTGTTTTAGTGAATATTTAATCAGGTGTTTATTCTACATTATGAACTTTGTATTACTATATATTTGTTGTTATCTTTCATCTAAGGTTTGTGTTTTGTTAGTTAATTAGTGTTAGTATTGTTTTTGCCCTCTTCATGGAACAATCAAAGGAAATATTCTTTCAATTGGAACTTTCTTCATATTAAAAATCCATAGCCTACTATTGAAAAGTTCAATGTTTTAGTGCTTTTTGAACTTTTTTGGCAATTTTATATTTATACGATCATTAGATATCATTTTGGAGGCAAAAAATAAGGAATTAAATGAGCTTATTAAATACAGGGTGTTCCATTTGACAAATCATAATTTTGAGTCGTATCTCCAAAACTATACCCTGAAAAAAAATTTGAGTGCGCCACTGGATTCTGCGCGAAATTCTCTATGGGATAAGATTTTAATTTGACAGTTTCGCTGACAAACTTCGTAGATATAGAGAGGGTCCAAAAAGTATAAATCAAGATCGCCTCATTAACGGAAACAGTCCTGCAAAATCTGATTAGGCCATCGTGAGATTCACAAAAAAGTGGCACAGGACCGCGAAAACCGCAAGGTTTTATCTCCAAAGATAACTGAGATATCACGCAAAAGCATCGAAAACTGGAAACACTGTACAGGGTGGTCCAAATTGGACACTTTTAAAGGGAAAGTCCTATTCCCGTACAATAAGATAGAAAAAACTGATGTCGGTGCCTGTTAATCAATTCACATGACAAACTGATAGGTGAAAACCGCATATCGATATCTATCTTGCAATTGACATTCGCGTTTGCAGCGTGTCACGCTTACATCACGCTGGTAACGAACAGAAAGGAATTTGGTGAAGTTTATTGTGTTAGATGACTTATTTAGTTTATAATAATGACCATCAGATGCAAGATGTGTTGTTCGGTGCCTCAGTGTAATCAATATATAAAAGTACGAATTTATCAATACACAGCTTCTCCGCAGTTGCAAAATTATGAATTGTGGAGAACATTTCAAAAATTGGGAAACCTATTTCCAATTATATGTCTGTGTGTAGTAAGCACTACTCAGAAACCGATTAAGAAGGTAATTTCATATCAAGAAAATAGTTTTATGTTAAATCTATTTTTAATGCATTTTTTCATTCAAGGGAAATGGAATCCTAATGCAAAAGTTCATTTTGACAAAAGGCTTCAGAAAAGTACCTCGAAAATGTTTTTTTTACAGCGATTTAATGTGCGCAAGACGCGTTGAAAATGTTTTGTTGTGTCCATGAAAAGGCTTTAAAAAGAACTAGGGAGAAGGTAGTTTTAAGACATATCAAGGACATCTCGATAATTGCCGCCTGCGGCGGACATTTGCTGTTCTATAATAGTTCTATTCATGTGTGAACAGAACATCGCAGTGGAGGTTCAATGTCTCGAAATCTCGTACTTTTAACATCTCTGAGATGTTTTTGTGCTCGCTGGGAATAAGGTGTTTTTGGAAAATGTGAATTTTTGAAATGAAAAAATTTCCAAAGCATTGTGTCATGAAAATTAATCCTCAGGCACTGAAATCAGTCACCGTATACCTAGTTGCAAAATAGATATTTTCCTTCGAGAAGAACAAGTTATATTCTTGAAACTAGATATCGAAAGGCCGATTTCAGTGCCTCGAGAACAATTTTCATCACAAGCTCAATGCTTGGCATTTATTTTCATGAGAACAGACAATTTTTGCCAACAAAAATATCTGTAGCCTCTTTTCAAAAATGCCCATTTTCGAAAAACACCTTGTAACTCCGAAGACAGATATCAATATGCGGATTTCACCTGACTTTTTCATGAGAATCGGACCTCAGGCACCGACATCAGTTTCCTTCCATCTGGTTCGAGAATAGGACTTTCCCTTTAAAATTGTCCAATTTGGCCCACCCTGTACATAAATAACCTACCTGAGTGATAACACCGCATCCTTTTCGTATCGTAACAACAATCCGCCTGCAGACATTCCTTATCCGTGAAATTTTTCCTTCCACATGGCACACGGAAGGTGTCGTTCACCAAACAAGTGTACAAATCCTCGCGTGTGAAGGTGCCTTCATCCACTACTAGGTAGTACACTAAAATAGGGCTGAGGGCCATCAGAAAGAGGAACAGCCTACCGAACGTCTTTCCTTGGCAGAGGCCGTCTTTCCAGCTGGTTTTTCTCTGGGGCGTCTCTCCATTTAGGTAGTCTTCGCGGGTTTCGTTTTGTTCTCGAACCCAGTTCATGATGATTCACTTTCATGACAATCGAACTTCACACAAACATGATTTTGAGCCCGCATTTGAATATCCTCGAAGGGACTTATCGATATGGCAGATAAGATAAACTTTGATAAAATTAATTTGAGATTTTTCAATGAAAATTTGAATCGTTACAGATTAAGCTGATTATTCTAATCTTAGTAGCGGATGAACTGAGAATTCCTACAAGTTCATGTGTAATTCAGTAGAAAGATTTTCATTTCATTCATTAGAAAGGTACAACCCAGCCAACACATCTGCGACATGACATCTCTGGGATGTCGCGTTTAGGTAACAGTGCGATATCACAAACGTTCCATCGCAGTGATGTTCATAAGCAAATAACACATCTGCGACATGACATAATACGAATGTTCCATCGCTGCGATGTTCAGAAGCAAATACATCTGCGACATGACATATCTGAGATGTCGCGATGAGACAACACTGCGATATCACGAATGTTGCATCGCTGCGATGTACAGAAGCAAACTCATATGCGAGAATTTTTCAAAAATTTGTTATTAAGATTCTTGTTCGGTGAAAAACAATACATAAATATATATACGTTACTCAAGAAAGTGAAGCTGAATTCGCGCAAATACTCGTTATATACATAGCTATCAAATTATTCTTGGTTTGCTATTACATTTTATGACAGGTATATCCCATCGAATTGAATTATTTATATTTCTATATTTGCTCTCATGATTCATTTCGAGAAACTAGAATAAATACTGAAATTTGAGAAAATGCAATAACAATATCGGCGTACATGCACTGGTCCTATTGATACTGGCCCATCAATGTCTGCCGGCATTTTGCCGTTCTGGCCAATTCTGGCTACTATATTCTGGGCCAGTATATTGCCGACTGAAATTGTTTGCTGGCAATGAATTGAATCCATAATTCTACTGACAATTCAACTCATGTATGAAAAATCCCGTAAACCGCTGTGATTTCGTCATTATGACAGCGAAAAAAGTTTTCCAGCGACAATTTGATTCATGTATGAAAAATCCCACAAGCCGCGTGATTTTGTAATTATGACAGCGAAAAATGTTTGCCCTAACTTTTCCAGCGACAATAACCGAACCTAACTTTTGAAAGCATGACAAACAGCCATGAACAAATGTTTGATGAATTGAATTGTCTTACCGAATTACACTTTAGCTTTTTTTTAGTCGAAGTAAACTTGGCATTTATAATTCGAATTTTGTTGCCATAATTGGTAATTCAACTCAAAAAACTGCCAGAAAAAATTATGAGTCATATGGACTCATAATTTTTTTAGAGGCAGTTGTTTTCGTCAAATTGCCTTATGTCAATCATTCTCAATCTTGCGTTGTCAGAATAGTTTATAATCTTTGGAAATGTCACGATATGGAGTGGAGATATTGAAAAATCCAAGTTAGGTATTTGTGTTTCATTGGACTGAACAATGTTACGGATATGAATTATTTAATACTACATAATGTCGAGTTCCTTGCAATAAAATATATTTCCACCAACTTAAGTGATATAAAGTTAGTCAAGAATAATAGTTTGAACTACCACCAGCTGCAATTTTTTTTTTTTTTTTTTTTTTTATCATAATGATCAATGATATCTTCCTGAACGTTCCAGATGGACTCCTGACACTATATGCTGATGACACATCAGTGGTCTTAAACAGCAAAAATTATGAAGACCTTGCTGAAAAGTCAACCAACTGTATCAGTAACATGAAAAGGTGGTGTGACACTAACGGACTGATATTGAATCTATCTAAAATAACTTTGTTTTATTCACACCTATAACAACAAAATCTGATATCTGCTTATTGGTGAGGCCTGGTAATGAAAATAATGTATCCATCAAACAAAGTAATTCTGTCAAATTCTTGGGTTTACATGTGGATGAAAATCTTTCTTGGGAGACCCACACACGAAATTTGGTAAAATCGTTGTCATCAAAGAATTTTGCAATTTTTCAACTAAGAAAAGTAACAAATACCGAAGCTATAATGGCATATAGCTGTGTACATTCTCAACTAATGTATGGCATACTATGTTGGGGTAATAGCTCTGGTTCTGAAAAGGTATTCATCAGTCAAAAACGTATAATAAGAAGTATATTTGGTATGAGATCAAGGGACTCTTGTCGTCAGATATTCATTTCTCAAAAAATTCCAACCATTTACAATATTTACATTCTGACCGCTCTATGCTTCACTCACGATAATCTTAAAAATTTCAAAACATGTGGTGATATTAATCTTTATACAACAAGAAATGCAAATAAACTATTCATTCCTCCAGCTTCACTCGCACAGATTAGAAAAGGTCCAGTCATAACAGCTCTCAAAATATATAATCATTTGCCTGACTCACTCAAAGTTCTAAAGAATCCTCTATTCAAAAGACAGTGCAAATTATTCCTCAAAAATAAAAGCTACTACTCTCTCATGGAATATTTTGATGATTCATTTTAATTTGTATCATTCGTCTTAGAGTACTTCTGTTTTATACATAATTCTTTGTAAACTGTTCTATGTCTGTTTTGTTTTTTTTTTTCTCCCAGATCTTGGGCTAGTGTCTAGTTTTAATATTATTACAGTTTTTATCCTAAATTGACAATTTCTATACTTGTTGTGCAAGTCTTATGAAAAATAAATACTTACTTACTTACTTACTTACTGCCTTATCAATATTTTCCGTTACTAAAGTTGGTATGTTGTACTTTATTTAGCGTAATCTCATTCTAGTATTCATTCAAATGTCGGCGTGAAATTTTCTTACCGGGAATATAGGAAATTCTCCCTCATCTTCGACTCGGGAAAGTCTTTCAAAATATTCGTGTTTTCGAAATTATTCCGGCAATAATTGAAGCTTTCGTGATATTATAAGTGACAATTTAACTCATGTATAAAAAATCCCATAAGCCGTTGTGATTTTGTCATTATGACAGCAAAAAAAGTTTTCCAGCGACAAAATGGAACCTAGGTCTATGTCAATCTTTCTCAATCTTACGTTGTCAGAATAGTTTGTAATCTTTGCAAATTTGTCGATTTGGAGTGGAGATATTGAAAAATCTGTCAACAATAATAATATGCTTTACGCATTCCTTTAATTGTCCGAATTACACTCAAGCAAGGCAAAGTAAATTTGACATTTGTAATTAGAGTTTTGTTGCCTTTAGGAAATGTAACTCAAAAAACTTAGGAGTCAAGTCATAATTTTTGTCGGTTACTCAACCGAAAAGATACATACAGAGTGGGCCTTTGAAAACGAAACAGAGGCTCTGTAGGTCGCCAAAACCGGATTATGAAAAGAATCTGAAACACGTCAACTACGTCTTCGAGGGGGACATCGTCCTACAATATTTTCAGCCCTGCGGCGTTGCCGCTGCTAACGAAAAGAAGCAACAACTTTGTTATTTCAAATGGAACACCTTGTATTTCATTGCATTTTTAGATTCCCCCCGAAGAGCTGATTTCATCAATGCATCACACTTGGGGTCTAGCTGTAATGGTTTCAGGGATATAAAGTGTTCAAAATCGAGATTTTTCAACTTTGACATTTTTTTGTGTCGAAATTATTCATTATTGGTCGAAACGGCTCTCATGTCCCTATCTCAACTTGTGATTTACTATCTACTGACATTTAATTGGAACAGATACAGGGTGATCAGAATTCTGAATCTTGAACCACTGCATGCATTGATGAAATCAGCTCTTCGGGGAGAATCTAAAAATGCAATAAAATACAAGGTGTTCCATTTGAAATAACAAAGTTGTTGCTTCTTTTCTTTAGAAGCGGCAACGCCGCAGGGCTGAAAATATTTTAGAAAGATGTCCCCCTCGAGAATGTAGTTGACCTGTTTCAGTTTTTTTTGATAATCCGGTTTTGGCGACCTACAGAGCCTCTGTTTCGTTTTCAAAGGCCCACTCTGTATAATGATGAAGATGGAAAGCCCTAATTTTGAGTACAATGGCAAATGAAAAAACTCCGCCGCATCCTGTGATAGTCAAACTCACAACCTCTGGGTTACATGCCCAACGCTCTGCCAATTGAGCTAACAGGTCGTCCGTCGATCAATCGGCAGGGAGGTCGAGTTCTCATCACACACCAGGCGGCAGAATCCTTCCAATTTCCGAAGTCACTCGACATCATGCACTATACGAAGCATCGCTGACTGGGTGGTACTATACAGTCACCATATTTCTCCGTTTGTCCTCTGGCATTGTCTTTCCTTGTACACGGAAATGTCCGAAGGCAATCATACATTAGAATAGATTAGATTTGGAATGGGGCCTTCGGGCTATCTGCCTCCACACTGCGACCTTTTCAGATCTATTGTGTCTGCCCTCAAAATCGATTAGAGTTCTTCGGCTAGCCCCGCCTTCTCTATGAGACTCCATAGGCTAGCTCTCAGATCTCCTGTGTATCTCTGGGCTCCTGGTTTTTCCTCACCCAGCGTAAGGAACCTCAGTCTTGACAAGCCCTCACAGTGGCAAAGTATGTGTACTGCTGTTTCTTCCTCTTTTTGACAGAACCTGCACAGCAGTTCTTCAGTCAGACCTATCGTACTCATGAGTTTGTTGAGCCTACAATGCCCTGTGAGAAGTCCCACTAGTATTCTAGTTGAACTTCGTTTCTGGCTTAGTAGATATTCTGTGAATGTTGGCGATGGTTTTTTAATAAACTCTTTTGCCTGTCTCATTCCTGGCGATTTGTTCCACCATTCTTGAGATTTAGTTTGCATCCATAATTTGATACTAGTCTTTTGTATAGCTTTCGCAATACCACAGAAGGGTTCTGGGCCATTAAGAGCTTTGTTTGCTCCTGCTCGGGCAAGTGAGTCTGCCTCTTCATTGCCCCTCGTACCCTGTATGTGCTGGTACCCATGCTAGAGTCAATCTGTTCTGACTGCCCAGTGCATTTAGGGTTTCTAAGCAGTCCCATACTAGTTTTGAGTTAACTTGCATAAAGTTGACTGCTTTGATTGCAATCATACATAGGAGTCGTCATAATTTTTGTCGGTTACTCAACCGAAAAGATACATATTATAATGATGAAGATGGAAAGCCCTAATTTCGAGTGACAACGGAAAATGAAAAAACTCCAACGCCCTGCGAGAGTCGAACTCACAAACTCAGGGTTACATGCCCAATGCTCTGCCAATTGAGCTAATCGGTCATCTGTCGATTAATCGGCAGGGAGGTCGAGTTCTCATCACACACCAGCGTGTGGCCTACGGTCTCGTAATTTTTTCGAATGCAATTTTTCATTTTTTCTACAAGCGTGCGTGATTCATCCTATACCCATACTCGATTTAGTTTGGGAAGTGTCATTTTCCCGCAACATTGCGAGAATTTCCCGCACAAGTGCGGGAAAAACAAAAATATGATGATATGGCAAAATATAAGTGGTACGTGATGAAATATGAGAGTTTGAGTTTGTTTTTTGCAGTATCAAGTATGTATGTTCAGAATCATCCATCAAATTGCACTATTTATTGTGAAAATTAAGAAATATTGAAAAAAAAAATTGATTATTATAAAAATACCTCTATAGATTTGGATTGATCTGATGGGAAACGAGTATTGTTGTCATGCCAATCAAACCTCAAATTAGTTTGTAATTGTCGAAGTGACAGACACAGGGTTACTGTCATTTTCGATCCAGTGGAATTGCCATTATGTGGTCAAAAACTTCCTGCTATAGGTATCCGATACAGATGCGTTATTGCCAACGAAGTCTTGAGAAAGGCATGAGAAGCTATACACGCGTTTAATTGTATGGTGCAACAATAAAGAAATTAAAATTAAAAAAGAAGAAATAATATTTTTGGCTCATTTTCTAGAAGTGTCTGAAACCTAAAGACTAAACACCTTATGGGCCTGCTGGCTTCCGCAATGAACCTATACATAATGCGTCAAACTCTAAGTTCACAATAGCTATTACTAATAATCAGTAGATAGAGAATATATTTCTCTTGTTGGTTGTTCCTATATGAATGAATAATTAATTGAACAAATCAATCAATTTCCTATGCTTGTAGAAAAAATATTGTTCCTAACTCATGCGGAAAGTGTCTTTGCCGCACTCGACTGCTTGCCGGAACTCAGCTTCGCATCTTGTCAACGTTCATGTCAACGGCAGTCGCGTGCGGGAAAGAATCACTTTCCGCACTTGTTAGGAAAATTACTATTCCCGATACCATAATTCTCAATGAAATTTCAATTTACTTCCACAAAAAAGCTAAGTGAATGCTAACAATTTGGGTCGTTCTTATGCTGGCCAGAATTGTAGAAAATGAAAAAAATTCTGGTGAACATTGATGAGCATGTACCAATAGGAGACGCTGGCCGTCATCAGGGCCACACTACAAGTCTGTCGATACATTCAATTGAAGAAAAAGTTTTACTTTGCAATGTGTTATCAATGCGCAAACCTTGCCAGTTTTTGACGTTTGTAGGAAAAGGTAATTTGCTTGGAATTATTAAAGAAGGTTTTCAAATAAAATTGTGCAAAGATTTAATAAAAATGATTATTCAACAAGTTGAAAAAAATCCCTGGCATATGACAGAAAATATTCAATTTTCCTTAAATGATATTTAATTTTTTTGAGATCTTCCAATTGGACAGAAGGAAAATGTTCATCAGGAAACTGTTTAGAAAATGTCTTTGGGTTCCTTTCTTCTGGTTTGATTGCCTCATTAAATAAATGATGGATATCAGAAAGAGCACACAGAATGTAAAACTTTGAATTTGTCTTTTTTGGCCCCTCCAATATTTTCTTCACGTCTTCACGCATTGTCTGTATATTTTCACAGTCACTGAGAATCCAGTCACTCTAAAAAAATATTGAATTCATATTTGGTAACTTAATATTTGATATTTTATGCGAAAAAGTTATTTTAACAGTTTTGAATCAGTTGAAAAATTGGGTTATAGCTTGTGGCATTTCTTTATAAAACATACAGATTTTCAATTTCATTATTCTTATGAAGTTTTGAAAATATTGAAGGAAAAAAAAATAAAATTGCTAGAATATAAGAAGGTGCAATCATTTTTATAAAAGAGAATTCCTAATATGATTTATTTGAAAATGAGAGGCCCAGTGTGGTCCATGTTATCTTTTCAAAAATTTTTCACTTTCCACAGTCTTTCTATGATATTCAGTCAATGAAAAAAATATATGGCACAAAATAGACAATAGCATTTTCCCGAGCATTTTCCTGTTAAAAAATTAGTCAATATAAGATGAGGAAGCATATGAAAATACATCTGAGAAGGATGCCATTTTCTTTAAGAAAAAAAATCAAGTTTGTGCATTTTATTTTGAAATCGATATTTCAAGAGGCTAAAAATGCCACAATCACTCTAAAAATCTACTTACATTAACACATTCCATTTCCACAGATTTCACAGCCATTTCATAATCTTCAAAGTTCTGTGCACTCTTTAAGGTCAAGGAAAGGGTGACCAAACAAGTGACAGCTTCTTTAGCAAAACTGAAATGTTCCCCATTGAAATATCTTGCTGAGAAGGCATAAGCTGCCAATATATTGATCATATTATACTTGACACAATCTGCAGGAGGTTTGGTCTACAATTTGAAAAAAATAATGAAAACTTGAAAAATTGAGTAGAAATCACTTACTATCAACTTTGAAGAATCCTTTATATCACAAAGTGGAGGACAGTCATTTTCATATTTTTCTTTCTCAACATCAACTTCTTCTATTTTGGTATTATCACAGTATAACCACCAGGGTTGCCAAGCAGTTATAAGTTTTGAAACATCCTCAGATCTAGAAATGATCAATATAAACATGAAACAAACCAACACAAATATCCAATCACTTTAAAAATGCTACAAATTCCTGTTTCTCATCTTCTGTTAATTTACTCCAAACTTCTTCTGAATCATCTAGATTCACTCCTGCTAATCTTTCTGTGATGTCTAGATGGGCATCATCATCATCTGAATCAACATCTGAAGCATCATCTGGATAATTTTCGTCTTCTGGTCCATCTTCAAGGTTTAATGAGTTGGCTTCATGGACTCCCTTGAGGATTTCCATGATCTTAGCCTTTGACTCATGGTTGTCTTTGTCCAGATGGAGTTCCTCCAAAACATTATCTTTGTAAAAGTTTTCACTGCATTCCAGGTGTGTTTTCGATTGGTAACAGCTCAGAGAACAATACAAAATATTGCAGCGGGGACATGAGTATTTGGCCAATGCGTTCTCACACCTATTTGAAGAGGAAAAAATTCGATTTTTCGATGATAATATGATCAATGGATACTCACAATTTACAAGTATTCGTATCGTCTAGCTCTATAATTCTTCCTGTGGCCATTTTAAAGAAATACAGCTGATAAGTTGTACTTTTCAACAAAAATAAATAAACAAAAACAACTGTCAGGTCTATATCTAACCTAAAAATAAAAAACGTCACGTCCAAAGCCAAACATAGAATTCAAAATTTAACACAGAACGTTAAAGAAAATGGGAGTGACTACTGCGCAGAAAACTCGGTGATCTAGCCAGAGTACTAATAAAATACACTGCCCAACCCAAATATTTCATTATTTAGCAATTTCTAATTTGAAGAAAAAAGTGACGTAACGAACAGATAAAGCTACCGAGGATGAAGATAAGCATTCCTCTACAAAGATGATTTATAGATAAATTTGTTTGATATATAATGGCCAATGCAGTAGAGGTTCGGATTCCGTACGCCACCGACTTGCTTTCTTTTTTCGAAGTAATTAATTCAAAAAAATCTCGAAAAAAAATCTGTGAAGGCATTTACTGTTGGGACCGATAGTCATTCGCTATTTCAATGATGTTATATATGTGGATATATATATATATAATATTATATTATTGCTATCCTACAATCTATCTACATACAAGCAAGTCGAGTTATTTACACCATTTATAACTCAAGAACAGCTGGACCGATATTGTTTTTTTTTTTTAGATTTCTAAAGTCCGGAATATATAGGATAATGAGTATTGAAATTCGTGAAAATTTGGAAATTCGAGATGGCTGCTCCAAAATGGCAGATTTTCCAATTATTTTAATCCGTTTCTATTCACAATTGGTAGCTGGGAGTTTTCGGAGTCGGAGAGTATGATTCCTTCGTCAAATTTTGGAAACTAAAGATGGCGGAACCAATATGGCATAAGTTTTGTAATTGTGATTCGATTCTATTCAAAATCGGTATCTGGGGGTTTTCGGGGTCGGAGATTATGATTCTGTCCTTAATCAATAAAAAAACCTAAATAACTTTTAATTGCAACAAAATTTCAAGTAAAAATCGTAACAAGTGCTCAGATATGCTCGAAATGTTTTCACTTATCGACACAAAAAAATCGGTTTTGGAATTAAATACGAACGTTTATTTACTGTTTCCGAGGTGAATTTCAAACGCTTGCCATTTTGAAACAGCTTGGCCGTTTGCACAAACGAAGCGGCCTAAAAGGTACCACGTGACCCCTCTTTACATTTGAAAAAAAAAGATGATGGTGCCCACTTCACACTAGGCTACGTAAACACAACCACAAGTAGTAGAAAAGATACCTTTTCAAGCTTGTTCCGTTCAAAAGTTAAAGGGAAGGATGGACTTTTAACGTTGTGTCGGTATCGTAAATTGGTATTACTACAGAGGTTATTCATTAGTTGATGAGCAGTCTATTGTCTATTATGTGATGAATTTATAGTTTCCAGATATCTCGCTGACCTTTTTATCGTTAATGTCACAAGAAATTCATATGTAATTTATTTCAGAGATGTTTTTACAATAATAATTATGATATAGCCATCCAAAATGTTCACGAGAATAACTCTCAACTTTACGAAAAGAAACTTCTCCAGTGAAGTTGGCGGAAAAACTACTGCCCTATACAACTTTCACTTGAAAAACGGTGGAAAAATCGTTAATTTTGGTGGGTTTCTCTTACCAGTTCAGTATAATGATTTGAAGATAGTCAATTCACACTTATTCACACGAAGAAGCGCTTCACTTTTCGATGTATCGCATATGCTTCAAACGGAAATAAGAGGTAAGCGAAACAATCCACCAATATGTTTTTTATTCTCAACACCCTTTTATTAGCTTCACCTCTATACAGGGTGTTGCGAAATTCGAACGACAACGCTTAACAGGTGATAGCCCTCGTGATTTTATAATCACTGAGATAAGTTTTCGGGATACAGGGCGTTAAAGTAAAGAAATAAAAATAGTTGTTTCGCAATATATCCAGAAAAATTGAATATAATGCATTCAACTTCGGTATTTGTTTTCATCTTTGAATGGGGCATTTTTTGACCAGGAAGCCATTCCGGACATTTTATCCAGTGGTACCCTACGGGGGGTTGTGGCAACTTTTCCTCCCATATTTTATACGCCACTGATTAAATTTCAATTTCAATTCCACGAATTCATTGTTCAATTTTGTTCAAAAAATTCATCACATTCAACTGAGCTGAAATGAACAGAGTTTTCGAGATATTCGACCCAAAATAGAAGATCGCATAAAAATATTTCATCATTTTCAGTAATATTTTTCTGGTGTTGAGTAGATTAGATACTATTCCAATATCATTTTGTAGCTGAACAGAAATAAAGAGACAATAACATTTTTTTTTATTTTCTACTACTGAGGAAGAAGAAAAATTGCTATGCAAACTTCTGTTTTGAGTCAATTATCTCGATAACTTGGTTGCTTGATGGTTTTAATCTTCTCCTGAAGATGCTAACATAGTTAGCGAAACACATGTCGAGGCGTTAAAAAATCGGTTGGGTTAGTGGTAAAACAGTGTAGTGTATCTCGATAACTGTTTATTTTAGCTTAGTTGAAGGTGATGCGTTTTTTCAACATAATTGGATAATTGGAAATATTCGAAATTTCATCAGTGGCGTAGAAAATATGGGAGGAAAAGTTATCACAACCCTCTGTAGCGCACCTCTGGATAACATTCTCGGAATGTCTTTCTGGTCAAAAAATTAACCATTGAAAGATGAAACCATATAACGAATTTGAATGCATTATATTAGGATAAGATGTCGAATCCAATGTGGCGGACGGATGAATTTTGTAAATATGATTCAATTCTATTGAAAATTGGTATCTGATGGGTATTTTCGGGGTTGAAGATTATGATTCTCTCGTCAAAATTGCAAAATTCATGATGGCGGATCCAATATGGTGGACGAGTTTTGTAAATATATGATCCGATTCTATTCAAAATTGGGATCTGGGGGTTTTCGGAGTAGAAGATCGATGATGATGATTTTGTCAAAATTGGGAAATTCAATATGGCGGTCGGGTTTTGTAATCATGATCCGATTCTATTAAAAATTATTATTTGTGGGTTTTCGGGGTCGGAGATTATGATTTTTTTTCAAAATTGGGTACTTACAAAATATATAAAAACAAGGAGAAAAAAGCTTTTGTAGTCAGTTGAACTAAAAAATAAAAAATAAATATTGGTTTAAAGAACTAAAGGAACGCCTTTTTATAGATAGCCAAACTAACTCTGCGATTAGAGGTCTATAAAAAATCACAAGTTTCCATCGTTCAAGTTTGAACCCCCTGATTGGGTATGAAAGTGTTGAAAAGGAATATTCTCAGATGAATTATGAACATACAAAAATGGATATATTATTCATCCGATTTGAAGATGAATGTCAATTCTCAATTTCGGAGGATTTCATTCTTTATTTTTCATGTTCTCCTTTTGAATGTTCATCAGATATAATTCAATGTTCGACGTGGCAAATAGCCAGGAAAGTAGTTGTTCTCTGTTGAATATTCAGAATGATGTGTGCGTGTACATATTTTGTCTGAAGGAGAATGCAAATTCTCAATTTCAGAAGTTTTTTTTTCATATTTTATTTTCAAACTCTTATCGTGTGTGTTTATTGTTTTCTATTGAATCAACTGAAAAATAGTAAATATTCTCATCACATAGAGAATGCGAATTCTCAATGCATTACTTTATATAAATATATATCCATTTTTGTATGTTCATAATTTATCTGAGAATATTCCTTTTCAACAATATTTTCTATGTTGTGTATTTATCAACACACTTTAGTTATCTAATTTTCTACTTCTTTTCAGTTTGGCTATGTATAAATTAAAGGGTGTTTCTTTAGTTTAGTTTTGATATCCAATACGAAACTGTCAATTTTTGTAAACGAAACAGTCGAAAATTAAATTTTGTGATGTGAAGAAATGGAATAAGGAATCCAGGTTCGTTTTAAGAAAATGTGAGTTGATGATGGTTTCTGGAAGACGAAACGTCGGATTTCAAATTTTAAAACGCCAACTTGTAGGGAAGAAAGAGTGGCGATGATGAAGTGTCATTTGTTTCGATAAATTTCTTCAAATAAAACAAATAAAAAAAGGAAAGAAAAGAGAAGGTACTGGTTTCGGTTTTCTTCGTATATCTCCAAAAGTATTCGGAGTTTCAAAACGGTATTTGTTTAGGAATATAAGTGCGCAACTTTGGCATAATTTAACCGACCCTGGTGTATCTCATATGGTTTACTAGTTCCTAATGATAAGCATCGAATTCCAGCCATCCTGAACACATATTATCGACAATAAATAATTCAAATATATTTTTGGGCTTAGGGCACCCTCAAAAAGTGTATAATTTTCTGTATGTATTTTTTCCAAAATGTGTGTTGAATTGCTTGAAAAGTTATGTTATAGCAGAATATGTAAAAAAAACAATGTAATTTTTTTTTATTCTTAATTTTCAGGAAAAACTTGTATTGACTATGTGGAATCGACTTGCACCGCAGACATACAGGGTATGGAAGATAATACAGCCAGTCTGACCGTATTTCTCAACGAGAAAGGGGGCATTCTTGACGATTTGATAGTGACAAAAATTTCAGAGGAGCATTTGTACATTGTTTCGAACGCCGCTAGGCGAGAACACGATCAAACATTGTTATTGAAAGCTTTGGTGAGTAAAAAAATTATACGAAATTTCCATGACTTCGAAAACCCTCCCAGGTAGTTATCTTCAAACAAAAATATTGAGTTGCTTTTATTATTCATTTTTATAACTAACTGAAACAAAATATTCATTCCTCTTTCCAATACCGTCTGTCCCAAGTTATCGTATATGGGCAATATATCTCGCTTATTTGTCAAAATAATAAAAAAATAAAAAACTGCATTGAATGGCATCAAACACTCTTCCTGATGACTAATGAAAAATGTAATACATTTGCGAGCGCTCTGGTATTCCATTCAGAGCAGCCATAATTGAAGATTATTTCAAATTTTGCAGTGAATTAATGATAATTATCTCATTTATTTACTCTAACGAAATAGACAAGAATGTTTCAATTCAGGTAGGATCGAAAATGAAATGTCTACTTCAAATTCGTGGGTTATATCAGACGACCTGTCTTGCTATAGAATGCACCAGGTAATTAGATTTTATTTCGTCTAACAAAAAAACACAGGTATATAATAGAAAATATCGTTCGTTATACCGGGTGGCTACGGAAGTATTGCCTACGGAATATCTCAGTTATTGTATGGAGTAGGTTTGTGAAATTTGGAGCGTCGATATAATGACATAAGAGCTAGAATTTGAGCATATTGACATGTCGAAGTTAACTTCCGGTCTGACCGGAAGTAACATCAACTTTCTTATTTCAAAGGGAAACCCTTTTTTTTTCTTCTCGCTTTATTCAGCATTCAATTCCCTTTCTAATGACATATCACAAGTTGGTATCTAACCAGAAACTAGATCAGAAAAAAATTATTATTGAAATTCACCGATTAGGCCGTGGAGCAAAATGAAAGCCAAAAATTGAAAAGTTGGCTATGGAAACCATACGTCACTTGATAACAGTTGCTACTACTGTGATATTTTATTTTCATTCGTCGGCGTTATAAAAAGCCGCAAAAAAAAATATTGAGAAAATTGGGGAAAAAAAAATACTCTGTAGGTCCATAACTTAAATAGGAACATACAACTTTTTCTTGCCTGTACTATTCAGCATAACCATTCCTTTCTAATGATATAATAGAAAGTCATTTTTTGAAATGAAATACGCTTCCACGGCCTACTCGCGGTGAATTTCAATAATAATTTTTTTCTGATCTAGTTTCTGGTTAGATACCAACTTGTGATATGTCATTAGAAAGGGAATTGAATGCTGAATAAAGCGAAAAGAAAAAAAATAGGGTTTCCATTTAAAATAAAAAAGTTGATGCTACTTCCGGTCAGACCGGAAGTTAACTTCGACATGTCAATATGCTCAAATTCTAGCTCTTATGTCATTATATCGACGCTCCAAATTTCACAAACCAACTTCATACAATAACTGAGATATTCTGTAGGCAATACTTCCGTAGCCACCCGGTATAGCCTTGGTTCGCCGTGCTATAGTCTTTGGCAGTTTGTCAAACACTAAATATAATAGAGTACATACAACTAAACCTTTCGCTATATTGTTTCAATTGAAACTCGATACGTTGATCCAAAAGTTTGGTAATTTTATCTTTGGCGCTCTAACAAATATCGGGTAAATTTAACTCCACCCCAAACAATATAGCTGGCGCTAGTGAGACTTCAAAGCTCTCTACTGTGACCATACCAAATCAGTGGTGATCTTATGATGATTGACGCGAATATCGCTCTCGAAGTCCTCGCTACAAGACAAAGTGCACGGATTCTTGAACAACTCCAAAGTTGCGAGCAATTGATGCGAATTTCCTAAAGTCCTCGTCACACAGCTCGTAGTCGCGAGCACTTAAAGACGTCGCTAGTAGCAATTAATGCGAATCTCCCAGTGTACTCGTCACAGGGCTGTTTGCGAAATTCTCAAACAGCTCGTAGTCGCGAGCACCTTAAGACCTCGCTAGTGGCGATTGATGCGAATATCCCAAAGTTCTTGCCTGAGGGCTTTGTATGAGAATTTCTGCGTGGGATATCTTCAGGACCTTACTGAGCTCATCCTAGGCGGTGGACATTTGGAGGAGATATAGCGCTCCTAGCGACCTCTTGAAGAAGTTACAAAAGGCATCACATCGTCCTAGAAGGATATATTCAAGATATCTTCAGGACCTCTTCGTGCTGCCTGGGCTGTTTATGCAGATTGAATAAAGATAGTATGAATTGAAGACTGAATATACCGTTTATCAATTTACAGTTTTCTATAAACTAAACGGACTACTCTTAATTTGACCTTTGTTGTCTTTTCAAAGCATTTCATTTGCGATGTTTACCTGAAATGTGATGTTTCTCATTTTAGGATGCCCACAAGAAGCGATATCCTAGTGCCGATATAAACGTGACTTTTTTCGATCCCTCAGAAAAAAGTTTGATAGCATTGCAAGGCCCAAAGGCAGCTGAAGCATTAACGAGTATAACAGATGTAGATATTTCCAAGTTGTACTTCATGAACACCCTGGTAGGAAACGTTGCCAATGTTCCAGATTGCAGGATAACCAGGTAAGTATACATGGTGTTTCGGAATTCGACCAATAACGCTCAACAGGTAATAGCCCTATTTAATGTGACGTCAGTTTTTATGCTGTTTCGTTATTGGTAAGATAATCTTCCATTTCCACTTATGAAGCAAGGTTGTCAAGTCACCAATTATAATCAAGTTATCAAAAAGATGTTGGAGCCCTGTCGTTCAATTAAACATAATAGGAGGACATTATAGATCATTCTTGAATTTTTCGAGCAACCAGCATGTCCAAATTTTTTTTTCTCCATAACAAAATATCATGTGAATGTTGGAGACTTGGCAACATTGTTCTGAATGCTGAGAACTGACAATACCACGCCCACAAGTCGTACGCGGGGTTGTCACGTTCACCGAATCAAATGTTCACTAGTGTAAATTGATATAATGATTATTTACACAAATTTATTACAAGCAATAAGCCACAAATCCTTAGGGAACATTTTGGGACAATTGAATTTTTATTGCTAATTAGGAATATTACCATTAAGCAGTTGAGAATTTATGAGCTATTGAATAACTAATATTTCTGAAGTTCCCCATCGTATTTCAACACATAGCAACTGTGCTATGGTCTGCCATTACTTACGAAATCGTGGCGTCAGTTTTTACTTGCGGTAAAATTCTAGCCTTGGCATTATTGATGATTTTTAAGGAATATGAAATTGAAAGACGATCGTGTGACGATTCCATTTAGCAAATAAAAAAAAATAGTTCACTCGTCCATATTAGTGTTCAGTTTTTGAGATACAGAGTGTTTTTTCCCAATAACTCAAGAATTATTGAATATTTTGCATTTAAATTTGGTATATGATTTCATCTTTGAGTGGGGCATTTTTTGATCAGAAAATTCCGGACATTCTATCCAGTGGTGCGCTACAGGGGGAGGGGGAGATTCCGCTAACTTTTCCTTTCATATTTTCTAGGCCACTGATGAAATTTCTATTATTGTCAATTCTTCGAATTCATTGTTCAATTTTGTTCAGAAAATGTATGACCAAAAATAGAAGTTTGCATAGATATTTTTCATCAAATATCTCGAATACTGTTCACTTTAGCTCGGTTGAAGGTGATGCATTTTTTGAACAATATTGAACAATGAATTCGAGAAATTGAATATAATCGAATATTCATCATCAGTGGCGTAGAAAATATAGAAGGAAAACTCAGCACAACTCCGTGAAATGCACCACTGGATGAAAAATTGGGAATAACTTTCTGGTCAAAAAATAACCCATTCAAATATGAAACCATATACCGAATTTGAATTCAAAGTATTCAATCATTCTTGAGTTATTGCGAGATAACTATCAATATTTCTCAACTTCAACACCCTGTATCTCAAGAACTGAACACTTGAAGACCGTATGTCCATGCCTCAGTAATTATGAAATCACGAGGGGTATCACCTGTCAAGCGTTATCTGTCGAATTTCGAAACACCCTCTGTATTGATGCCGGTATAACTGAAAGTAGCCATTATCGCTGAAAACATTTTTGGTGAATCCGGCATCACTGTAAACAGCCCCATGACGAAGTTTGAAATGTTATTCGATATAATGCTGGGTTTATAGATTCAATCAAACTAACAATTTGGAATTAACAATTAACAATTAATAATCATGAGTGTTTATACATATCTGATATTAATTAAGAATTGAAAGTGAAATGTCTTCTAATCAAATATCAAAATGATGTTAAAAAGTGATTTTGGTCTCCACAATTCATGAATCTATAAATAATATTCCAATTTAATATCACCAAACTCCACTTGAACAATGACAAATCCAATCTTCATGTTCTGTCTCCAGAATTTCCTAATTCTTAGTTGTTAAGTTGAAAGTTGGCCAACTTAATAATTCTTAATTCTTAATTTAAATGACAGATGTAAATTTATAAACCCTCATAGATGTTTCCGTGTATTCAACTTTTCAATTTCATAGTTGTTAGTTTAATTCTTAGTTTAGTTGAATCTATAAACCCGCAGCATAATGTCTGAGAAACGTGTGAGAGAATAAGCTTTTCGTGAATGATCCTGTATAAATATTTCACCAGCTGGTTCTATCACCGAAAATAATTTAAAAAAAAATCATAGAGCTTTTCTTCAATGTCCTTCCTATTTTTTGAGCGAGTCAACTGTAAAAATTGAAACTAGGGATAATATGAAATTGAAGCATGAAGTAAAATTAACAGATGAAAATTTCAAGATGCTGACTGGGCGCCATCTGGATAAAACAATTTAATGGAAAGGGGTATCTTGTAACACCTCTTTTTGAAGCTCCTGACGAATACTTCACAACCCTAGAATATGAAGTAAATATCTTCACCTATTACAAAATGGCGGAACATTTAATAGCACCACCACACATTACTCCAGACAAGTTATAAATATTTCGATAATACTTTTTCTTACGAGCGTGCGCAAAGTAGTACTTTTCCGCACTCATTTGCGTGCGCAAAGTAATACTTTTCCGCACTCAGTGCGGATATGGGTGTTATCCGCACGGCGTGCGGATAAGTGAAACTACCCAAAAATCTCACTGGTATGGAACATTTATATTCATTTTAGTTGCTGTAGACTATTCTATGCACTATAAGAAGCCGCGTTATCCCTTTTACTTTTCAACCGTTCCGTTCTTCCCGATATTTGTATTAATTTCACCTCAATATAAATATCAGGGAAATGATTCAATTTGCTATCATTATATTTTATTGATATGTTGTTGTTTAGCTATTTCTATGAAGTTTAACTGAAAATTATTCAATAAATTGTAATTTGAGTTGAAATTTTTTATTTTCGTTCTCATCTGAAATGAAGCTCGTAGGGAAAATGTGATTTTCTATTATTATATTTTTTCCAAAAAAGGTTCGCGCATTGATAACAAATTGCGAAGTGACACTTTTTTTTCAGGTTCCTACGATACCATGATACCTTGCACAAAACAATGCGCGAAGTAAAACAGTGCGCGAAGTACCTCTACTTCGCGCATTGTTATGTAAAATATATGAGATATTTATATTTCAACTTCATGGTTCTCAATCGAGCAAACATCCACGAAATCATTTATTTCTGAATGTTCAACAATGACTTTCTTTTAGCTCTTGGAGCGCACGAAAGGAAATTCCTATTATGTTCGTGGAACATCGTTCGTACCTAGGGAGGATTGGAGGAGGCCTTTTAAGCCAGTTCAACACTATTTTTTATATCAAGCTAAGCATATTTTTAACTTAGAACCACATTTTTTGACGTTTGTAGAAAAAATGTTGTTTGCAACTCGAGCGCGAAATACTTTGGTCATCTCGACTATTTTTTTAACTCGGCTCGTTAAAAGAATCAGATCTCGATCACCAAAGTAGCATTTCGCGATCTAGATACGAAAATAACTATTATTGTTATTTGTGATTGTTGTATAGTTACATTTTTCAATAAGTTCTAATTTTTTTTTATTTTCCTTTTCATCTGATATGAAACTCGTAGGAAAAAAGTTGTTCCTAACACGTGCGCTCCGCGTCGTTCGCCTAACTGTATTTGCGTGTGGAAAAGTAACACTTTGCGCACTTGTTGGGAAAATAGCTATTTCCGGTCGATGGTTGTCCGTCGAGGTCCTACGGAATGGCCAGCCCGCTCGCAGAATTTGAAAACTTCAGACGATTTTTTAATGGGGCTATTTGAAGCAAAATGTGTACGAAACTGCACCTCTGCTTCTATATTAGATATACGACTGAGAATTATGAATATTTGTAGAAATATCGACGTAACTGTGTTCGAAAGCGTTCGGCGTAAAATATCGAATTGACTGTTCTTATGTCAAGAAGTTCAAGGCAACCATTTCGATCATCTTCTGAACTATGAACTCAGCTTATTTCCTCAAATTATGAAGTGAACGTCGATGAATTCAGGCAATTATTAAATGTTCCGCTATTTTGTAGTACCTAGGTGAAGATATTGACTTCATATTCTAGGGTTGTGAAGTATTCGTCAGGATAGCTTCAGAAGGATGTACCACAAGACTCCCCTTTCTATTTAATTTTTTTCCTAGATGGCGTCCAGTCGCCATCTTGAAATTTTCATCTGTCAATTTCACTCCAGAATATAGTATTCATGTATCAATTTTATTATCTCAAGTTTCAATTTTTTCAGTCGACCCTTTCGAATAATGAAAGGGGAAGGGGGGCATTAAAGAAAAGCGCGGTATAAAATACGTAGGTATATTTTGAAAAATGTTTCCTGATAAAGAAATGTATAGGTACGGTTCTTTGAAGAAGATATTGTTTCCTGAATAGACTGATGACCTCTTGGCGCTCAACAAAACAGAAGAAATAATTTTGAAATTGTGCAAATTGATATCAGATAGAATAAAATAGACATATTGTCAAGTTTAAAGTTGTGGGATTCATAATTTCTGTTGATTGTTTTCAGATGCGGTTATACGGGAGAAGATGGATTCGAAATTTCGGTGCCTTCCTCAAATATTGAGCAAGTGTCGGAGGCCTTGATTGCGAATGAAAATGTCAAGTTGGCTGGTCTTGGAGCACGAGATTCTTTGAGGTAGTTATCTGCATTCAATTCAGCTCTATCATCGACCAAAAATAACTGTCGATTATGGCTACAGGTACCGTGCACGATAACTGACCCTGGAGGTTAAACAATGAAACACAACCTCACTTTTCTGTAAAACATTGAAACACTACCTCACTAAGTAATCGAAGAATTGAAATAGTTTTTCACAATATTTCTGCATTCGAATTGGGCCATTCATTAATTCAAGCATGTCATCACAGTGTGCTGTTGTACAATGCACAGAAAATGCAGCGAAATACGAAGGAATATGATTTTCTCTCGTGCGCTCCAAGAGAAAAAATATAAAAAATATATTGCTTAGGTAAACTATTTTTTTCGGAATCAGATATACGTGCCAGAAAATCTCATATTCTTGAGTTTACTTCTCAGCGAGCACAAAAACATCTCAGAGATGTTAAAAGTACGAGATTTCGAGACATTGAACCTCCACTGCGATGTTCTGTTCACACATGAATAGAACTATTATAGAACAGCCAATGTCCGCCGCAGGCGGCAATTATCGAGATGCCCTTGATATGTCACAAAACTACCTTCTCCCTAGTTCTTTTTAAAGCCTATTCATGGACACAACAGAACATTTTCAACGCGTCTTGCGCACATTAAATCGCTGTAAAAAACCATTTTCGATGTACTTTTCTGAAGCCTTTTGTCAAAATGAACTTTCGCATTAGGATTCCATTTCCCTTGAATGAAAAAATGCATTTAAAATAGATTGAACATGAAAATATTTTCTTGATATGAAACTACCTTCTTAATCGGATTCTGAGTAGTGCTTACTACACACAGACATATAATTGGAAATATTTTTTCCAATCTTTGAAATGTTCTCCACAATGCATAATTTTGCAACTGCGGAGAAGTTATGTGTATTGATGAATTGGTACTTTTATATATTGATTACACTGAGGCACCGAACAACACATCTTGCATCTGATGGTCATTCTTACAAACTAAATAAGTCTAACACAATAAACTTCACCAAATTCCTTTCTGTTCGTTAGCAGCGTGATGTAAGCGTGAAACGCTGCAAACGCGAATGCCAATTGCGAACAAGAAGAACAAAATCGAAAACAAATCAGAATTCATCGTATTGTGACGTAAGCATGAGACGTTGTGGTAAGGCAAACAAAGAAAGGGCACAAAAGAACAAAAACAATACTTTCAATATCCTTTCAAGACCTCTTTGGGAAGTGCATATTACGCCTCAAAAAAACAGCCTCATGCCTACATTTCTAAAACATCCCAAAACATCCCAGGGATACCTCTCAGTAGGCAAACAAAGAAATGCCACAGAAGAACAAAAACAATACTTCAATATCCTTCAAAGACCTCTTTGGTCAGTGCATATTACGTCTCAAAATAACATCTTCATGCCAACATTTTCAATACATCCCAAAACATCCCAGGGATGTTTGTGCTCGCTGGGTTATTCTTAGTTGGCCATGGCGCCCGCAGTTGCGTTGGGAACAATCAACTGTCACGGAAATGTCATTGTAATTGCCGGCTCGTTTGAATTATTCGAATGAAGATTACTCAAATCTATTTATTATTTTTAACTGAGACATGTTAATTCGCCAATATTTCGAAAACATTTTCGATGCCGAATCGAATGAGAATATAAAATTGGGGGGTTTCCATTTGAAAAAATTGACTAACAATAATTTTTTCAACCGGATCTAAATCATTTTCTGGTGGACGCCCTGTATAACTGTAATCGAATTGATATCGAAATTCTACAGAGCTGGGTGCCCTCCTACTAATAAATCGATACACAATCTAAAATAAATGATCATGTCCAGAAATAAAAAAATAGTTATTTGTTTTACTAGGCAGTAAAGCACAAGATTTATTGCCGCGGCTGGCGTTTCATAGCCAATAAAGCGTGGTCGAGGCTAGGAAGCCAGCCAAGGCATTAAATCTGGGTTCTGCCGTGTGCAACAAATAATGTTTTCTCCAAATTCGTCTACTTTCACGCAAACTTCAAATAATCCACCATTTTGTGTTCACCCAACGTCAGTGTCAATTTTGATTACCAATTTGATTCGAATTATTTCTCGGAACGTTGCATAGCAACAAACTTTTTCTGCCTAGGCAGTAAAAGTATCGTTTTTCTGCCTGTTATGTGCCATTAAAAAGTCACTTTTAATGCCATTTGGAGAAAATAGTAGATTGTTTTATTAGGATCAAAAGTGACACTTTGTTTGACAAGCAAATTTTGCATTTGCTTGTCAAACAAAGTCACTTTTGATCCGAATGAAACATGCTATTTTTTCTGCAACCGAAACAATTAACTCAAATAAACATGTGAAGTGACCACCAATGCCGTGCCATATGTATGCAATGCAACAAATATTGACAAATAATGCATGTGGTGAATATTCCACCTGCATTAACAGCAGGTTAGGTTGTCTAGGATGTTCGAATTGTAGTTTCAATATAAATACAACCACAGTGTGACATATTTGTGTATGGACCAGATGCTCTAATAGCAAATATACCGCGCCAGTGCCAGCTATAGGAACAAGACGTGGAAAATGTTGGGATAGTGAGCATATCAACAATGATAAAGATAATAGTGATTATTTATTCCTCTCCATACTCTGGCATACTACACTGTGTTTGACTTGATAATCAAATGAAGCTAAACAATATCGTTGTTTGAGACGAAAAAACTATTGCTTGCCGTGATTATTCAAGAACAAGTTATCCATCCCGAAAAGAACGAATGAAATACAGATCCAGCAAGTATTTAAATCTTGGAGGCTTCCCTGATCAAAACAAAATCTCCAGCATGGGTATGAAATGCCAAATCTTCTGAAATCGGAAACAAATCAGTTATGCGTCTCAACCCAAATAACCAACCGTCACAATGTTGTTTATTCTTGATGACGTCCAGTAGATCCTTTTTAGTTCCTAGGAGCTAAAGTTCAACTTCAGCTCCTAGGAACTAAAATTCAACTTTATCTCCTAGGCACTAAATATGTTGGCTAGTAACATACCTATTTTTGTGTCAGTAATAGAAACGTCAATTTAAGAGCTAATTTTGGTATCAAAATGGACGACTTTTGTGTCGGTTGCGGAAAAAATATTTTTCGGTCTGCAAATGCAATTTTCAACTTAAAATTTGAAATATTTCGAAAACGGTTAGACTTGGGTATAGGACATTATACATGAAACATGCTCAGAATCATGCGTAAAATCTGAAACCTCGATAATATACAAGGTGTCCCATTCAAAATAACGAAGTTGGGGTATGACCGGAAGTGCCAAAATCTTCAACAATAGTGGACTCCGAAATTTGGCCACCTATGGTTTTCTATATATTGATTGATGCAGTTCCCAGAGGGACACCCTGTATAGGGTGGATACTTTAACTGGAATAATACATCTATCTTTCGATTTAGTGTGTATATAAACTGTTTCTAATGATTTTGAAGGTTGGAAGCCGGCCTTTGTCTATACGGAAATGATATTACTGCAGACACCACCCCAGTTGAAGGAGCTTTGACTTGGCTCGTCGCGAAAAAGAGACGAGAATTGAAGAATTTTCCCGGAGCTGAAGTGGTTCTCGAGCAGATCAAAGAAGGTTCAATGGTTAAGCGAATAGGTGAGTGTATAATCATAACTTTTTCTCCGAACTTCGAAATTAACCGATATTAGTATAATATATCTTGATAATATCGATGAACTGTGTTGAGAATTTTGTGGGTAAAATATCTCGCTTATTGACAGTTTGAAGTTTTCTTCGTACGACAGAACATCGCGTTAGAGAACATAATTTTTGATGACTCAATGAGCATTAAACCAAACCGGAGTAGCGCCATATGTTATATTTTTTTATAATTCACAGATAATCGAGTGTCAACTAGCCTAGAAAACTAAATGTCAACTAGCGTAATTGACAGATAACTAAGTACCAACTAGCCTAATCGACATACCTACTAAGTGTTAAACAGACACTTAGTTATGTGCTCATCTAGGCTAGTTACCATTTAGTATATTATGTCAATTAGGGGCTAGTCGACACTTAATAATCTGTCAATTAGACTAGTTGACACTTAGTTATGTAAATTAGGGCAGTTAACACTTAGTATCTGTCAATTAGGATAGTTGACACTCAGTTATTTGCCAATGGGGAAGACCACTGAGGGAAGAAATCCGTGCAAACCTCTTTCAATCGACGAATCATGATTTACATTTTATGTACAATCAATATTATGAGTTCAAGGGAATCGAATTTATATCCTTTTGAAATCAGCATATTTCATTTGATATTTCAAACAGCCAAATATGATGATGGAGTCGTGACGTATTAGTCCCGAACTGTAGCTATCTCTCTCTAATACCCCGTCATTCTGCAGTGTTGCAGTGTAATTGGTCAGTTCAAGGACAATAGGCGTGTTGGGACTAAGACGTCGCACCAGTCACACCAATGAATTGATGAAATTTCAAATGGCGCAGGAATTGTGTGTTTTGAAATGGACATATACTAATTTATTTTTTTCATCATCTTAGCATGAATGCGAAAATTCAAAATTAATCCACTGGTAGTTTTTCAGTATAGAGTTCACGATAATGTCGTTTTAAAAAATCAGTGGTCTTCCCCATTAGGCTATAGTTTATACCTAGTTATCTGTCAAGTAGGCTATTTGACGTCTAGTTATATGTCAAGTAGGCTAGTTAATCAAAACTTAGTATCTGGCACGTGGGCTAATTGACACTTAGTAGACATCTGTCAATTATAGAGATAGTTATTTGCCAAGGCAGTCAATCTACATTTGCTGCCGTGTGAGACGTGTAATTTTTTCTCCAAATTTTGTAAAACCTTTCGTAACACTCCATCACCATTTATGAAACATTTCACGTTACGTAACTACACCTCCAAGAAATTAACGCACCACCAAAAAGTAGCCAAAAGTTGAGGAAACATTTTCGTCAAAAGGACGTTTTTTTGTTTTGAATGACAGTCTATTATCTCCTAAATATTGGTGTGCAAACTGTATTCGCACAGGAACCTCTTTCTTATTCGTACCGGATGTAGCAATTACACGTGTTTTTTTTTCAAATTTGTAATTTCTTGTAGAGTGTAATAGTTACACTATCGAGTTAGAATTGAAATCACGCATATGTATGCAATGCAGCAAATAATCCGTGTGGTGAGAATATTCTACCTGCATTAACAGATTAGATTTAATCGATTTTCAAGGATGTTCGAAATGTAGTCTAAATATAAATACAACCACAGAGTGACCCATTTGTGTATGGGCCAAATGTCAGCCCTAATAGCAAATACCGCGCCAGTGCCAGGTATAGGAAAAATACGTGGGAAATGTTAGGTTAGTGAGCATATCAACAATAATAATAGCGATTATTTAATTATCTCCATACTCCACTGTGTTTGGCTCGGTAATCGAATAAAGGTGAACAATATCGTTGTGTGAGACAAAAAAGTATTGCTGGCCGTGATTATTCAAAAACAAGTTAGCCATCCCGAGAATAACGAATGAAATACAGATCAAGCAAGTATATGAATCTTGAAGGCTTTCCTGATCAAAACAAAAATACTTGACTATATTATATTATGGTGTATTTATATCTCCAGCACGAGTATAAAATGACGAATCTGCCGAATTCGGAAACAAATCAGGTATGCGTCCCAACCCAAATAATCAACCGTAACAATGTTTGTTTATTCTTGATGACCTCTAGTACATCGTTTTTAGTCCCTAGGAGCTTAAGTTCAACTTTAGCTCTTAGTAACTAAAAGTGTTGCCTAGCAACATACCTATGTTTGTGTTAGTAATAGAAACGTCAAATCAAGAGCTAATTTCGGTATTGAAATGGACGACTTTTGTGTCGGTAGCAGAAAAAAAATCAACTTTCTCAAAATTTCCCCTCATGTGTTGTGGCTTATTGCTTATAATACATTTGTGTAAATGATAATTATTATATTAATTCACACTAGAGTAAATTTGAACCTGTGAACGTGACAACACGGCGCACGATGTGGGCGGTGCCTTGTCAGTTCTCAGCATTCAGCACAATGTTGCGAATTCTCCACGTATACGTTTGAATAAGCTCTGATATTCAACGATTTTAAACAACGCATAGACTCATTATTTACATAAAAAAAGCGTGAGAAGTGTAGTAAAAATTAATAGAGCATTGTCAGTGACGTCATATGACGTGAAATTGTCGGCCATTGAACAGCTGATGGGGGGACAAGCATACACATTTTCCATAAGGGTACATGTAACTTTCTTGCACATTTACCACTAAAATACAATACCTGGAGCATTTATTTATTGACATGTTTGTTAATTCATTGATCAGGAATCCTATGAAAGAAGTGAATGAGTCCAAAGAAGAGTTCAAATTGGTTTATTTGTCAATTTTAAATTACTGGATTTACTTGAGTTCAGCTCTAATATACCTTGTAATATACCTCAATAGATACTCATTTTGGAAGAAAATGTACACATTCCTCTCGTATAATATCTAAAAGTTCAACAAAATCACCAATGGGTCAGAAATAATAAAATCAAAATCCACACACAGCTTTGTTTGTTTCCCGATCAGCTGATGAAAACGACGAGTGCGCCATGTTGTGACGTCAGCAGACATTTTTTTTTATCGCTTGGAGCGCACGAAAGGGAATCCCTATAATGTTCACACAGTGGAGTAATTGAATGCCAATAATTCATCATCAGTCCACTCGCCCATGGATTACAATGAAATCTTTTTCATCAAATTGCGTTTCTGGAGAAATAGGAAAGATAACGGGGAGTCAATCCAAAAAAGGAATGTTGAAAAAAGGCTGCGACACTCCACTGGGTATTACAAATTTTATGAAAAAACACGCTAACATAGCTACACCCGGTATTGAAAATAAAGAGGTTCTTGTGCGAATACAGTTTGCACACTAATGTTCAGAAGGAAATAACCTGTCTTTCAAAACAAAAAACGTCCAAATCGGACAAGTAGTTTTGACGAAAATGTTTTCTAAATTTTTGGCTACTTCTTGATGGTGCGTTTAATTTCTTGGAGAAGTGTTGTTACGTAAAGTAGGACGTTTCAAAACTTTGAAAAAGTGTCATATTAACACGTCCAAATTAGAAAAAAATTCTTCAATTCCTGTTCATTATCTCCAAATTGATGTTTTCAGGTTTGATATCTGAATCGGGCCCACCGGCACGACAAGGTGCCATTATTTTAGGAGCAGACAGCCGACCAATAGGACACGTGACGTCAGGATGTCCGTCCCCTTCATTGGGCAAAAATATAGCGATGGGATACGTTCCCGTGGGCCAAAGCAAGAAAGGAACCGAACTCAGCTTGAAAATCAGAGATAAAATCTACGAGGCTGTAGTCAGTAAAACGCCGTTTGTGCCTGCTCATTATTATACCAAGAAGAAATAGAGTGGATGCTCGAAGAGGTTTCATCGATTTATTCCTATAATAATGATGAATACACCTTTGATATACCTTACAGATATAAAGTGCTCAAAGAAACAAGTGGACCACTGAAATTATCGACAATTTTCAAACTGCCATAACTTTTCGAAAAATTAATAGATTTTCAGTCGGAATGCAGTGTTTGGAAGATGCGATTTTTCTGTTCAAGATTCCATGTTCAAAACTCGTCGGGAGTTTTTCTGTCATTATACACCAAGTGTTCCAAAAAATTATTACAAAATTGAAAAAATTCTAACGCTTCCGTATTCCAGGGATTTTTTTCAATTTTTCTATTAAGAGTTTTTTCCGAAAGTTAAAGCCAATATTTCGAAACGGTTTTGTAATCTTCCATATTCCTCATACAGGATGTTGAAAATCGATGATTTTTCATTTTTAGGTTTTCATCACATCATTTCTGATTTTAAAATTATGCAAGCCACATTCAACGTATTTTGCCACTTTATACGAGGGAACACATCCTAGAAAATGAATTCATATTGCGTTGAAATCATCGACAACTTTAACAAGGGAAGAATTTTTTTTAAAGAAATGTTCAAAATTTGGTGAAATCGTCTGTTCAGTTTGGTGCTGCCATAACCATATGCTATGCTAAACACAAATCCTTTTTTTGGATCGATTCCTCTGCTCAATATCTCGAATTGATATCTTGATTCTTCAGATAAGGCAAGGTGTTGCAGTGGTATTAATTGCGTAAATGAGTGTTGAATACAGGAAATCGACTTTTTCGATTGATTTCCGATTACGCGATGAAAAACTTTGTGATAAATAGGTTTCTTGACTTCATGTCAGCTCAGGAATATCTTAAAACCATTGTAGCATCGTCATTGTATGAATTGGTCAGAAAAATCCAGAAGGGCCTTCTTGCGCCCCCTTGGATTGCCTTATCTGAAAAATCACGAAATCAATTCGAGATATTGAGCAGAGGAATCGATCCAAATGAAGGATTTGTGTTTAGCATAGCATATAGTTATGGCAGCACCAAACTGAACAGACGATTTCACCAAATTCTGAACATTTCTCAAAAAAAAAAAAAAATTCTTCTCCTGTTAAAGTTGTCGATGATTTCAACGCAATATCAATTCATTTTCTAGGATGTGTTCCATCGTATAAAGTGGCAAAATACGTTGAATGTGGCTTGCATAATTTTAAAATCAGAAATGTGAAAAAAACCTAAAAATGAAAAATCATCGATTTTCAACATTCTATATGAGGAATATGGAAGATAACAAAACCGTTTCGAGATATTGGCTTGAACGTTCGGAAAAAAACTCTTAATAGAAAAATAGAAAAAAATCCCTGGAATACGGAAGCGTTAGAATTTTTTCAATTTTGTAATACGTTTTTCGAACACTTGGTGTATAATGACAGAAAAACTCCCGACGAGTTTGTAACAAGGAAACTTGAACAGAAAGATCGCATCTTCCAAATACTGCATTCCGATTGAAAATCCATTCATTTTCTGAATATATATGGCAGTTTGAAAATTTTCGAAAATTTCAGTGGTCCACTTGTTTCTTTGAGCACTTTGGATACCTTTCTGCCAGAACATAGTTAGTGACATTTCTTCAGAAAATGAGTTTTTGATAGTATCGTAAAGTCTGGGCCATAAAGAAGGTCCCGCCAGAGTATCATAAGCTGAATACGCATAGTTTGGCAGTAATTCAACTTTTATATGACTGTGACCTGCAGACTATCGTAACGTCAGCATCACGTGGTACCAATCCTGTTGCTAACAAGCGGTTCTGTGCTATTGATCATTTTAGAACACGGAAAACGATCCCACTAATTCTGGTTTTCTATGACAGATCTTGACAAAATACAATGTTTGTCCCTCAGCAACCTGTCAAATGACGTAATTCTGGAATGACTAATACGATATTTTTCTATTTGTTGTTTGTGAATGTGGTGGCAACGTAAGTAACAAAATTTTCTAATAAACTCACAGAAATAGAGAAAATTCGACTATACTTTAATGAAAATAAACATTTATTCAAGACACTTTCAGATCAATGCAACTGACCACATTAGATAGATTGTATAAACTGCTCCACATTTGAAGAGAGACAAGCAAAAACTTCTATCATTTTCGAACCGTCATAACTTGGAGGGGATCAAGCAATTTTCAATTCCTTTCAACATTCTGATAGCTCATTCCATTAGGTACAACGTCAGTACTTTTTTGTTATTCCACCTCTTCGACATGAAGACCTACTGGGTGATAATTTTCGAAAAGTTTGGGATCACCCCGTTTCACCTGAAATTTTTTTTATGCTTTATTGAGGGCGATAAAATGACGAACAATGAGTTTTCTCGAAATGGTTTTGAATTCAAGAGGATTCATACAGGATGTTTGAATGTATGGAATTTTTCACAACATATTGCATTCTGATATGTTCAACCACCATAAACTCAACTTCAATAAAAGTTCACATTGGCATATCTTCAACGCCATTACTACACAATGTGTTGTATATTTTCCAATATATGGGATGTAGAAATAAATTGAAATATTATGAAAAAAATGCCGTTAATAATTATTATCAACACAATATTTATAATGAAAAAATGAAAAGTATATAAAATTGACATGAATCGTTGCCCCACGTTAGTTATCTTGAGAGATAGTATGAATACTCTTCGGTATCAATAACACATTCATTGTAGGGAATCTCAAACCCAGTATTGTTAAATTCGTTATGATACTCCCTAACCACATATGGCATAAAATACAGGATGTCCCATGCGAAAATTGAAAGATGGAGTCGTTTCTGGTCAAACCGGGAAGTGATGGGAGAGTACAGAATTTCGAAAAATTTACCAATCCTCGAATTCTACACCCCTGCCAAATTCGAATCTCATACCTCTGGAAATCTGGAAATCATGGTTTGTCTGAAGAATTCGATGATACCCGGTATGTTTGAAAATGTACAACACATTGTATAGTGGTAGCGTTGAGTAGGGTGAGCTAATCTAAAGTTCTGTTGTTGAGTTTATGTTGGTTGAACATCAGAATGCAATATATTGTGAAAAATGCCATATATCACAACTTCCTGTATGGATCTTTGGGAATCGGAAAGCATTTCGAGAAAACTCATTATCTTCATCTTATCGCCCTCAATGAAACATAATAAAAATCCCTGCCAAACGGGGCGATCTCAAACTTGCCGAAAATTGCAATATAATGTGGAAAATTCCATACATCGAAACATCCTGTATGAATCCTCTTGAATTCAAAACCATTTCGGGAAAACTTATTCGCCCTCAATAAGACATAAAAAAAATCCCAGTGAAACGGGGTGATCCCAAACTTTTCGAAAATTATCACATTTTCAGATATCACCCTGTAGCTCTTCATGTCGAAAAGGTGGAATAACAAGAAAGTACTGACGTTTTACTCAACGGAGGGACCTATCAGAATCTTGAAAGAAATTGAAGATTGGTTGATCCAATCCAAAGTTATGACGGTTTGAAAATGGTAGAAATTTTTGCTTGTCTCACCGCTGAAATATTATAAACTCTAACATTCAGTAATTTTGACTCTGTGAGACAGTCATAGAAAAATTGCATAGTTCAGAAATAGCTTTATTATAAAAATATCAAAACGAATGAGGTCAATATTTTTTTCAATAATAATTAACAATACTTCAACGAGAACAAAAAATATCATAAATCAACACCTCTCAAACACTTTGTAAAGGTTCGGAAGATTGGCTATCTCTAAAATAGCCCCATTTTCCGTAAAACTCTTCGGCGGAATGAAATAGTTCTTTATCGCCGGAAACAAAACGAACTCCGTGACCCACTGCCAGCTTTTTCCATTTTGATTGATCTCATTGGGCACTTCGGCATAGAATTTGGATGTTTCTCTAGCAAAAGATTCGAAAAATTCTTTCTCAGAGTCCCAATTCACTTCCGTGGCCAATCGAATCACGTACATGGGCAGCGATTTGGGGTCTGGCAAATAGTCCTCTGGAAGGAATTTCGATGATCAGCGATACAAATACTATGTACCCATTTTTTATATCCTTTTATGCCCAAAAAATGATGCTTTGCACTGTCCAAAAATATACAACACTCATATGATATTTTGATTATTACCCTTGAAATTAGGTAGTTAGATTCTAGTTTTTCAGTGGATTTTTCATCGATGGGCCTTGTAAATATATGGCAACATTGTCCATATCACAAATTTTCATATTTACTTTATTGCTGACACAATTTTTGTCACACACTAGTTTCAATTTTAACAACATTCAATATTCACAAATATTCAGCACTATTAATTGACTATAAAAGCTGGGGGCCTTATTAGAAGGTGGCTATAAAAAAAAGCGAGTGTATAGAATGTTTTTTAATCCTTGTCAACTTGTCATCTACCTGTCGAAATTTTTCATACGATGATAAAAACTACTAAAAATTAGATATCGTTGGGATAAAAGTTGGTTTCTAAAATCTCGTAATTTTGATATCCTGAATTAGCATTTCCGTTGTATGAGGTAGTTGACGAATATTATGAAACATTCTGCATTCGTTTTTTTTTTTCATAGCCACCTACTAATTAGGTCCACAGATTTTATAGTCAATAGATCGTGCTGAAGATTGGTAAATGTTGAATGTTCGTAAAATTAACTAGAAATTATCTAAATTCATGGCTAATTCTTGACATTTATTTAAGTGTTATACATTTTCAGAAAGCGCAGAGCATCAATTTTTCAAATATAAAAAAATATTCAGGGTGTTCGATTAAAAAACATAACTTTAGGTCATATCTGAATAATAACAGCTACTTCTGAAAATTTGACTTCGCCACTGGATTCTACGTGAAAAAATGCGTGGAAGGCAGTTTTTACTTTTTCGGTAGATAGCTGAGATACAGAGGGGAGGGGTCGCGAAATACAACATTTTCAATTTCGCCCTGTATCTCAAAAAACGATCCGTGTTACAAAAATAACTGAGATATCCCGTAAGAACACCGAAAATGGGACAGCCTGTACACTCACTGGCAAAAAACCGGCTACCCAAAAATTTGCACAAATTAATCAACCTGTAACTTTTTTAATCCTCGTCCGATTTTTGTGAAATTTCGATCTAATCGTAGATTCATGTTCCGCCATATTAGCCTAAATATTAGTTTTCGTGAAAAGCTGATGACTTGATCATTATACAGGGAAATGAAAGTTGCTATTTCACCCTTTATTTCTCAATGCCCTGTGGCGAAATTTAGTGGTTGAACTTGGCTTTTTTATGCTTTGGATTGAAGTGTAACCCTTTTTTACTCACGTCAATGTCTTATTTTCAAAAGAAGATACGAGTGTTTTAAGAAACTATGGCATTTTTCAATTTAATAAACAACCAGCTTCTACCCGCGGCTTCGCTCGCGTTCAAGCCCCTAAATAAACATCAAAGATCATTATACATTTCAATAAAACTGAATCAATGGAATTCAGTATTTAAAAATTACTACTTACAATGAAGTTTCAAAAACTGAAAACATGCTTTATTGAGATAATTTACTACAACAAAAGTTGAGATGTATTTCACTACAACAGAAATAAGTTATTTGTTGCGCCCTGTCTGTAGATGGACCAATTCAGGTAGTATTGAATCGTGCATTTTGATTGCGCAGAAGACTAAAACGTCAATGTCAATAATGCCATTCGTGGCCAAGTCACTGAATAGCCAAAAATCTGATGGGTATCTCCCATGCAGTAATACATTTTCCGCCTTCGTAGGTAACTAAGGTAACACACAGAGTTTCATATCTGATTGTTGGATATTTTGTGTCGAACAATCATGTCTGCCAAAATACATTTTTTTACTGGTTAAAATTATTTTTATATATAAAAAAAATATCCTATGTCATTTTTAATTCATCTGAGAATATGTATACAAATGTTCATGTTAATTGGTTGAGTAGTTTTGGCGTGAAAGACCAACAAACAAACTTAAATTCACATTTATAATATTACTTAGTAGGGATAATAAGAACCTACTTAAACTTATTGATCAACAACTTGAAGAATTGATATCATTTATTTCTACCTCATTTTCTTAGCACTCACCGGAAAAACATTAATTACAAAAAAAACTAACAAAAAGCAGACCTGTACTCAATGCATTCAACCGCCGTGGCATCGAGTTGATCAAATTCAGTCTTGAAGAATTGCCTAAAATTCTCCTTGAAGGGCGAATCGTAGCTCTTGAAGAGTCTCTGACAAGGCTGAACGAAATCGAATGAGCCTCTGGAGTTCATCCCAAAGATGCTATAGATTCTGAATTATTGTTAATACAAATTGAAAAATTCCATACTTCCTTAAAATACTTGAATCTTCTCTTAACAAGTGGTTATCGACGTGAATCAAAAACCATTGTATTGAGGAAGGATCACACTCCTATCCAAAAATAATTAAGCTAAGTTTGACCACTCACCTTTGTTACAGGGGGGTTAAGAAATTAAGGGTGGCAGAGTAACTTTTGTTTTTCCATGTATCATGATCAAGCCATCAGGTTTTCTTAGGACCTAATATTCAGGCTAACATTCCGAAACATTAATATACGATTTCGTCGAAGTGCGAAAAAATCACTCTTTCAACAATAAAATGAGTGCGGAAAAGCGGACTTTTCGCATGATAGTACAAAAATAGCTATTAATAAATAATACAAGGGAAAAAAGAATTAGATTAGCTCGAGGTTGTGTTGTTTCCCGACGCGTAGCGGAAGGATACAAAAAATCGAGAGCTAAAATCTAATATTTTCTCTAATATTGAGAAGATATTACATTACAATATAATCAGAAAATAATCGATGTGAAATTTGCATCGCCTATACGATATCTCAACAAAAATGGGATCAAAATGAGAAGTACTTTTTGAATCTATAGGCGATTCATGCTAAGGAGTACTCCCTCTACCGTTGTCTAATATAACTAACGTATGGGCCATTGATTGCTTTGTTTCCATTAGTTTGCGTGTATTTTGTATGAGAAGTAGTTGTGTTTTAATTGTCTATAATTTTGTTTGAGAACTTCTATAAACGTTTAAAAACACGAGTCATCATTGTTGTGTACCTCATTGTTCATCTTGAGCAAAAAAATCCCGAGTATAGCTTTCATTCCTTTCAAAAATTAGGACAGTCTAAATTTGTATTTGAAACTAATAATTTGGGAAACAAGGAAGTGATCGGTAGGAGAAAGGTGTGGATTCATAACTTGAAGATTAAAAAAAGTGTAGTGTCTGAACATAATGAGATATTGTTCTTTACACTTCACTGAAAATTTACTCATACCTATAGGTATATTTTCAAATGTATGTCTATTATGAATATAATACTTACTTCTTGAGGTGGTGGTAAAAGAACAAACAAATTTCAAACTGATTATATCTTTACTCATGAACAGTAGAATTTTTAAACAGTAAAGAATGTTATCAATCAGGGTTTCGATGATTATGTTCTAAAAAGTCAAGTAGAAACTGTTTACCTAAATTCACCCTCCAAAGAACACTTTATTCCCAAAAAGTTTGCTGGATTTCGTTTCAAAAATATCATGCACTATCAGGGGAATATCCCAGCTATATATTCGAATTGGAAATCAACATTCCACACAGGTTTTCATGAGAATTCTTGTTCAATAATGATAAAAACTTACAGCCTATGCATGTTGGTATATATGAAGTTCAACTAGAGGTAGGGAGGTTATCTAATGTTGAACAGAGATAATATAGTCCTCAATCAAAACACAGTAGACTGCTGGAAAATACAAAGTTCGAAAATAGACAAATAACAAAGCTGGACGTTTGAAAACTCAAAACGAAATGAACATAAACACCATTACCAAACAATGTAAACAATCCGCCAATGGCCCATAGAGTAGTACCGACATTCGCCGTTCTGGCGCTACGATCTTAATCTCAGTCGCCTATAGGGACGGAAAGTGAAGGATGGAAACTGCCGACGTGAGGATCAGATTTTAAGTTAGGTTAGGTTCGTTAAAAATCATTTGATCATAATAAAATATTAAAAATCATCAATTGTTGATAATACCACAGTATATAGTACCTTTGTGCTGGTCAATATATAAACAAAAAAACTTGAAAATTCAAACTCACTTATGAAAAGAGGATTCCTGTCTGTTCTTTCCACCGCAAATACTGCATTTCGTTCCACTAGACATGGTTAAAAAGTTATGAAAAATAAACGAAAACAAACACTTGTTGTACAACTAAACACGCAAATATTCGAATTTCAATCACAATCAATCACATACGCGCTAAAAGCAATTTAAAAATTTGAAATTCGTAGCCATATTGATTTAACAAGTTTCGTATTATTTTTCCCTACGTCGGCATCAACGCCTATTGGTCGATTTTGTTACCTATAGAGACAGAAGTTGGTCCCGCTTCGAGGACAGCTATGCTTCATATATGAGAAGTAGATATATGCTGTGTGTGCAGGCATCTGTATTGTTGCTATGGAAACCTTTTGAAGTAATCGAGTATCTGCCAATTTAATGTTGTGTTTTGATTCAAAAAATTGCGATTTTAGTGGTTGTCTAGTAAATTACGTAGCCGCGAAGTGGAATGGAAGATAAAATGGATTTTCAATTATGTCTTTTTTTCCATTCACATAAAAACATATTCTTTTCCTCAAATGATAATGAAAAAAATACGTAGGTAACTTACCAACTAGAATAGGCAAGCTGCAAATATTTCCCAGTTCGTCGATCTCCATACAAAAATAGTCCAGCAACATGGCACGTCTAGTACCGCCGAAACACTCGACTATACGTTTGGCTAGTACCGATTTTTCACCGTCTTCTTGTGTCCACCCTGTTTCCGGCATTTCCAAGCCGATCATCGCCAATTCGTGAATAGAAATTCGATTCGAAAATTTGTAACTATCGAAGTTTTGGAAATGATACAGCAAAAACTATAAAGAATGAGGACAATCAAATGCAAAAACACTAGCAATTGAAGTCAAAATGTGAGTTGAAAACAGCATTCATCCTCTATCGGTCCGCTTTTGTTATAACCATTGGCTATTTTATGGACCATGTGACCATATGGTAACATTATATTCAAAATTGGTTATTCTTAATTCCCCGTAGTCCTTCGATTCACAGGCAACGAAACCATTTAGTAACAAACAAGCTTAAGAGGGGGTACCAACAAACAAATCGATTTCGCGCCATCTTCAGTTGGCAGTTCAGCTTTTTATGATTTGTGTTCGTCAAATTTTCAGGTTAAGTTGCGTACATGTGTAAATATTGTTGTTTAGAAGTGTTTAGTACGATTGTTTTCATTGGAAGTTTGGTGTTGACTCCTTTCATATATCTGTTATGGTATATTGTTTTTTGTTCACCTCTATATTAATTTCAATGAGACAATGGCCAGGTAACCGTGCGGACAGAGTGTCAATATTCTAATCCGCATTCACTTGCCGGTCGTGGGTTCGATTCCCTGCGACTGCAGAAATTTTTCTGAAGGCCCAATAAAGTGTTTGGGATCACACGTTAAAAGGTAAGGCCCCCGTCATTCCTTGCTAGCACAAGACTCTCGAAGACTTCTGAGGGTTGCTCGTAAGGAGGCAACCGAATGACGGTTAGAACAATTTTAGAACAATTTTTTAAAAACATTTTTTGGCTTTGAATGGGCGTAGCAATATGGTTACTTCGTCCATTATTTCGCATTTTGTTTTAGTGGATTTTTTGAAAAATTCATAGTATAGATGAATCTGTTGCAAAACCTACTTGCTCATTCTATGGTTAGAAGAAATGTAGGTTACCACCCCCTCCTAACGTCTCAGATAGATCACAGTACAAGTCCGATATGTTGAGGAAAATACGACTCATATAAACATTTGTTCTGAATTGTTTCGATTTTGAATGCTTGGATCTTATATAGAAAGGACTGTACTGTGTAATTAATCCAGAAGAGTTCATTCCGAGGGGCATCCAATTTTTAATACTGTATACCAATCATTCAACGTCAAGTCGCCTGAAGAGTGAGAAACATGAAAGTAGGTTATTTCTCACTGACACGAAACATTGTTTCAGAGCCTTTCATTCGAATAAAGGAAATACTTACTACCGTTCGAAATTTTTGAAAATATTCATTTTTCATTTTTTCAATTTACGAGCATTCTGTAATTCGCGTTATTTTACAGGAATATGAAACCATATGGTTACAATATGTAAAATCGTAAATATAACATATATAATTATCAACATAGAACTAGTGTAATTGTCATATGACACAGATTCAGAATACGCTCGGTCATAGTATAATAATTTTGTTAGCCCATTTTGATTTCTTGCCCGATTAGGGGGATGAAAAATTGTGTGGCCATATGGTCACTCAGACCGATAAAGGGTTAAAAGTCCAACTGCACTCAATTTCGAAAGACACAATTTTTTGGTTTGACGAAATTTTGAAATTGTCGTTGCGAGCGCATGCGTCGTTACAACTTCCATGTTATACTAAAGGATACACGATTCGACTGTTTTTTATCCTTCACAATGTTGCCGTGATTCTGCGTTTATTAATAGCAGTTCATAATAATGGTCTAAGGATAATCTCCCTCTGAAGTTGACAAATTTAGTCAACAATGAAAAACAGAATTATGAGAAGATATTCAGAACAAGGTGGTATTTTGCTAGACCATTTCACGTTCACGAAATAAATGAGTGATTCACTCTAACAAGTACAGCCATAATCATTATATGCTAAACTGACAGACTTTTCTTCGCTATCCATGGTTACATCCTTGAAAACATCAACGCTGATAGACCAAGAATTGGAAGACAGCTAATATTTTCGTGATAAGCACAAGTTGTCTCTGGTTTGTGATTGGTTAGATTATGTGATGAGTGAAATAGTCAATATTGAAACCGAGAAATCTGGTCAACGTTGAAAAAGAATAGATATTTACGTAACTAGTTGGGAAATAGAGTTACACAATAGTATATTATTATAGAAGTTTTATATGACACTGTTTTGTTGCACGCGTTGTTTGGAGTACGACGAGCGAAGCGAGCTGTTGAATTTCGAAGTGAACAGTTATCATCACCTTTCAAAATTTCCGTCAACTTTGAAAAGTGTCAAATTACATGTGAAAATTAGAGAAAAATATTGATCGACCGATCGATGATAGTACCTGATAAAACAGCTCGGCCAAAATGGTTTTGGTGTTGCAGAGAAAAAGTTTGGTGCCAAATTGGATCAACGCCTGCGATCTGCTGACGCAACCGACGAAAACGTGCTGAGAAAAACACTCTCGCAAACCTCGGTGACAGTTTTCCTCGATCTCTTTTCTGAGGGTCAATATACTGGTGAGTTGAGTGTCGGTCCTGAAAAGCGATAATTGGTTGATTTCGAATACTAGAAATTTTGAAAAGGAATATTCTCAGATAAATTATGAACATACAAAAATGGATATATATATTTATACAGTGTGACCCATTTAAGATGGAAGCACCCTTATAAAACTTACATTTTTCAACCGATTGGAATGATTTTTTTTTTGTTAGGTAGATATTCAAAAAGTCTATTAGGACACCAAATATCATGAATAAATCTCCATTTCCAGGGCCAACTAATCTGATTTTTCAAGGTCAAAAATCTAAAAAAATTACTAGCGATTTTTTTAGAAAAAATCTGACTACACCACTGGATTTGTGACATTTTCAAATGGGTAACATGTAAATCACGTTGAAATGCGTCAATCAATAAAAAAGTTATAAAGGAATGAAATTTGAAAAATATGCCGTTTAATCAACCCATCAATTTTTATTACTGAACAGATTTCGATGAAACTGTGATCAGTAATATTTCAAGACATCCTGAATCCAGTGGAGTATACAGAATTTTCCTAAAATTCCTGAACATGAATTGGTGGGTTGATTAAACGGCATATTTTTCAAATTTCATTCCTTTATAACTTTTTTATTGATTGACGCATTTCAACGTTATTTACATGTTACCCATTTGAAAATGTCACAAATCCAGTGGTGTAGTCAGATTTTTTCTAAAGAAATCGTTAGTAATTTTTTTAGATTTTTGACCTTGAAAAATCAGATTAGTTGGCCCTGGAAATGGAGATTTATTCATGATATTTGGTGTCCTAATAGACTTTTTGAATATCTACCTAACAAAAAAAAAATCATCCCAATCGGTTGAAAAATGTAAGTTTTATAAGGGTGCTTCCATCTTAAATGGGTCACACTGTATGAAGCAATACATTGAGAATTCGCATTCTCTATGTGATGAGAATATCTACTCTTTTTCAGTTTATTCAATAGAAAACAACTACTTTCCTGGTTATATGCCACGACGAACATTGAATTATATCTATTGAACACACGCGATAAGAGTTTGAAAATTAAATATTTTTGAAGTTTTCAAGCTCATCAAGATCAGAGTATATGCCAGTATACTTCTCCTATACATTCCAATTTTCATTTCAATGCTGAATATATTGGTAAGTTATATTTCTATATCATTATACATCATATTATTCATCCGATTTGAAGAAGAATGTCAATTCTCAATTTCGGAGGATTTTATTTTTTATTGTTCATGTTCTCCTTTTGAATGTTCATCAGATATAATTCAATGTTCGACGTGGCAAATAGCCAGGAAAGTAGTTGTTTTCTGTTGAATATCCAGAATGATGTGTGCATATACATATTTTTGTCTGAAGGAGAATGCAAATTCTCAATTTCAGAAGTTTTTATATTCAATTTTCAAACTCTTATCGTGTGTGTTCAATAGATATAATTCAATGTTCGTCGTGGCATATAGCCAGAAAAGTAGTTGTTTTCTATTGAATAAACTGAAAAAGAGTAGATATTCTCATCACATAGAGAATGTGAATTCTCAATGTATTGCTTCATATAAATATATATATTCATTTTTGTATGTTCATAATTTATCTGAGAATATTCCTTTTCAACACTTTCATACCCAATCAGGGGGTTCAAACTTGAACGATGGAAACTTGTGATTTTTATAGACCTCTAATCGCAGATTCGTGATAGAGTCTCAGTTCAGAATTTCTTTCCACGCCCTGCATGATGAATGTAAATTTATCATACACCCAAAAACTAGAAATTTTATTGAAAATACAGGGTGTTAATTAATTGAGTGCCGATAATACAAGGTGTGAATCTCCGGGTGATTATTAGGAAAATTTTATGAATTTATTTTGATATATCGAAGACTAGAACCTTTGGCACGATAATACACTACACTGTTTTACCACTAACCAAACCGATTTTTAAACGCCTCGACAAGTGATTCGCTAACTATGTTAGCATCTTCAGGATAAGATTAAAACTAAATATCCAATTCTAGTGTGCTGCTTATATACTATCCTATTCTAGTGTGCTGCTTACCTACTAGGTATATGTTTATCCACCCGTGAAAAATACTAACCGTTAATACATTAACTTGACGGTTATGTTTGTCATGACATGACATGACAAACATTTACTTGACGGTTAGTATTTTTTACGGTTGGGTGAACATATACCTAGTATTTAAGCAGCACACTAGAATAGGATATTTAGTTGTATTCTTCTCCTGAAGATGCTAACAGAGTTAGTGAAACACGTGTCGAGGCGTTTGAAAAATCGGTTTGGTTAGTGGTAAAACAGTGTAGTTTAAATTTATTTTGAACCAATTAGAAGGCTCCTTTTTGATTACCTTGCCTATTCGCAACGGGTGACTATCGCCTGCCCTAAAAAAATATCAGCCTGCCCTAGAATAATCGGTAGATACCAGAAAAATCGAACAAAGTGGCAGCACTGCACTGCAGGGTCATGACGAATAGGCAACATGAACGTGGAGGTGGAGCGGTTATGGTGATGTAATTCACACGTAAATATTCTTTACTCTAATTACTCTCACTTGCATACACATGCAAAAAATCACCTCATTCAACGGGTTTGGCATTATTTTTTTCATTTTCAGCCTCGGTAATATAGTGAATTCAAATAAACTGCAAATTTTGGAACGTTCAATAACTCCGGTACGTAGAAAATGGTGATTTGAAAAAAATACAAGCAATATGTTGAATAATGTTGAACTCACCGTTTCCGAGTTAATAATTATTACGTTTGTAAAAGTGCTTCTCGGATTTGCCTGTTTTTTTGGAACCCTTCGTAGGAATCATGAAGAAATTCACATATGGGGGTGTGAAACCATGAAGAACAATATTATGAGGTATGTATTCCTATAAAAAAATCCCAATATGATTTCATAAAATCTTGACCCATTTTCATTTTAATAAAAACGCACGCCACTGTCCAAGAGAATGTTTGTCTTTGAAAAACTGATCATATTGATGTTTATTCATACTGGTCCAAAGGACCCCGCAAATTTTCAAGGTAATTTGGGTCCCGGTGGATTTTTCTCAATTTTTGGTATGATGTAGTTCATTTGATTCAATTACATATTGACATTGCGCCAACCCCCAAAAATGAACAGTTTTTTTGCTAGGGGGGGTTGAATTCACATTTTGACCGACTTGATTATTTATTTCTGAGAGAATGAACAATATTCTAGAATTTTTTATTTCATCTAATTTCTCCTATGAATATATGCTTTTTGAAAAAAATATAGTGAGGGGGAATAATTACCCCAAACTCCCATTTTGAAAAACGAAAAAAAAAGAGAATTCGCCTAACCGTCAAAAGTGATAGAAAATGTTCCATTACCCAGAATTATGGAAACCGCCTTTTTGTATTATTGCCCCTCACCGAATGGGAGGCGTCAATGAAAAAAAAGTTCGGTGGATTTCGCTGAATTTTTGATATGATGTACTCTATATGATACTGGTCAGAAAATAATTGGGTGACAATCCTGAAAAATGAACAGTTTCCCTGCTACAGGCGGGGTTCAATTCACATTTTGAACACACAAATAGACTAGATGAGTACCTATTTGATTCTGAACTTCTTTTCAATATATCATCTCCATTCCCTATATTCCCTAACAATTATTCATCAAAAAATATTTTGAGGGGGGGGGTTCCTACCCCTTCAAAAAGTATTTTGAGAAATATAAAACAAAAATACAGTGCTACCGTGAAGAGCATAGGAAAGTGATTAATTACGTGAAATTATGGAAAAAAGCTCTCTTGCATGATTTCCTCCTCTCCACCAAGTGGGGGGGTGCGCATGAAAAACATCTTTGGTGCATGGATTTACACTGGATTTTCAATATAGGTATAATGTGGTTGTATTCCATGTGATTATGGCTGTGATGGATATATGAAAAAATAGCTTGAATTTGATATCTATTATTTGTTTGAGAGGTGTTGGGGTGGGCGAAATAATGAGTTTTTTGTGTTGAAAAAAAAATAGTTAAAATACATATTACATATTCTGTACCCGTCAAGAAAAATACACATTCTTCTCGAGGTAATCTCACAAAGGAGAAATATGAGTTCAACACGCCCTACCGAAAAAACTGCTCATTTTTGGTAACCGGTACCGATAATTGGAATCGGAATTGATCGGAATCACAAAAAGCACCTCATAGAAATTCAAGAGAGCTTTTGCTATAATTTCACGTAGTTAATCATTCTCTTATGCTCTTTAGATACAGTAACACTGTTTTTTTTGTTTTATATTTCTCAAAATACTTTTTGAAGGGGTAGGAACCCCCCCTCAAAATATTTTCTGATGAATAATTGTTAGGGAATATAGGGAATGGAGATGATATATTGAAAAGAAGTTCAGAATCAAATAGGTACTCATCTAGTCTATTTGTGTGTTCAAAATGAGAATTGAACCCCCTGTAGCAGGAAAACTGTCCATTTTTCAGGATTGTCACCCAATTATTTTCTGATCAGTATCATATAGAGTACATCATATCAAAAATTCAGCGAAATCCACCGAACTTTTTTTTCATGGGCGCCTCCCATTCGGTGAGGGGCAATAATACAAAAAGGCGGTTTCCATAATTCTGGGTAATGGAACATTTTCTATCACCTTTGACGATTAGGCGAATTCTCTTTTTTTTTTCGTTTTTCAAAATGGGAGTTTGGAGTAATAATTCCCCCTCACTATATTTTTTTCAAAAAGCATATATTCATAGGAGGAATTAGATGAAATAAAAAATTCTAGAATATTGTTCATTCTCTCAGAAATAAATAATCAATTCGGTCAAAATGTGAATTCAACCCCCCCTAGCAAAAAAACTGTTCATTTTTGGGGGTTGGCGCAATGCCAATATGTAATTGAATCAAATGAACTACATCATACCAAAAATTGAGAAAAATCCACCGGGACCCAAATTACCTTGAAAATTTGCGGGGTCCTTTGGTAAGAATCGCACGACTAATTTTTTTTTAAATGAATTCTCGATTTTTCAGACTCTGAATGTGATCTAGTGGGCCTTGGTTTAAAAAAGAAGAAGTAGACGCCGCTCAGCTCCAGAATACACCTTTCCTTCCTCTACATTAAAAAAAAATCGTGAAAATCGCTCCTTATATAAAAATTTATGAGGGTGGCCCGCTTCCAGATGGATCACCCTGTATGTTGATATAAACTTTTCTCCTTAAAATCATCCGAGGATTCACACTTTGTACTATCGGCACTCAATTAATTAACACCCTGTATGTACCTTGGTACTATGTGGGAGACGTTCGATGAATTGCCGCTTCGTTTCTTTGTCAATTTTCTTTCAGGGCATACTTCTTTTTCCCCGAGAGATTTTTCTCGACTTTCTTCTTCTTTACCTGAAACTGAGTACCTGCTACTGATACACGTTCCGGAACATTGTTCAGTAGGTCATCTCCACCAAAATAACTGCAGAATAAGTTAAAATAATGCGCCTGGCAGGAAAATTTTCATCATATTCTCGAACACACTCAGTGAACTTTTCATGCATTATTCTGTAACCATATACTATGTCATAATTATATCGCTTCGAACCTCATCATTGGGATCTCATGAACCGTAGGAGATACAGGGTCGGTTAAATTATGGCAAAGTTGTGCAATATCATGGCTAACAAAATACCGTTATGAAACTAGAAAAATTCCGAATACTTTCGGAGATATACGAAAATACCGAAATTTACTAAAACCCTTTTCTTTTTCTCTTTTAAGTTATATTATAAAATCAATCGAAATGAATGACACTTTATCCAGACCCGAGGGCATTTCGCTGAGTGAAATTGTGTACACTAATTCCTCAATCCCAAAATAATGCCCCATAATTGACTAGTAGTACCTCGTTATGCCTCACAATTTCTTACAATTCTTGGTAATTCCTCACAATCCCGCGTAATTCCTCGGCAATTTCTCGCAATTCCTCATATTTTTTATGATACTTGTTGATATTTAAACAATAGGGATATTATGTATTTATGCTTGATAAAAAAAATCCAATATCTACCTACCTCCTCTCCCTATTCTCCCTGAATACGCAAGATGTTCCTCGATTACCATAGGAATTCCTTTTCGTGCGCTCCAAGAAATAAAACAAATAAAAATAGAAGAATGTTGTTCGTATCCTAATCTGAACTTAGAATACAGTGTTTATAAGGTGTTCTATTTTAAAAGATACATGTAGCCCAGCATTTAGTATATTATGTATCTCGGTGTGTATATGTCGGCGTCAATTACGCTGTTTGCCGGCAATACGTGAAATGACTAGGCATTCCAGAGAATGGCGGAATTCACTGTTTGCCGCCGACATATATACCGGGTAATTTTCCAAGGTTTCATATGCTCAATGAGTGTGACAGAGAAAGAAGTTTCGATATTGCGCCGCCACATCCATTGAGCATATGGAAACTTCCAAGCCTATCAAACCCGGTATCGTTGAAATCGTTACGATAATCCTTAGCCGATATTGATATAAAATCAAATTTGAAAATCCAAGGTCATTTCCGGTCAAACCGGAAGTACGGCAAGTCTCCAAAGCAATAATGAAAAAGTTATAGGAGTGAGCAAGGGGGTGAGCCACCATGGAAAATCACCCGGTACATATACAAGGAGGTCAACCAAAAATCTAAAGTATACCTCGAAAATGATATACAAGGGGACACAATTCGTCATAGGTATCATCGGGATAACATTAACCCTCACACCCCACATAATCTCAAAATGAAATAATATATAGGGTGTTCGATAGAAAAAAGTTTAACTTCAGTGTTTTATGGTTTTTGGGGACACCCTGTATGTTTCGAAATAATCTTAAATGGTAGCCTATGTTGACATGCAACTTCCTAGAGAGGAAGAATTCCAAGAAGATAAGTGGTTAGCCTTCTAGAGACCGAGGCCCACCCTATATACAAGTGAGATATTTCAGTTAGTTCAGATTATAATGATTTGATACGTCTATGTCATAATGTCATTGACTGATGACCTCTCAAATTTTTGAAATGAAATTACAGACTACTTATATCATACTTATTTTGACATATTTGGTCAATACATTGAACTCAATATATACATTGAGTTCATTAGGTTAATAACGTTAATTTGACACTCTGTTGAATTCCAAAATAGTTCAGTGGCACAAACTAGATGTTAGACAAGGAAAGATTTATTGAACCTCTCTATATTTCAATGCGGCCACGTTGGTACCATTGAAGAGAAAGATGGAAGAGAGAACTTTCCTTTCTCTCGTTCAAGGTAGAAAAGAGCTCAATTCGAATGGTCCAATTAAATCCAAAGGGAATATTTTTGTTTTTTACTTCTGATTCTGAAACTTCATCTTATGTATAATACACATGAATGACGTGGTGTCCTCTCCCTAGCTTGAGAGATTACTGAAGATTTATATTTTTCGGTAAGACAACACCCGAGATATGACGTAATCGAGGTCTTCACGCACGTGCTATTTGTACTGAAACGCCAAAAATTCCTCGCAATTTCACACAATATCTCACAACTCCAATTCAAATTTGAAATCCGACGTTTCGTCTCCCAGAAACCATAATTTTTTTTCAAATACGTACCTGGATTTTTTATTTAATTTTTTCTCACCTTTGAATATCCCAAAAGCTATGATTTTCTGTATTTTTTTATATTCGATAATGAAACTGTCAATTTTTGTAAACGAAATATTCGAAAATAACATTTTGTGTTAGCTCAAAGCTTTTGGTCTATCCAAAGGTGGAAATAAATGAGAAAAAAATCCATATTATAAAAAATACGTAGATGATGGTTTCTGGAAGACGAAACGTCGGATTTCAAATTTGGAAACGCCAACTTGTAGAGAAGAAAAAGTGGCAATGATAAATTGTCAATTTCGATTGATTTCTCCAAATAACTTGAAAAAGAAAGTGTCGTTAAAAAAACTAAGAAAACAACCTATTATCGATAGCCCAACTAAAAAAGAGGTAGAATATAAAATAATGAGTGTGACGAAAGAATCATAATGTCCTACCCCGAAAGCCCCAAGATACTAATTCTTAATAAAATCGGTTCATGATAACAAAACCCGTCTCCCATATTTTATCCGCCATATTGAATTTTCCAATTTCGAGAAGAGTCATTATCTCCTACCCCAAAAACCCCCAGGTACAAATTTTGAATAGATACGGATCATAATTACAAAACTCGTCCGCCATATTGGGTCCACCATCTTGAATTTAACCATTTTGACGAAATAATCATAATATCCGACCCCGAAAACCCCCAAATACCAATTTTGAATAGAATCGGATCATAATTACAAAACTCGTCCGCCATTTTGAAGCCGCCATATTGTTCTTTGTTTCGGAATTTTTCAAGTTTCAAAACGGTATTTTGTTAGGCAGGGAATTACGCAACTTTGCCATAATTTGAACGACCCTGTATCTCTTTACGGTTCCCGAGATCCTAATAATGGGCCACCCTGTAAACATCAGAGTATGTATAGTCATTCAATTTCATTGAGGTCTGTCTGTAGGTTTCATTTCATCAAATTTTATCCTCGAAATATGATTAGCGCTTACATTAGAAAGTTTGCAAGCAATATTGAACATGTAGGTATAGTTTATCCAAAAACAATTGCAGAATCTTGTGCCGCACCTGCAGTCACTTCAAAGAAAACTTCAAACACGCCGACGCCGCATAGTGCGGGATATTCTGCAATTGATATTGGATATACTTTACCTAATTCTTCACTTGTCTGGTCCTCCACAGTCTTATCCAAAATCTTATCTTCTAAATCTTCAGTTCTCTTCATAAACATCTCATTATGTTTTTGGTATTCTTCTTCGGTTAGAGAATCGTTCATAATATTTTTTGTTCCTTTGACATTCAATTCAGGTTTTTTCATGTCTGTAAAAAATCTGTCGAGTTTTTGTTCCCTATGATCCGTTCTAACCATGCTATTTGGATTAATATTTTTCGATGTGGCATTATGCTTGTCTATTACATCTTCCTCAACCGTTTTTCCCGTGCCCAAAGTCAGAAACTTGTCTGCGAATTTTCTCTGCAATAAATGCAGTAATTATACAGGGTGTTTCGTATGGAAATACGTCAACACCGAGAAGATTATGAATATAGAAATAGTGTATGTATTTTGGTCCCAGGCACGTTATGCCCGTTGAATAAAGTTATGAGCTCTTGAAGCCAAACCAGATAACCTCTACCAGAACAAAATTAAAGGTCTGTTCATTTGTGTTGCTGAACTTGCTAAAGTTGATTTTGTTCCCATGGTTTTCTCTGTTCATGGCATAATGTCAAAAGAGAAAGTCATAGAAAAAAATCAAGTTTAGCAGGTAGAGCAAAGACAAACGAACAGGCATAAATTCTAGGCAAGGGCTTTGTACCTATAGGTTATGAATGCATTCAATAATAATAATAATAATGTATTCACAACTATGAATCACATAATTAATATTAGTTGCAAAAAGGGGTTGAAAACAATTAAAATTGATCCTAGTTCAACCCCTGGAATTATAAAAATTAAAAAATGAAAATATTTCCGCAATGTTAATGTTATCAAGTTGGCTGTTCAAGATTGAAAATCAATTAATACTATATGTATACAGGGTGTCCAGAAATTATGCGCAAAAAATCAAGAGGGTGATTTCGCATGAGAAATTATGAAATTTATTTCATATACAGTCTGTCCAAGATAAGGTTGAACAGCTTGGGGATCTCGAAAACGGTGAGAGATACGAAGTCGGTTAAATGGGGAAAAAGTTGCGCATTCGGAGGCTCATATCAAGAGCCTTCGAAAATTTCAAAAATTATTTTTAGTTTTTGAGTTATATCGAAAAAAGTGAATTTTTGGAATATCTATTTTTTTTTTTCGCCGTTATTATTAGAGATACAGCAAAACTGAGAATACTTTTTCATAGCAACTTTTGATGACGTTCAACGTGGTGATACCGATTTTTTTATGCGACGTTTCGTATTCGTGGAACCATCATCAACTTTTGTTTTTTAAATACGGTCCTGATAATTTTTTCACAGATTCTGAAAGGTTTTTTTATTCTGAATTCAACCATGTATTATACAAAGTGGTTTATGTGTGTTTCGACCTATTTTCAGCCATCATCAATGTTTGATGGCTTTTTTCCTTTGGAAGTTCGAAAAAACATTGATGATGTATAGAAATAGGTCGAAACACATTCGAATCACCTTGTATAGTACATGGTTGAATTCAGAATAGAAAAACCTTTCAGAATCTGTGAAAAAATTATCAGGACCGTATTTAAAAAACAAAAGTTGATGATGGTTCCACAAATACGAAACGTCGCATAAAAAAATCGGTATCACCACGTTGAACGTCATCAAAAGTTGCTATGAAAAAGTATTTTCAGTTTTTCTGTATCTCTAATAATAACGGAGAAAAAAAATAAAATAGAAATTCCAAAAATTCACTTTTTTCGATATAACTCAAAAACTAAAAATAATTTTCAAAATTTTCGAAGGCTCTTGATATGAGCCTCCGAATGCGCAACTTTTTCCCCATTTAAGCGACTTCGTATCTCCTACCGTTTCCGAGATCCCCATGCTGTTCAACCTTATCTTGGACAGACTGTATACTTGGGTCCGAAAATGCATATTTTTCAAGATACAGTGTGTTAAACTTTTTAGAAAAAATCGTTTTTTTATGAATATCTCAAATATTCTTCTACCGATTCTCTTGAAATTTGGCAATGATATTCTTTGTCATGAGGGGCTGATTTAGCCATAATTAAATAGGAATTGTGGAATCTAGTGGCGTCCCGGGAGCACCCTACCGAATACTATTGTCGATAAAATGTGCGCCATTGATTTTTTTGAATTCTTTATCTTGATATCCTAATGATTAACTAAAAATACAACATTTTGGCCTCCTGAACTGTTTTGCTATTTTGCTGCGTTTTCGTGGAAAAAAATAAATACTAATTCATTGTATAAATTTGTGCGAAACATTGCTTCAAAAACAGGGGTGAAATTAAATGTGTGATCCCTGTCCATAGACGTAGAATAAGAATGAAGATTCATTTTCTTCAAATATTTTATAATACATATGTTTGACTCACTTTGTATTATCGATAACTACGGCTTTCTGGACCAAGAATACATAGTTCTCAATATACAGAGTGTAGAGTGTGTCAAACATGTATTATAAAATATTTGAAGAAAATGAATCTTCACACTTATTCTATGTCTATGGACATTGATCACGCATTTATTTTCACCCCAGTTTTTGGAGGAATTTTTTGGCACAAATTTATGCAATAAATTGGTATTTATTTTTTTCCATGGAAATGAAGCAAATTATCGAAACAATTTAGGAAACCGAGACACCACTGGATTTCATAATTCCAATTGAATTATGGCTTTATCAGCTCCTCATGACGAGAAATATCATTGCCAAATTTCAAGAATATCAGTGGAAGGACATTTGAGATTTTCAGGAAAAACCGATCTTTTGAGTTTTAACACACTGTATGTTGAAAACTATGCATTTCCGGACCCACTTACATATGAAATTAATTTCTTATATCATCATGTAGAATCGCCTTCTTGATTTTTTTCGCATAATTTCCGGACACCCTGTATAGTTCAGGATTTCATGACGAGATTCTTGTATGATTTTTTAAAAGTATCCGGTTTCAGAGATTTCATTTCATATGGCAGTTCATTATTAAATAATTTAAATACATCATAAGTGAATGGTCGTTGGAAAAACTGTGTTTGATGGTGGGGGGGGGAAATATAACTTTGGAATCTTAAATTCAACGTATGTACATCAGTTCTGTATTTTATTTTATTACATGAATAAGAAGGGCATTTAGGGAATATAATATTATGGAATAAAGTCACTGCATAGATTTTACGTCTTTTTTTCCATGCTCAACCACTGGGTTTCTTTCAATTTGAAGGAGATACTTTCATATTTGCGAATGCCATAGATGAATCTCAAGCACGATTTTTGAACTTTCTGAATTCTTTCACTATCTTCCTTATCAATACACGGTCCATATACAGCATCGCAGTAATTAAAGTGGCTTAGCACCAGTGAATCTGTTTATTTTATTTTCAATGACTCTGACAACAAATGGCGATTAGGGTACAACATTTTCAAGCTACCATACGCAGTAATTAAAGTGACTCAGCACCAGTGAATCTGTTGATTTTATTTTCAATGACTTCAATGGATACATTTATCTTGTGGCTTGAAAGGTAAATCAGTATCAAATTCGAGACCAAGATTTCTTGAATTTTCGGAGCACTGCAAAGTATTATCTTGAATTTTAACACTAAACACCGATTCTACCAACTGCTTTTGTCTACCGAATATTGATACTGATGATTTGGATGCATTCAATTGTAAATTATGGTTATCTGAAAATGCGATTAATCGATTGAAATCAGAGTTAATTTTATCTTGAGCTAGTTGTTTATCTCTTGGGAAAAAAGACAAATATAATTGTGTGTCATCTGTGATTGTAAAAATTGTGAACCATAATAAAAACGATTTCTGTTGAATGTTTGAGTACCCTTTACAGGTTTTAATTTCTTTCTGGAAGTTTAGTGATTTTTTACGCCTGATAAAGCGGACCTAAAGTAATTTTACGCTCAGGCGGGAAGAAAGTAACATGTGCACCTCGGTGTTGACCATCTTAGGCCTGAAAGTGTCACTTTGCGCCCGATGCGCTCAAACTACTATTCGCTGAAAAACACGAAGAAGACACACCGATAGTCTAAGCTGATACAAAAAACACAAGGACCTTGCAAAAACCCTCTTATAGAGAGTCAATTGAACTCACTAAACTATAAAAATCGCCCATGATGAAGCTTCTATTCTTCCAAATATATATTATGTAACAAAGTGTTATAAACGTCCTTTTAGTAACGAGTATTTTAAACACGAGCGGAGCGAGTGTTTAATGAACGAGTGTCTAGAAGAGTTTATAAACGCGTTACATACTATGCTTTTTCTACGAACTCCGAAAATTACATTAACATACCTGTTATTCCTGCTAACCTACAAAATAGTTCGAAAGGAATGGGAATGGAGAACATAATACATGCAACTGCATGCAACCAGCGAGACATGTATAAGTGATATTGGTTGTAGATGTGTCCAGTTCATTGCTTACTAACCTTTGAGTCACGTTTATTGTCATGCTCAGCGCAGAATAAATGAATTGTTCACATAGATTGATGCTTCGTTTTTACACTTCTTGGAGATATGCAAGTACCAGAACATTCTTTTCGATTTGACTTTTGTCTACATTTCTCATATATTTTTAATGAAGAATTCTGATACAAACGAATATTTTTTGAATAATTCTGATACAAAATTTGAAAATAGCAGTTGACAGTTCATACAATTGACAGGCCAGACATGTCTCAAATTACTGAAGCTGTGTTTAATGAACTGTGTTGCCATGGTAATGTGTTTAAGAAATGGTGTTGCCATGGTAACGTGTTTAATATTTTTATTAAATCACAGATCGTCAATCCGTGATTAATCGATCATTTAGCGTGGTACATATCCGTACGCTAAATGCCCTTTTAGTTATGTGAGTAGAAACATTTTTTTACAATCACACATACATTCAAAACCTATAGGTACAAAGCCCCTCTCTAGAATTCATTGTGTTGTGGTAGAGGTTATCTTGTTTGGCTTTAAGAGCTTATAACTTTTTTCAACGTGGATAACGGTCCTTGGACCAAATAACATTTTTTGTTCACCATAATTTAATCTATCGAATCCTGGATTTTCACAACATTTCCCTGTAGAGAAGATTACAATGTAAATGGTCTGTTTTTATAGATTTTTTATTAAAAAAACAACACTATTTACTAGGTGATCTATGTAAGAATGTGAAGAATTATTCAGTGTTTTATGAAGTAAACATGTTAAATTGGAAGATTATGTTCAAAATTCTTTAAGCAAATCACACAAATTCAATACTACAGCTGGGGAATGTCATTCCTTTTGATCAAAGAAAGGTAGAACAGTTCCTAAAATGTAAGAATTGACTACTCAAGTACTGCATAAAAATAGTAGAAGATAATAATAAATGAGCACTTCTCATGTAGTTCAAAATTCCAGTATTCCGCAACTAGAAAGAATCAATTCAACATTGAATAATTTCAACCTCCTTGAATCTCAGGTGTAGGCAAGAAAACTTTGAGATTTTTATAGTCATTCAAAGCAAAGTAGATAGGTACACTCTCGAGGACACTCATATGTAGGTCAAGCTAGGAGACCCATTCAAACTAGGTTCAAAGAACATTTGCACATTGGTTATGTAGTAGATAAGAGAATTCAAGTGGTGTGAAACATAATTATGTAATGATAACAATTATAAATATTATTTATTAGTTAAAACTAGTTGTGAATAGTGGTTTCAAATAATGATTGAAGTAGAAGATCTACTCCACTTCAAGATGAGGAGGGGGGGCGATGATAAAATTGGAGAATAAATACATAACTTACCTGAGTGTAAGCTTTTCTTGAATTATTTGATCCCAATAGTTTAGATTCTAAGCCAGATGCAATGGTTTCAATGATTTGTTCTTGGTTCAAAAAGTGGATTTCATGTTTTGTGGGGTGTACATTCACATCTATATTTGAAGGATCTAATTCCAGACTCAAATATACGAAAGGGTGGGTATTTTTTGGTAAATAAGTTGAATAAACATGGTCAATGCATTTTTTCAAACCTAACAAAATAAAAAAACAAAAATGTTCACTGCATTATTGAAAAACAACTTTTGACTCACTTTGGCAATCAACCAATCTGTTATTGATGAATAATAGGAACTGAAATTTTTTTGTTGAATAATACACATTTGTTATGTATCCCTTGAGTTTCAAATTATACATCTGATTTTCCATAGAAAATTCCATCAATTCCTTAGCAATTTCATTGCCATAAATAATCCTGATATTTTCAATATGTGAAGAGTTTTGAGGTGTTCTGATATCATTATTATCTCCCGATTTTTTGAATGCAAAACCTGAAAATTCAACAGTATTAACTCAGCAATTACTCCAATTCGATTTTTCAACATGGTAATTTTTTTATGATGATTTTTTTATGATGATTGAACAGTAGAAGTAATAAGAAAAATCAAATTACCAACTCTGGCATTGTGAAAAGCATCAGCTACTCTTTGATATTCCCGAGGGGTAAATCTCCAGGAAAAATGTGTACACCAGACTTCCAATGACCAAATACTTCCAAAGACTTCCAAAGACTCCCAAAGACTTCCAAAGACTTGCAAAGACATCCAAAGACTTCCAAAGACATCCAAAGACATCCAATGACTTCCAAAGACATCCAAAAACATCCAAAGAATTCCAAAGACTTTCAACGGAGTGTACACCAGACTTCCAAGGAGATTTACCCCTCGGATATTCCTCTGCAGGAGATCTCAAGGCCTTTTTTCTCACATTCATATTGTAGAAAAGGTCTTCCACTGTTATTAAGCTACTACTGTATATATCAATTTTTTTATGATGATTGAACAATAGAATAAGAAAAGTCTGCACTAAAGAAAATTTGATCAAAATTTAACACTAGCATATTTGCCAACAACATCAGCAACTTTTTGATATTTTTCTGCAGGAGATCTCAAGGCCTTTTTTCTCACATTCATATTGTAGAAAAGGCCTTCCACTGTTATTATACTACTACTATATATATATTAATTTTTTATGATGATTGAACAGGAGAAGTACTAAAAAAATCTGCACTAAAGAAAATTAGATCAAAATTACCAACACTGGCATTGTGAATAGCATATTTGCCAACAACATCAGCCACTTTTTGATATTCCTCTGCAGGAGATCTCAAGGCCTTTTTTCTCACATTCATATTGTAGAAAAGGTCCTCAACAGTTATTATTGTTCCCTGATTTCCAGCCATTGGTTTGGGGGTGCCTTGCAGCAAACCATCCACAAAAGATGCCCTTCAAAATTAAAAAAGCACTCATATATTATTGTGAATCTGAGTATTTCAATGGGTGTTTTTCAATGTAAGTACATTAATCTGATCTCACTTACTGGTATGCACAAACATCAGAAGCTGTTTTTGAAGTGATTGTAAGATGGGCTACATGTGAAATACTTGCAAGAGCTTCTCCCCGAAACCCATAAGTACATATTTTGTTGAGATCCTCAAATTCTCTGAGCTTGGAGGTGGTGAATCGTTCACACACTATTCCAAAATCATCTCTCCTAATGCCAATTCCATTATCCTGTATCTATTTAAATATATCATTCAGTTAATAATATGTAGGTATTGAGGTTATAATTTTACTCAAGAGGGAAAAAGTAAATACTTACCTGTAGTAATTTTAGACCCCCATTTTTTACTGTAATTTGAATATTTGTTGCTTCAGCATCAAGACTGAAAACTATTAGTACTAGTACTAGTATTTTTGGGTATTTTTAATGATGAGAGTACATACCTGTTTTCTAAAAGTTCTTTCAAAGCATTTGCAGGGCGCTGAATAACTTCTCCAGCAGCTATTCGATTAATTACATCTTCATCTAATTTTTTAATCTGAGGAACTGCCATGGTGCGGTAATCTCATGTCCTTTGTTATTATTTATTATTATAATTATAATTATTTATATGTATTTTCTATTATTGTTTTGCTAGAAAGTACACTGGCCGGTCGCTCGGTGCCGGTGCCGGGACCAGTGTTGCCAACTAAGATTTCCAATTTTCCAAAAGTCGCAGAATGCAGAATGGCCATCTGAATAACACAAAATATGTCTATTTCTTCTCATTTCCAGTGTTTCCAACATAAAACTTTCATTATTTAATGTTGGAATAATGAAGACAAGGACAGATGGCTATAATAAAAAAGGTGAGCTGGAGATCGAAGTGAAACTGATTCATGCGGATTTGGATCTATCTTAGGATAGGATCTATGGATCTATGAATCCGAGGAACATAGGCGTATCGAAGGAAAATGGTTAGGAGGGGTCTACTATGGAAGGTTGAACAACCATACATAAAGTAGTGAGAAACGAATGAAATATGCGGTATTCAGGTCTCATAGCTTTCGAATACTCAAATTTGGAAACTTCATTTCAAAAAACGGCGAATTTGCATGTCCTGGATTTGCCTGGAAGCATCAGAAAGCTATCTGGCGTAAAATGGTCTGAACATAATAATTATCCTTCCTGAGTGGCTGAGGTCCAATGTTCAACTAATGGCCTCAAGCCATTCATTTCTCTTATTTTCATAGGAATTCTAGAATCATTATTGAATGAGTAAACTTTTAATCCAAAATCGTCTAAAATAGATGAGTAGGTTTGGCACATCACGCCTTAGCCGTTACCACCGATACAACAAGGCCAGCAGACTCTGACGTAAACAGCTCGTGACGTCACCAAGAGAGGCCAGTGTTTTATTTTATCGCTTGTCGACTAACGCGTCAGTTCGTGTTAATTCATCGGTGATTCACGTATGTTTTTGAAACGGTCCCGAATTCTTTTGTTGTTTATTCATCAAAATGATTGGCGGAAAAATACTGTTGTGTGAAATATTTTGTGTTGTGATCGGCGAAATAACAATGCCTTTCAAGTGTTGTGTTCCCTTTTGTCGGGGGAATTATGTGGGTGGTTCAAGAGTTCATGCTTTTAGTTTCGCGTTCGACGAGGAGCTATCGGAAATATGGGTATATGCAATTCACCGCGAGGATTTTAATAATAATATACTTTATTGTCTGAAGATATACTCTCATTGACAAAGTTCATATGTTGTAAAATAAATAAATATAAAAATATACACAGTCAATTTGTACAATTACGTGACACAAAATAGGATAAAAACAAGAAAAATAAACATCAAGCACATATACATATGTCAATATAAATATAAGATATCCATAGTCACATTAAAAGTAAAAAAAAAATGAATTTTTCAAGTTAAACAAAAAACATTACTCCATCTGAGTTCAGTAGTAAACAGAGCTTAATTTATAATGATGAATTAATAATAGAAGACAATTAGTCTCTCATAAAAAGTATAAGTAGAGGAAAAATAAAAAAGCTTTGATTGTGCAGTTAGTTTTGTATTTATATATTATAGTCAACAAAATCATCTCTGGTTTTTGCTTTAAAACTTTTCCATAATGAAATCGAATGGGGTGCGAAGAAGGGCTCAGTTGACGACTGACATCCTTTTTTAACCGGAAGCCCTTCAAAAAACAGCAAAATCGGTTCAATGATGATCTAAAACTAAAATCGAAATACGCGGTCGCCTTATAGCGCTATAAGCGCTTGTCGTTTCGAGCCGCTGGTTAGGCCTCACTAAGTGACGTCACCCACGGAGCATGCAGGCCTTGTTGTATCGGTGGTAACGCCTTAGCTCAAATTGTTCACAGCTCCGATGAAAAGAAACATCTTTAGTATTATTAATCGTGGAATTCTTACACCAAAGAACGAAGTACTTTATATCTCCTAGGATTGACGAAAATGAAACCTAAAAATTATATCACCACTCAATTTTGGGAATTATTATTTATATGATTTTTATAAAGCCGACCCCTGATGGAATAAACAAAACATTCAAGCCAGCACCATTCACCTTGCGCCGCCGTCTGTAAACAAATCTATTGACCTTGGATTTCTACACAGATCTCATATAAGTATACCACGTCAGTCATTAACGCTCTAGATTAGACAGATTCATATTCAAGCAAACAAGTACCAGGGCAGGGCCGCAGGGCTGTTTCAGTCAGTAGTTTAGTACTAGACTCTCCACCAAAGTACTTTTTGATGAAAACAGTACTTAATAAGTTTTGAGATCCTTGGGTTTACATTTTTCGTTGTGCAAGTTCAATGAGGGCTACCAACAAAACAGAGGTCAGTGTCAAAGTCAGAAATCCCAAATTTTTGCCGGATAGCCCTAACGACTATGGCCCGTTTTATCGAAAAAAACATTTAATTCGGGAAACTCAAGTTATCAAAAGACTTGTTCCTCTATGTGGAACTTATGGACCAATTCTTACATTGACGGAGAAGAAGATATCGTAAGAAGCCCTCATAACAGTTCCAGTTTATTTTTCTCATGAGTTTGGTACATTTATTCCATTTTGAAAATTTTTGAATTATTTATTTTATCAATTGAATTCCATTTTTCATTTCGATATTTTCTGATGGTGAAATTATTCCACTCATATTTGTTTTTTTTGCGACTTGAATTTGTGTATAAAAACTATGCAAGCACCTCGGGGGCGGCAAATATGAAGAAAATTGATATTCAATACCAGTTCAATACTAAATTCCCAGTTCTAGTACTCTTTCGAAACGTTGTCTAGTACTATATTTTTTCGGTCAGGATTGTCAGGAACAACCCTGCCGACTACCGAACTACCGTACTCAGGCTCAAGGGTTCAGGACGCCTCAGGCCGCCTCACGGCAACCCTTTCCCAGGGCAATATGGTCAATTCAGCCAACTTTCTATTTTGAACTTTTTCCCTGTACTGAATACTTTTTGTTTTAATTATTCATCATATGCAATCAATCATGGATTTCAGTCCAATGTAAATGGTAATTGAAGAAATTGAGAGGTCGGGGACTTGATGGGTGAGAAAGACATTAAAACTGCAACTACCCCCTGCATGATCTTTTTTCTGCAACTTCATACTTACCTACTAATTAAAACAATAAATTTTCAAGTGTTACATAATGTTGCACTCTGAATTGCCACCTAGATTATTTGCTAAATTCAATGGATTCCCTTGAGCATCAAAATTGAAAGGAGCATCCAGATCTCCTACCAGTTCTGCAGGAGGTTGTCCATACTCTTGAAGCTGCAAATTTTTAATAACTTTGAAAGTAGATAAACATTTTTTATAATCACCAGAACATGGTTTTCTGGGCAATGGTAGATAAAAAGTTATACCTTCTGCATGAGAGCTAATACTTTGCTGAATCTCTCTTTTTTAACTTCACTTGAATCACCATCTTTTTCATTATTCAATTCTTCCAAAACTTTTTCCATCAACTTTTTTTGACTTTCATATCTTTCTATGTCTTTTTTATCCAATGTACTCTTGTTTTTTTCAATATACTCTGGTAACTTCTGTACAAAATCTTGTAAGCTGGGACCCAATACTTCTTTGGATAATAAACCTTGCATCATACCTAAAAAAATAGATCAGGGAAAAAATGAGGAAACAACAGGACTTGAGACTTTTTACCTACCTTGCATGAAGGGTAAAACATCATTTTCTTGCCCAATACCAGATCCAGTCAACATTTTGAGAAAATCTTCTTCATTCAAGGGAGCCTGTAAACCTTCAGCACCAATACTAAGACCTTGAACTGCTTGAGAAATTGATTCTGAAAAGTTTGTTGATGATTCGCTCATCTGTGAGGGGTTTTCTAGAGCTTGCTGAGCAGCATCTGGAATATTTTAGAATAAAAAAATGTGAATCTTGAGAAGATTAGAGTCATTTCACCTGCCATTTGCTGCAGTGTTTGTTCAAACATTCCAGGAGTAACCTGCATATTGGGATCATTTCCTGTCAATAAACTAGCAAAATTTTCTTCGAATTCTTTGGCAGCTTGCTGAATGAAAGCATTGGACCATTCTTGAGCAACAGCAGGGGCACCTTTGGAAGCAACAACTTCATCACCACCTTCTTCTGATTTTTTATTCTTATCTTCGGACGAATCAGTTTTTGAAAAATCTTCCAAGGCACCTAGTACAATGTAATTGATTGAAGTAAAATTATGACATTGTTATGTAACTTTGAGTACCTACTATCTAACAGATCTGATAACTCTTCATCTACTTCATCCGTCTTCCCTGCGTCTTTCGAGTCTTTACTCATGTTGGGTTCAGTAAATTAGGAAAAAATACCTATTTATTACTAAGCTTGTGAAAGTGAATGCGTTTTTTGAATATATTCAGGACAGTAAACAAACTTGTTAAAATTCCACGATTCATTCTTTCATTCTGAATGTTAGGTTAGGAACTAGGATTGGCTTGACACGGAACACGGAAGACCTGACGATGACGATGTTGTTGTGTTTACAACGGGAGTGGAGTGGATCACGCAAGTATACACCAAACTGCCAGCTGCTGTGCGAGGTGCTGGCAGTGAACTCAAAATTCCATCAGTGGCGTAGGTCATATGAAAAAAAAGCACAACAGCCTCCTGCTGATGTGGTTTGAGTGGTAATAACAGCTTGATGAGCAACTTGTAGATGATACAGGGTTTATTGGCTAAGAAAAATAATCAAGAACACAAACAGAGCGTAGAATATGCCGAGGTATTGAAGTTCTACACTGTATAGCAATTCTGATGTCACCTCTGTTGAAATTTCCGTGCAACAGGCACAATCACGCGGAGTTCAATCATTTAAATTATTTCAAAGTAGCATACTTGATTTTTTTCTCGTTTTTTGTTCAATTTTTGAGATGATATATCTCGTTAATTAGGAGAATTAGAAAAAATATGATATCATGGCTGTAACATATCGATGTGCTGAATATATATGTAGTTATTTCAAAAACACCTCGTATATTGGATTGTTCATTGAACTCAAAATTTCTTCTTCCTTCATCAAAGAATTCCATAGCTTTGCCGTTCTATAGACAAACGACGTTTGGTAAAAAATTGTTCGATATTTTATTGATGGTTGATGATGAAATAAAGGATTTGTTGACTGGCTACTCGAGTACGTCTGACTGGTATTGCTAATGGTGGAATGATTTCTGAATATCAGTATCTATAGAAAAGTGGGAGAGTTAGCTGAGTTTTCTACGGTGTCTCAATCATGTCAAAGAATTAGTGAGTGTGGCATCACTCACCAGAGGCGAATGGCTCTTGCTTTGTAGATCATCATGAGGAGCTGCTAGGGTGTAAAAGTTAGCTTTTCGCACAGAATAACCCAGTAGGCATGGAAACCAAACTTGAAAATAAATGTTATATTACATTATTATTGTTACTTTTTCATGGAATATTATTGAGAGAAATGTTTAATGTCACAGATACATTGCGGCAATGGGCCTCTGTGCCTCTTTCAAATATATTACAATTGTATATATAATGTTAATGGTAAATATTATATGTATGAATATATCAATGGTACTTCATAACGTATATATTTAATGATTCTCAAAACATCTAAACAATATTGTTTATCAACATTCTCATTATTTTCTGGGAGTTTTTAGGTAAGGTCTATTTTTTCTGGAATTGTCAAAAGAATCATCTGAATGAAAGACATAGAAGATGATCTGTCCCTGAAAATAACATGGTGTTGATTTGATCTTAGACAATATTATGAGTAGGTATATATGATCCAGTTACACAGTGATATTCTGGGACAGATTATAACTTCTATCTTTCTATAAGTACCTATCATTTTAGCTATTCTGCTTCATAAACCCAGTAATACCTAGTTTATAAGTACCTACCTACTTGACTTCTACATAATCCAGTGATCTCTTACTAGATCATATATGCCTTGAATTATGAAAATAATACTTAGGTGAATATCTATATGAGTTTTCAGAAGTTTCCTAACTGATTTTGAAATTCGATTCCCAGCGAGCACAAACATCCCTGGGATGTTTTGGGATGTTCTGAAAATGTTGGCATGAAGATGTTATTTTGAGACGTAATATATGCGCACTGACCAAAGAGGTCTTTGAAGGATATTGAAGTATTGTTTTTGTTCTTCTGTGGCATTTCTTTGTTTGCCTACTGAGAGGTATCCCTGGGATGTTTTGAGATGTTTTAGAAATGTAGGCATGAGAATGTTTTTTCGAGGCGTAATATGCACTTCCCAAAGAGGTCTTCGAAGGATATTGAAAGTATTGTTCTTGTTCTTTTGTGCCCTTTCTTTGTTTGCCCCACCACAACGTCTCATGCTTACGTCACAATACGATGAATTCTCGTTTGCAGCGTGTCACGCTTACATCACGCTGCTAACGAACAGAAAGGAATTTGGTGAAGTTTATTGTGTTAGAAGACTTATTTAGTTTGTAATAGTGACCATCAGATGCAAGATATGTTGTTCGGTGCCTCAGTGTAATCAATGTACGAATTCATCAATACACGACAGCTTCTCCGCATCAGTTGCAAAATTATATGCATTGTGGAGAACATTTCAAAAATTGGGAAACCTATTTCCAATTATATGTCTGTGTGTAGTGAGCACTACTCAGAAACCGATTAAGAATAAGGTTATTTCATATCAAGAAAATATTTTTAAGTTCAATCTTTTTCTAATGCATTTTTTCATTCAAGGGAAATGGAATCCTAATGCAAGAGTTCATTTTGACAAAAGGCTTCAGAAAAGTACCTCGAAAATGTTTTTTTTACAGCGATTCAATGTGCGCAAGACGCGTTGAAAATGTTCTGTTGTGTCCATGAAAAGGCTTTAAAAAGAATTAGGGAGAAGGTAGTTTTGTGACATATCAGGGACATCTCGATAATTGCCGCCTGCGGCGGACGACATTGGCTGTTCTATAATAGTTCTACTCATGTGTGAACAGAACATCGCAGTAGAGGTTCAATGTCTCGAAATCTCGTACTTTTAACATCTCTGAGATGTTTTTGTGCTCGCTGGGTTCTAACTATATGTCCTGCTTCTAGCTATGATATATAACTCACCCATTATTTTTGTAATTCGTGAAATATGAACAATCCGTATTTACGAAACCCTCCTACTTTTTCACATATTATATGGAATACAGATACAGATTAGATGTATTTCTATATTCCAGCAGAGCAAACCTGGAAGATATAAAAATCCTAGTTTTTGTGAGGCAGAGCTTTCGCGATGGTTCTTACATGATTTTCCCATGGAATAGTATTGCTGATGGAAATATACCGATCGCAGATATATGTGAACTTTGTGGGAATGGTAGTATTCCATACATTGATATATCAGCCTTATAGACTGTTGGCATGCGACACAGGGTTTATCGATGTTCTAAGTCGCTATGCCATTTAAGGGACCCGCTCACTTAGTCCAAGTTAACAGGAAGGAGTAGTGCCTCGGAGAGTCGCAACCCAGTCCTTGCCCCGGCCCTGACCTCATATCTTTCGGTTGGAAAAAAGTTCAAAATTTTGCTTGAGAAGAAGCTCGGCAATGAAGTGCAATGATCTTATCTCACGAAAATTGGGGCGCTTGCCGGATTGCATACGCCTAGGTCACTCCCCAAGGGCGGCAAACGAACCGGAAGTGGCAATTTTTCAGTGTTATAGTCGATGATCTAAGAATGTATGCCCTTTGTCGAAACAATGAATTCGGACCCGGAAACTTTTTTCCAACCGAAAGGTATGAGGTCAGGGCCGGGGCAAGGACTGGGTTGCGACTCTCCGAGGCACTTCTTCCTGTTAACTTGGACTAAGTGAGGGGGTCCCTCAAATGGCATACCGACTTACGAACCGGGAGTAGCAATTTTTCAGTATTATAGTCGATGATCTAAGAATGTATGCCCTTTGTCGAAACAATGAATTCGGACCCGGAAACTTTTTTCCAACCGAAAGGTATGAGGTCAGGGCCGGGGCAAGGACTGGGTTGCGACTCTCCGAGGCACTTCTTCCTGTTAACTTGGACTAAGTGAGGGGGTCCCTTAAATGGCATACCGACTTACGAACCGGAAGTAGCAATTTTTCAGTGTTATAGTCGATGATCTAAGAATGTATGCCATTTGTCGAAACAATGAATTCGGACCCGGAAACTTTTCCAACCGAAAGTGAGGTCAGGGCCGGGGCAAGGACTGGGTTGCGACTCTCCGAGGCACTTCTTCCTGTTAACTTGGACTAAGTGAGGGGGTCCCTCAAATGGCATACCGACTTACGAACCGGGAGTAGCAATTTTTCAGTGTTATAGTCGATGATCTAAGAATGTATGCCCTTTGTCGAAACAATGAATTCTGACCCGGAAACTTTTTTCCAACCGAAAGGTATGAGGTCAGGGCCGGGGCAAGGACTGGGTTGCGACTCTCCGAGGCACTTCTTCCTGTTAACTTGGACTAAGTGAGGGGGTCCCTCAAATGGCATACCGACTTACGAACCGGGAGTAGCAATTTTTCAGTGTTATAGTCGATGATCTAAGAATGTATGCCCTTTGTCGAAACAATGAATTCGGACCCGGAAACTTTTTTCCAACCGAAAGGTGAGGTCAGGGCCGGGGCAAGGACTGGGTTGCGACTCTCCGAGGCACTTCTTCCTGTTAACTTGGACTAAGTGAGGGGGGTCCCTTAAATGGCATACCGACTTACGAACCGGAAGTAGTAATTTTTCAGTGTTATAGTTGTGCTATCGGGAATTGATCCGACAACGCCGCACTTACAAGAAGTGCAAACGGCCCGACCTTGGACTGGTCCACGCGATCCCATGATCGGGCAGTACGTCGCTAGCTAGCTACCAGGTAAGATTAACTACCCCGCTCGGCATCTACCTCGACAATAGTCGATGATCTAAGAATGTATGCCGTTTGTCGAAACAATGAATTCGGACCCGGAAACTTTTTTCCAACCGAAAGGTGAGGTCAGGGCCGGGGCAAGGACTGGGTTGCGACTCTCCGAGGCACTTCTTCCTGTTAACTTGGACTAAGTGAGGGGGTCCCTTAAATGGCATACCGACTTACAACATCGATAAACCCTGTGTCGCGGGCCAACAGTCTATTAATGATTTTCGCATTTCTATAGAGAAAATACAGGCTTGAGTTTTGTTGGCGTTTGATTCAACTAGGTTTGTTGGTTCCCCAAAACAGGTTTGAATCTTCATTGACAACGTTTGACCTGCCTGCGTCCTGATTTCTTCTTTCCAGGAAAGAAATGAGAATTCTGAAAGGGAACGCAGTATGGAGACAGCGAGGTCGTGGGTTCGATTCCCAGCCAGAGCAAGGAACTTTTTCAATAACTTATTTACGAATCAAATATTGTAAAGTTTCGGATCATCGGCTGGGGATAGTCCTGCAAGATTCGCTGTTGCGTTCCAATTAACAGTGCTGCTCCTAAAGTGGTGCATGGAGTTAGTAACAAGGCCTACACAGAACACGCAGAAAGAGATGTTGATGTGGTTGTGTGCATCAGAGAAGAAGTAGGACGGTGTATGTAGGTGGGTGTGGAAAACTATCAGCTGAGCGTAAAAGTGGGCCAATGCTGCTAACGAGGTAGCTGGCCTGCCACTGCAGGATATGGTAGGAAGTACATTACTAGCCTACAAAACACAGCCGAAAAACTCTGAAAGAGAGCTGATGGACGGTACCTGAAAAAGGGTGTTAGCCAGCTCTCTTAAGCGAACCATATCACTCATTAAAAACACCTTGGGGCTTGCAAAAAGGTTCCATTAGGGACTAGTTGCTGACGTGCAAACGTCCCTCACCAGTACCAGTGGAGAGTACTATCATCTGCAAAGTTGTGGATTGGGCAAGTAGAAGCAATAATGCATTGGTGCCAAAATTATTGATCTTCGTGGAACGCCGGAATTGATGAGGTGGTAATAAGCCTTATGATGATAGTTTGTGAAGGAGTCCTTGGTGCCAAACACGGTCCCCAAGTTTTCGGAGGCGACGTAGGCAAAGTGAATCCCCAGTTGCATTAAAACGTTAACGTGTATCGAGAATTTTCAGTAAAATATCACCTCTCCACTATGGGGAATTTATTTCATTTGGAGTCTCCAACCCTGTATGCATAGCCGCAATGATAATACTCGACTGCTCGATATCTGGATTACTTTAATACCAAATAGTTACCTACTCAAAACAAAATGACATCGATGAAATCATATCAAACCTATCATCATATATTTATAGGTATTTACCTTTCCAATCTTATCTGTTCCGAGAATCTGTGACTCGTACCTACCCATAGCAATAATATTTAGGAATGAAACACTTATAGTATAGTTTCTGTTGTGTATGTATGTGCAAAAACTTATGTTATGAATTTGAAAGGGATTTTCGCTGTTTCTACAGTGTTTTTCATGTCTCAAATATCAACAGGTGGGTCTCATAACATTAACGCCTTTTGATAATGAATTTCCAATTAGTATATTCTATAAATATATAATATAATAAGATTAATACTTCACTTAATTTTGTTAATCTGTGACTTAATGCTATTTAGCTATTGCATGGGTACCTACCGTAAAACGGGGATATCTTTCTCGCTAGAATTTCGTGTTCGCAACATTGGGGAAAGAAATCATCATAGAATTGTAGGTAACAATTCATAGTTCCCAGGTATAGAATTTGTTCGATCAAAAAAAATAAGTGGTCTGTCAAAAACGTTATCCAAAATTCCGCAAAAATAACATTTCTTGACCATCTTATTGACAGACGACGGAGCCTCTGTGGAACAAGAAAACTATTTGACGCAGGTAGGTGTTTCAATGGAATTAATACTTTCAAATATCCTTTACATCCTCTTCGAAGAAGAACAATTGAAATTGTTATTTATGTACCAAGAACGAAAAACTATCTATTAGTATTATAGTATAGAGGCAAATTATTGATAGCCGAGGCCTTTGCAGAGGCTAACAACAATCAGAGGCGAGACAGTTTTTCGCCGAGGTACATATTAAATTTTTTCGTCGACCTCAAACACATATATACAGGGTGTTTGGTGCATCGTGTGCCAAATTGAAATGGTCGAATGAAGGGGTCATCTGCTATCCTTTAAGACTAGTTAACATCGTTTCATGCCCTGTGAATTATTTTTAATCGTCTTTTTATCTGTTCATCAAGAACCAAATTCCACATTCGAATTCGAATTTTGAAAAGAGTATAAGGCGTAGACTCTGGATTTTAATTCTATTCAGATGTGTTTTGTGTTAGAGTACTTTTGAATACAAAACTAGTGACATAAGTATTTCCTCCTTGATAGTATCGAAGGCCGTTTCTATGCGTTGGACTAGTACATCCCTAGTTGGAACTTCCGTGGCGTATATAGCAGCCCTTTGGCAGGACCCCAGACATAAAAGTCTAACGGAGTTAGGTCTGGGGAACGTGGCGGCCATACAATAAGGCCATCGCGCCCAATCCACGCATGAAAGAATCGCGGAGTACGATGAAATGAACACGTTAGGTAGCAGAGGCAGTGATGTCTCTACTAAAAAATGATGGGATCGGTGGCAGTTCGTGATTTGTTCAAACAGATTTACGTTGTGCAAGAAATATAAATTTTACTTGTTTCTGGAGTAATTTTTCAGATCATTTTGGATAACAGAGCCTTATAAGACTTGATTGACATTTCTAGCGAATTCACAAAGTTGTCAAAAGATATTAATGGCATGTGACACATTATTGGCAAGAGGATATGGACTAGAGAACTTTTGAGAGAGTTGGAAGGTCCTGGTCGCTTTTGGTTTTTTTTTGTAGCCAAGTCACAGCTTTAATTTGAGTTTTACATATTTCTAAACTTTGCGAGTGAATTAAAAAAAAACTAGATGACTTTTATGTCACTAGTTATGTATTTAAAAGTACTCTAACAGTTCTAACACAATAAACATCTGAATAAAATTAAAACCCAGAGTCTTCGCCTTAAACTCTTTTCAAAATTTGAATTTGAATATGGAATTTGGGTCTTTTTTGATAAACAGATAAAAAGACGATTAAAAATAATCTACAGGGCCTGAAACGTGTGAACTAGTCTTGAAGGATAGCAGATGACCCCTTCATTCGACCATTTCAATTTGGCTCACGATGCACCAGACACCCTGTATATATGTGTTTGAGGTCGACGAAAAAATTTAATATGCACCTCAGCGAAAAACTGTCTCGCCTGATTGTTGTTAGCTGTTAACTGTAGGTTAAGTTAGCAGCATAAATATTTTAAATATATTTTTTTCCTCATTAATTAGTTCTTCATAATTTTCCCCACAAATGAGACAAACTGACAAAAAATTTGATATTGTCATCGAAAAATACCCCGAGATACCAAACTTCATTCGAATATCACAATTATTTTGAAATTTATTGACAAAAAACAAAAATAAGAATTTAACTTTGACACTCTGTATCTCAGAAACGAATAACTTTCGGACATATATTTATACGACTTTTTCTTCTTATTTTGACGTCAGCAACATGCTCCCGAATTTTCTACACGTACTTAAGAAACACCCTGTATATCATTTCGTTATCAGAGTACGTTAGAAATCTGCAGCCGGCTCTCCTCCTATTTGGGAGGGTCATCGCTGAATTTAGATGACTTCTCAATCATGACATTGTTTGTTTTTTTGTTCGTTCAGGATCGGCAATAGCTTGCTACCAATGTGAGGAAATATTGGGACCACAGAGTCAGTGTGCGAATAATGTCAAGAAAGTTCTCACCGCAAATTGCACCGAATATTTTTCTTGTATAAAATACAAGATGAAAGGTAAGTGAGTAGTATTTAGAATTAAGAAATTGAAAATAATAATAATTGTTATATTTATGAAATCGCCAATTATCCATTTGAACAGTGTGTCACTATATTTTCTTCGCCCCCACCCATGTAACTATTTCTCTATATCTTGGCCATTCGAATTATTTTCTCTCAGTATTCCAGACACAGCTGCAAACCTGCTCTATATTGAATCAATAGTACTGCCTCACATTTGAAGTGAGACAAGCGAAAATTTCCATAATTTTCTAACCGTCATAACTTTGGACTGAATCAACCAACTTTCAAATTCTTTCAAGATTCTGATAGCTCATTTTATTGAATACAACGTCAGTACTTTTTTGTTTTTCCACCTTTCCGAAATGAAGATCCTCAGGTCAGGGTGATAAACTGGGTAAAAGTGCACTTTATCATGCGAATGGGTATTTTTTCGAACATTTCTTTGGTACTCACGTATTTATCTCTGGAAAACACGAGATGACAATGAAAATGTGAACAAACCGCTATCTATTGGGATATTTTACGAAAAATGCGAAATTTCACTATGTTTTGCCACCCATCTTTTAGAATAATTCGCCTATTATTCTGATCATATCTGAATCTGTAACTATCCCTAATAGCACACAACGTCCTAGGGACGTCCCTATTTGGTAAAAATCAAGTCCGAATGTCCCGGACCAAAAATAGGTGTCCTTGGGACGTCCCATCCCGTACATCTTATGCAATGTCCGAGTCAGGACGTCCACGAAATGTCCCACCCGGTACATCATTTCAAATGTCCCAAAAAAGCAACCCTTAGACGTCCCACGTGGTACATATTGTAGAATGTCCATGCAAGGACGTCCTTGGCATGTCCCAGATGGGATTTGATTTTAAACGTTCCTTTAGGGACATCCATCAGATGTCCCGAGTAGTATACATATTCAGGCATGACTTCAGATCTAATATAATGTCCCTTCTAGGCAACTATGAAATGTCCCTGATGGTACATCCCTTCAAATATCATTGCACAGACGCCCTTAATAGTTCCAGGATCGTATAACAATCGAAATGTCCCTTATTAGGAATGATATTCGTCGGATGTCCCAATTGGTACATGAACTGTACTCTTCCAATGTCCTAGAAATAACGTCCTACAGACGTCCCAGTCGGTACTTTCAATATGTTGTCCCTGCGAGGACGATAACTTACACCACACCGAGGAATGATTGCTCGTATAGGGTATAAATACTCTCCTTCCATTGGACATCCTTGGGAAACTTTTTCAGGATCTATTGGGGACCTTCTACGGACCATCAAATCAACTGGATGTCCTCATCAGTAATGAAAGATCTGGTCCCAGAGGGACCCAGAAAAATTCAAATTTAAGAATAATTCGTACGTCCCTGGGATATCCTATGGACATCCAATGGATATCCCTCAGCGTTGCTGATAGGTTGTCCTACGGATGTCCTAAGGATGTCCTCCGTAATGCTTGATGAGGAATACTGTAGGATTTAGGTATTCGATAGTTGTCCCAGGGAGGGGCCGTGGGCCCACCATGTACTTATGGCGTCGGGCTGGGGGTAGCCTCAGATGACTCTAGACACCACTGGTTAATAAAAGCTTGAGGTCCTCACTCTTGTCATGGTAGCGGTACGTGTGAAAGTCCGCGAACGGACACCCATCAAACGGGACCAGAGGATTCTGGTCGACATGGGTAGCTATGGGCTTGCTCAGCGAAAAATGGAACTTTGGTGTATCTTGTGCCTCAGTTCGACAGGGAGAGGGCAGCCCCAAGCGATCCTATCGCCAGACATCATAGGTAAAGCCGGGTCCTCTCCTGTAAACGAGGTAGAGGAACGTGTAAAAGTCCTCGAACGATCACTCATTCAACGGGACGAGAGGATTCTTGTCAACATGAGTAGTAATTAGGCGAAAGCCTTTTGCGACGGCGACCCATCAAACGTAACAAGAGGAATCTTGTTGACACGGGTACCTGGGGTGATGAGGATAGCCCCATCAGGCCGTACATACGGCCTGGTGCCTCACCAATTGGGTTGGACTCCAGGGGGCAGCGGTTTCCAAAAAACACCACCGGACTACGGTAGAGGAGGTAAAGAAGAATCCCACTATGGGTCAAGTAGGAGGAAATCTTGCCTGCCTCGGCGGGTGAGCAGCGTTTCTGCTCGGGCACTGACACTGCAGAGCCAGTAGTCTATTTTATTAGACGGCCTCACCATTGCGTATAACAAAATGGTAGCAGGGGAACATGCCGTTACATAACGGAGATGGCTCTAGCGCGCTGATTTGGCGTATCCAAATCCTCCATTTCTCCCGGGGGTGCTGTCGGTCCAAGTCGAAAGATAGTGACCGGCAGTTATCCCCTATGGGAGTCTTGTGAGAGGGGGGAGAAATCCCACCTTGTTGCTACCCCGGCAACTTGGTCCTGGACCTCTGATTTATTTAGTTGTCCCAGGGACATCCCTCAAGGACGTCCCTAGTTGGTCCTCAAGTGGGACATTTGTGCGTCCCACAGACGTCCAATGGACATCCACGGTACCAAATTCGAACGTGTTAAAATAAAATACCTCTTTCAATCCATTTGCTTACATCCATCACAGCCTTCTTTTTCAGTGCTTCCTGAATCGTGCAAACACCAAGCTCACAATTTAATTCGCTGATTGAGAGAGTTCACATGCAATGAGATCATATTCAATAGTTCTCCAAAAATTCCTCTATATGTAGAATGAGTAGGCAGGTATATCTGATTCGGGTAAAAATCTTTCAACTAAGCGATAATTCCTCATATTGAGTACAATGTTTTCACATTTTCACATGTAGAAGCAGATTTCAATTGGAAATTATTTATGTTCATATTTCAAAGGTCTCTTCCAGAAAATCAAGTCCGGTCCTGGATTTTTGAATAAAATTGAGCCTCTTCATCAATTCTTCAATACATTGAGAATTCGCATTCTCTGCTACGCGATTTCTCAATGTATTTCTTTATATATAGATATATATCCATTTCTTTATGTTCATAATTATATCTGAGATTATTCCTTTTTAATACTTTCACCCAATCAATAAGGGGTTCAAACTTGAAAAGGAAATTCTCAGTTTCGATCCTCTTTTAGACCCGAAATAGAAACCTCATCTTCTATAAGAGAACTTGTTGACTTATCAATAAAAAAAGAATCATTTTATATCTTCGAGCTTTCCTGAAATGTGCATTGCATTTTTGTTGTATGTAACAATATGAATTAGTTACTATATGTATATATCCACGTATATTCGAAATTATACAAGGTAGCTTAAATCATTTGAACGTTCTGGATTAAAATCATACGAAGAAATTAATCAAGGTTATACAGTGTGACCCACTTCTAATGGAAACACCCTTGTATCTCTGAAATTTGCTGGAGCGAGAGATATACCAAAAATGCACTCCATTTCCAAGTGGGGTAATCTTCAGTGATATACACTGCTCGCCAACAGTCATGGAATCACCCCAATTTCCGGAAAATGATATTAGGAGTCAGAATAGGTCGAAAATCACTTCAGATTCAGAATCAGGACGCCCAATTTACTAACTATACATATTTTTCCTGGAAAATTTCCAGTTCTCAAAAATTGAATTTTGTCGCACTTTTTATGGAAGCAACGCCGTATCTGACGTAATTGACTTTATCTTTGGACTTTCCCTTCCTCCTGCAAATTTCAGAACCCTACCTCAATAATTACGTGAGATACGGGGGTGCTTCCATGAGAAGTGAGTTGAAATTAAATTTTTCTGAACTGAAAATTTTCTAGGAGAACTATGAATAGTTGGTGAATTGGGCGTCCTGATTCCGAATCCGAACTAATTTCCAACGTATTTTGACTCCTATTATCATTTTCCAGAAATTGAGGTGGTTCCATGGCTGTTGGAAAGCAGTGTATATCACTGAAGATGACCCTACTTAGTCATAGAGTGCATTCTTGGTATATCTCTAGCTCCAGCAAATTTCAGGATCCTTACCCAACGATTACGTAAGATACAGGGGTGTTTCCATTAGAAGTGGGTCACACTGTATATCTCAAACTTCCTCCACAATTACAAATCGTGAGAGTTCAACAGCATAATCCTCCCCCTCCCTCTCCCCCTTTTATTTTTCTTGACACTTTTCAGTTCTCAGTGACAATTGGTGACGTTGGCAATCAAATGAGTTGATGAAAAAATATTGCCTACCTTTTCTTTATGATTGTTTTCTCATACACATCGTATTTTTGAATGATGAAAATCGGTACAGATATGTTCAAAGTGATCCTCAATAATAATGTGTCATCAATTCTTCTCAAAAATACCACAATACTACATTTTCTGATCACCTATTAAAAAAACATAATTCGTTTTTTCCGACACCCTGTGTTTTATGATGATAAAAATCAGTAAAGGTGTTTTTCAAGTGATCGTGATTCAGAATCCATTATTGGTTTTTGTAAAAAAAAATCCCTAATAGTACTTTCTCAAATATGGGGCAATAAATAAGTTGGTCGCAGTTGGCCACGATTACAGTACATGAGTAAAATCACTCTCTTGTTGGATGGACATTTCAAAAACCTATCCAACAAAAAAAAAGTTTTTTGAAATCGGTTAGATAATAACAATTTTACAGGGGTGGTAAGTCCTTAAGGTGGACACACTGTATATCAACTAAACAGGAAGCAATGCTTCGTTCAGAAGAATGCAAGCAGAAGGAGCATTGCTTCCTGTTTAATTTATACAGGGTGGGCCACCAGTAACGCCTCGGTCTCTAGAAGGCTAACCACTTATCTTCTTGGAATTCTTCCTCTCTAGGAAGTTGCATGTCAACATAGGCTACCATTTAAAATTATTTCGAAACATACAGGGTGTCCCCAAAAACCATAAAACACTGAAGTTAAACTTTTTCCTATCGAACACCCTATATATTATTTCATTTTGAGATTCTCCCTGATGAGCTGATTTCAACGACCCATCATACTTGGGGTCTAGCAGTTATAATAACTGAAATATAGGCTGTGAAAAATCGAGATTTTCCAAGTTCAAGAATTTTTTGTGTCGAAACTATTCATAATTGGTCAAAACGGCTTACATGTCCCTATCTCAACTTTTGCTTAACTATCTACTGATATTTAATTGGGACATATACCGGGTGATCAAGATTCTGAATTCTGCACCACCCTGTATTTGTTTCAATTAAATGTCAGTAGATAGTTGATCGTTGAGATAGGGACATGTGAGCCGTTTTGACCAATTATGAATGGTTTAGACACAAAAAATTCTTGAACTTGGAAAATCTCGATTTCTCACACCCTATATCTCAGTAATTATAACTGCTAGACCCCAAGTATGATGGATTGTTGAAATCAGCTCACCAGGGAGAATCTCAAAATGAAATAATATATATAGGGTGTTCGATTGAAAAAAGTTCAACTTCAGTGTTTTGTGATTTTTGGGGACATCCTGTATGTTTCAAAATAATTTCAAATGGTAGCCCATGTTGACATGCAACTTCCTAGAGAGGAAGAATTCCAAGAAGATAAGTGGTTAGCCTTCTAGAGACCGAGGCGTTACTGGTGGCCCACCCTGTATAGATAGAACATGGTATTCACTACTGAAGTCTGAAAATGGTGAGTTCAAGATCAATTATTGAAAACATCCTGTAACTCATTTGATTGCCAACGTCACCAATTGTCACTGAGAACTGAAAAGTGTCAAGACAAATAAGAATTGCTATTCAAATGTCCATTTTTTATGTTGGAAACGGGAGCAGATTCGTTCCCGAAACGTCCAAAGCTGAGTAAAAATCTGGTATTGTTTCTATATTCCTTTATTTCTCTTCTCCAAACCTTTTTCAATACAAATTGTCCCTGACAAACTAGTGAATTTTTCTTTTAGGTTCTCTGATAGGAAAATTCTTTAAACGCAGTGACATTTTGGGGCAAATCATCTGATTTGTCCTTACTACACGTATATTGAAATAATATACATATTTTTATTTCATAGGAACGAGGAGAGAAAATCTCAAAAAATCCTCGATTAACCTACAGACAGTATTTAATACTTTTTGTAATTATGTTAAGTTATCGATATATGTATAAACCGAATATTTTGGTATTACTACTGATATTATCAAATTTTATTTCAGATGGAAACGTAACAACAATCTTCAGAAACTGTGCTCCTCGCAACAAATGTGACGTAATCAAAGGATCTCTGACAGGATCTCAGACTCTCTCATTTTGTGGAACATGTAATTCGACATTGTGTAACTCTGCCCAGATGACGAGGGCTCCATTATTGATACATTCATTTTGGATGGTCTTGTATATTATGTATACATATAGTTCTTAGAACCATTATAAACTACACTCGTTTTCAATGTTAGACAAACATAGTATATATACAAGGTGTTTTTGAAATGGGTACATATATTCAGCTCATCGATATGATACAGTCTAACGAATATTCACATGATATCAGATGTTTTCTATTTCTTCTAATTAACGAGAAATCTCATCCCGGAAATTGAACGAAAAACGAGAAAAAAATGTACGCCACTTTAAAACAATTTAAATGATTGAACTCCCCGTGATTGTGTCTTCAACACAGAAATTTGAACAGAGGTGAAGTCAGAATTGCTACAATACAGTGTGTCCCACTTACCATGCTCACCATGGGTATCTTTTTAACGGTGAGAGATACGAGGTCGGTTAAATGACACCAAATGTGGAGTTTGTCAAGGCCAACTATAATGTGAAAAAATATTTTGATAAAATCTATTCGTTTTTGTTTTATACGCAAAAAACAGATTTTGATGATTTTCATGTCTCCTCCGTAACTTCTTTATTTATGAAAATATTCAAATAGGAATTTCACATTCTCATGGCAGTTTTTCAAAGTGATTTCAAAAAAAATATGAAATTTATTTCAACTTTTCTAGAATTTGAAATATCAGCACCAACTTTAGTCTTTCAAATGTAGGTCATAGCTCACTATGACTTAGTTACAAATAACTTTTTTTTCTCTTACAGATGATATGTCGCACTAATAGTTTTGTGTTGATAACAACGGAGTTATCGTCATTTATACAAAAACAAAAATTATTTGGAAGCAGCCATCTCGAATTTATAAATTTTAACAAAAAAATCATGATCCTCGACCTCAAAAACCCCCACTTACCAATTTTGAATGGAATCGGACCAAATCTTGTCCGCCATCTTGGAGCAGCCATTTTTTTTTATTTCAACAAAAATTCCATAATGTATTGTCACCGAAATTATGAACACCTGCCAAATTTCAAGTTAATCGGAGTTATGGAATTTTTGTTGAAATTAAAAAAAAGGCTGCCCCAAGATGGCGGACAAGATTTGGTCCGATTCCATTCAAGATTGGTAAGTGGGGGTTTTTGAGGTCGGAGATCATGATTTTTTTGTTAAAATTTATGAATTCAAGATGGCGCTTCCAAATAATTTTTTGTTTTTGTATAAATGACGATAACTCCGTTGTTATCAACACAAAACTTACTGCGACATCATCTGTAAGACAAAAAAAAGTTATTTGTAACTAATAAGTCATAGTGAGCTATGACCTACATTTGAAAAACTAAAGTTGGTGCTGATATCTCAAATTCTAGAAAAGTTGGTATAAAGGACCCCGCACCGCATCAATGGGAAATTGGCTTTCGGTGAATTTACTCGAATTTTTGATATATTGTAGAACTCGTGGTGCTGATCAAATGTCTCCATTGCACCAACGCTCTAAAATCAACAGTTACGATTATATAGGGTGATAAAGTTGACTTTTGAAGAATTTTAGATAAACATTGTGAAGACACCATTCATAATTTCGAAACCATATCAACTGTGCATTGATTGTTCGAATGACCGATAGGAATCTACTATAAAGTATAATGATTCCTGCACGTATCAACAATATACAGGGTTGGTCGGAACATAGCGAATGATTCAGTGATTTTCTGAAAAGTGTGCGGTGGAATTTCATTTAAATTCTGTTGTATACATATATCATCCCCATTTCGTGATATATGCATCTCCTAATCAGATATATTACATACGAGATGTTTTATTTTTGATAAAGTCACATCCATGTTAGGTACTTATTATTGGCATCCTCAATATGACTTACAACTTGAACAACCTATGATGAATGTCCACTCTGCAAATCCGTGAAATATACGGAGTGGATGAAAAATCAATGGTCTTTGCTAATAACTTCTCAAGAGTAGTATGTGCAGATTCTTGTGACCCATTTTATTGACACTGTTTCATAACGAAATTATAATCAATAAAACTGATTTGAACCATTCGATGCAGTATATTTTTAATAACATGTTAGATCCATAAATTCGAGATGTGGAAGTCCCCTTTGCTCTCGCCTTTGAATAGCGATTTCTCGCTTTATTTCATTTGGTTCTCCCTCAAGTCGTACCATATTTTGTTTATTGAATGCTGAATGACACGTAAAACAATTCAATCGGCGACGATTAGCCATTTTTCAAATAATTATTACTTTGACTTCTATAAGAGCTTGACAGATGCAATAGTTGCAAATGACAATGTTAAACAGATGAATATAGTTGCTATATGTGCCTGCCATATTACATTATTTGAACCAGAGCAATCTTAACATGATCAAGATGAACATGGAGTCCATCATGAGAAGAGATCACCGTAATTGAATGAAATCAAAGATTCATTCGGCATTTGTAAGAATTTATCATTCGTCCTCACTCAATATTCTATTATTTTATATTACCATGATTTCATGATGAAATGTGTGTATGTTTCCAACTGATTTATGTATTCATTTGTTAAATACTGTCTGTAGGTTATTTGAGGAGGTGACATATTCATCATTATACTGGTGAATTTTTGTTTTAGGCTCTTTGATAGTGACATATTTGGGGCAAATCATCTGATTTGTCCTTACTACACGTATATTGAAATGATTTTTATTTTATAGAAACGAGGTGAGAAAATCCCAAAAAATCTGGAATAATTTATATATTTATGTTTATTGAAACTAATATAGCTGCTTCTATCTTTATTGAGAACGTTATAATTCGGCTATAAAGTCAGGAGTACTTTTCAAATATAATAACTATGCCATCGTGTTGATTTTCATACTACCTTATAAACCAACCAGATAGTATCGTTTGTTACATTAGGTATGTATTTTAGATAGTTGGGTTCATCTTTATAATATATGTATTTTTGTATGTATGTCTGTTTGACTCAAGAGACGCCAATGTATAATTAGCCAATTTGATGTTAGAAAAGGCTATCAGAGTCAATTCAGTATAAGCCACGATATAGAAGCAGAAAACCTACCAGGTGAAATTGGCAGGATCTCATGCAGGAATCATTATACTTTATAGTAGATTCGTATCGGTCATTCGAACAATCAATGCACAGTTGATTTGGTTTCGAAATTATGAAAGGTGTCTTCACAATTACTATCTAAAATTCTCGGAAAAGTCAACTTTATCACCCTATATAATCGTAATTGTTGATTTTAGAGCGTTGGTGCAATGGAGACATTTGATCAGCACCACGAGTTCTACAATATATCAAAAATTCGAGTAAATTCACCGAAAGCCAATTTCCCATTGATGCGGTGCGGGGTCCTTTCATATTTTTATCGAAATCACTTTGAAAAACTGCCATGAGAATGTGAAATTCCTATTTGAATATTTTCATAAATAAAGAAGTTACGGAGGAGACATGAAAATCATCAAAATCTGTTTTTTGCGTATAAAACAAAAACGAATAGATTTTATCAAAATATTTTTTCACATTATAGTTGGCCTTGACAAACTCCACATTTGGTGTCATTTAACCGACCTCGTATCTCACACCGTTAAAAAGATACCCATGGTGAGCATGGTAAGTGGGACACACTGTATAGAACTTTGGGTGGAAAAAGGGGTCTAACCTCAAATTATATTAAGCTCCAGATATTTTTTTATTGGTGTCATTCGATAGTATACGTCGAGCTTTCTCAAGGTTTGGAATATTTGCACTTTATTTCAATGCCACCCTGTATATACACCGTGTCCCAGCTCAAATTTCCCCCCCTGCATAGATCTAATTTATGCCCCTTGTAAAAAATCAACCGCGCGACCGATGACTTGAAATTTGGTCACCCAGTATATTTCATGATGCACACTCGAAATATGCTATTGAACAAATCGTAGGTACACAGGGTCACACCGAAGTGCACCTCAACTTTCTTATTTGAATAGAGACACCCAGTATATTATTCCATATTCAAGTAGAGTTCATTACTACGAATTCAACAATGCCGGGTTTGATGGGATTTTTTTCAAACGACTACGAAGATATGGCAAAAAAAGAAAACGATTCAATATAAAATTTATATGATTAGATTTTATCAATATAACACGATTAAAATCGAATTATGAGTGTCCTACGCATAACTACAGATCCGTAAAGGATTATCTTCGCCATCAGTTTGGAGAAAATCTGATAACCACCAATTGTCTCGATGGTGATAGCAACTGGCCAGCTCGGTCGCCAGACCTCACCCTACTTGATTTTTATTTGTGGGGCTACTTGAAATAACAGGTTTATGAGTCGCCAATTGTGAATATGGAAGAAATGAAAGAGAAAATTACAAATTTATGTGCACAAATTGATCGCAACGTGATACATATATAGGGTCACATGGAACATTATTAGAAGAGCTAGGAAATGTTTGCAGCGGAATGGACGATATATTGAGCAGTTGAGGTTATAATTATTTTCTTTTCATTCGATTTCAATCGTGTTATATTGATAAAATCTAATCATATACATTTTTTATTGAATCGTTTAATTTTTTGCCATATCTTCGTAGTCGTTTGAACAAAATCCCATCAAACCCGGCATTGTTGAATTTGTAATAATCAACTATACTTGAATATGGAATAATATACTGGGTGTCCCTATTCAAATAGGAAAGTTTAGGTGCACTTCGGTGTGACCCTGTATACCTACGAATTATTCAATAGCATATTTCGAGTGAGCATCATCAAAAATACTGGGTGACCAAATTTCAAGTCATTCGATCGCGCGGTTGATTTTTTACAAGGGGGAGGGGACATTTTAGATGGGACAAGGTGTATATACCGGGTGGTCCACTTTCAAAACTATCCACCCTCGGCGATAACTCTCAGAAAAATGATGTTTCATAAAAACAACGAAACACGTCGGTTTTTATTTGGAGGGCACCGGTTGGCGCAAAAAAATGATACATACTTCAACCCTGTTCTATAATATACAGAGTGTTTCAGAATATATCCGCAGGACTTCAGGATCTGATAGCTTGTCCAAAAATATGAACAAAAAAGTTTTTACTAACTTACCCTCTGAAATGCACCATTTTCGAGTTATAGGGTGTTGAAATTTGAAAAAAAATTTTTTTGAGAATATCTCTGGAACCGTTTATCGCACAGAGAACAGCTTTCGTAAGCATTCTCTACTCATAAAAAGCTCTGTTTTGTGCGAAATTTTTTTCTCAAGTTATAATTGGTGAAGTTTTTGAAGGGTTAGTTGATGATTTTCTCCCCAACTTCTACGCCACTGGAAAAAGTACAGTTTTGAGCCGCCCATTCGAACAGCCAATGTTTTATACACAAAAATAGTAGATTGTTTCATTAGGATCAAAAGTGACACTTTGTTTGACAAGCGAATTTTGCATTTGCGAGGCGGAGCGTTTAGCGAAGCCGAGCGAAAGCAAAATTTGCGAGTCGAACAAAGTCACTTTTGATCCGAATGAAACATGCTATTTTTTCTGCAACCGAAACAATTAACTCAAATAAACATATGCAATGCAACAAATATTGACAAATAATCCATGTAGTGACAATATCCTACCTGCATTAACAGCAGGTTAGGCTTTCTAGGATGTTCGAATTGTAGTTTCAATATAAATACAACCACAGAGTGACATATTTGTGTATGGACCAGGTGCTCTAATGGCAAATACCGCGCCAGTGCCAGGTATAACAAGACGTGGAAAGTGTTAGGTTAGTGAGCATATCAACAATGATAATAGTGATTATTTATTCCTCTCCATACTACACTGTGTTCGACTTGATAATCAAATGAAGCTAAACAATATCGTTGTTTGAGACAAAAAAACTATTGCTTGCCGTGATTATTCAAAAACAAGTTATCCATCCCGAGAATAACGAATGAAATACATATCAAGCAAGTATTTGAATCTTGAAGGCTTCCCTGATCAAAACAAAAATACTTAACTGAGATGTTTATAATTCCAATACTAAACTATAATAAGGTGTATTTATATCTCCAGCATGGGTATGAAATGCCAAACCTGCTGAAATCGGAAACAAATCAGGTATGCGTCTCAACCCAAATAACCAACCGTCACAATGTTGTTTATTCTTGATGACGTCCAGTAGATTCTTTTTAGTTCCTAGGAGCTAAAGTTCAACTTTAGCTCCTAGGAACTAAAATTCAACTTTAGCTCCTAGGAACTAAAATTCAACTTTAGCTCCTAGGAACTAAATATGTTGCCTAGCAACATACCTATTTTTGTGTCAGTAATAGAAACGTCAATTTAAGAGCTAATTTTGGTATCAAAATGGACGACTTTTGTGTCGGTTGCAGAAAAAGATACTTTTACTTTTGGTCATATAAGCTCTAAAGTTGAGCGTTCTTGAGAAAAATCAACAATTTTTTTTTACCAATTAAACAAAATTTATTTAAACTTTAGAACAAGTAACAAAACCAGAGGTTAACGTCATATTACAAAATTGAACAAAAAAAAACAATAGCAAATCATACTCAGTTAAATTAATAATTGTCCGCGGTTAGCTTCAATAAACGCAGCAATTTTTACGCAGACAGCACACAATATCTATTAGATATCTATTGGATAGCCCTATATCCACTGCGCGACCATTTCCATGGATATGCGATGGATATAAATCATGGATATTCAATAGAAAACCGATATTGCATTATTATGCCACAATATTTTCAAATATAAAAAAAATACTAAGGCTGGACATTCCATAACTATCAATTGAAATATCCACTGGATATCCAGGATCCAGAAAATCTCCATTGGATATCAAGTGGTTATCCAGTCAATATCCATTGGATATCCAATGGATATACAGTGGATATTTATTGAACATATTATGTGCACCTAGTTGAAATTAAAAAGAAATAAGTAGGTATACGAAGTGCAAGAATTTAATCGAATCGAAGACATTCCTTATAAGTTGCTAACTTGCTAAGCACAGACTTCTCTACTTCCCGCCCTCATTTATGTAATATTTTTGGTATGTTCAGAACAAAACAGAGATTTATTAATTTTGATCGAATTATGATGGTTGTGAATAAAATAGTATACAAGCCTCGGTGGGAAGTTTCATTCCTGTCTCGAGATCATAGAACCTCGACTCTTTGCGTCTCGGTTAACTAACTAATCTCCCGACAGGAATGAATCTCATTCCACCTCGGTGTGTAATATACATACCTCTAGTCACAGATTCGTGATTGGGTTTTCTCAATTCTGATTTCTTCCACACCCGGTATGATGAACATCAATTCATAGTACAACTGATGAAAAAAAAATTCAACAAATGAACATTTTATTTATTGGTATACTTACCTTGATCCGCTCACTGTCCAAACATTTCTTGGACCAGTTAACCGTCCTTAATTACTACTAAATACTTGATACTACTTCAGAATCAGAATAAAGGATAACCTCCAACATTTCCTCAAAAAATATATATTTTCCTTGCAAAATAATTGATGTTATTCATATAACTTAAAAAAATAACAAAAATGATTTTAATCACTTGTTCCTTTTTCTCATGCTACGGCCTTCCATATTTGAAACATCCTCTTCAGTTGATCTTCTATGATTTCTGTTTTTTTCTGAAATTAAAATTACAAGAAAATATACAGGGCTTTTCGTTAATTAGACGTTTGTGGCAAACCAGGCAAAGGAAAAATTTGTATATTTCATGGTTTGTATAAATTAACATGATCTACACGTCTGTAGTATATGTATAAGAATGATTGTGTAATTGATAAAGATATGAAACATAATATGATTCATTCGGTATCGGACGACCGGACAGTGTGTATGGAATAATAAAGTTCTCTGAGAGCGTACAAGTGTTTTATTAGTATATTACATTTGGCGACGAGTGAAAAGTGATTTAAGAAAGAAAACATAAATAAAGTGCTAGTGGAAAGTAGTGAAATCAAAACCAGGAAAAACTTGGCAGAGAAAAGATGGCCAGTATGTCGGGCGTTGAGCAGTTCCAATGTGAAGGCGATCCATTTTCGCTTGCAACGAGATGGGAGAAGTGGAAGAGAGCTCTAGGAATTTACCTAGCCGCCTCGGACATAACTGATGCAGTAAAGAAGCGAGCCATTCTTCTGCATTCAGGTGGAATAGGGCTTCAAGAAATATTCTTTACTTTGCCAGGTGCAGAAGTCGATGCAACTTTGGAAGAGAACCAAGGAGTGGATGTCTTCAAGGTGGCTATACAAAAACTGGACGAATACTTTATGCCAAAGCAAAGTAAACTATTTGAAAGATATACCTTCCGGCTAATGAACCAGGCAAGTGATGAAAAATTTGACAAATTTTTGGTGCGATTGAGACATCAGGCAGGAAAATGTCAGTTCATTAATACGGAAGAACATCTCATTGACCAGATAACGGAAAAATGTAAATCAAAAGAGCTGAGGAGGAAAATATTATCATTTGGAGATAATATAACACTGAATGATATTATTTTTGAGGCAAATGCGTTGGAGTCTGTGGATCGGCAAATGGAAAAATTTGAGAGTCATGAGAAAAATTTGCCCAGTACTAGCGATATAAATAAAATACAAACAAAAACAAAACAGTTCCTCACAAAACAAGGAAAGGCCGGGTGCTCTAGATGTGGTAATCCTCGCCATGATTCACAGAATCCAAACTGCCCAGCAATAAAATCAATTTGTCATAAATGTAATTTTATAGGTCATTATAAAAATTGTTGTAGATCCAAAAGAAAAAGTTCATTTCCTCAGGAGCACGAATCAAAAAGAAATATCCAAAAAAATCAAATTCAATTAATAAAATAGATAGTGACACTGAGGAGGTGGACTACATTTTCCACCTTGATGAAGATACTACCATCTCATGTGAAGTAGGCGGTATTGTAATACCCATGATTGTCGATTCAGGTAGTAAAAACAACATCATAGACGGGAATACATGGGAAAAACTAAAATTTAATAAAATCAAAGTAAAAAGACAAGGGAACGATGTAAACAAAAAATTCGTTGCTTACGCGAGCAATAAGCCACTAGAAATATTGGGGTGTTTTGAAGCTGAGATTAAAGCTAACAACAAAAAAGAGGACGCTTTGTTTTATGTCATAAAAAATGGCACGAAATGTCTACTCGGAAAAGAGACAGCTACTTCACTTGGGATACTAGAGATACATATCAATGTAAATTGTGTGTCCTCTCCATTTCCAAAGTTCAAGGATATAATAGTGGATATACCAATTGATGGAAACGTTCAACCAGTTGCTCAGCCATACAGGAGGATACCTATACCTCTAGAAACGAAAGTCGAAGATGCCCTACGAGATCTTTTGGAGGGTGATATAATTGAAGAAGTTAACGAGCCGTCAAAATGGATATCCCCTATTGTACCCGTATTGAAAGAGAATGGAGAGGTTCGTATTTGCATTGACATGCGACGTGCCAATCAGGCAATAGCTCGTGAAAATCATCCATTACCAACTATGGAGGTACTGGTACCACAGTTACGGAGAGCCGCGCGATTTTCTCGCCTGGATATAAAAAATGCGTTCCATCAGGTGGAAATATCCGAAAACTCGCGATTTATCACTACATTCATTACTAAAAGAGGTCTTTTTAGATATAAACGGCTTATGTTTGGTATCACATGCGCCCCGGAGATTTTCCAGAAAATTATGGAGAAAATTCTGATTGACTGTCAAGGTACTATTAACTTTATAGACGATATAATAGTTTTCGGTGAAAATGAGAACCAGCATAACCAGAGATTAAAAAAGACGCTAGACACACTTAGGAATTTCAACGTATTACTCAACGAGAACAAGTGTCAATATAACATGCAATCCATCACGTTTCTTGGTCATATTCTTTCATCCAACGGCATTAAACCGTTGGATGTACATAAAATATCAAGGTTATTAAGAGTTTTCGTGCCCCCAAAACGGTAGAAGAACTACAGAGTTTCCTGGGTTTGGTAAATTTTGTGGGGAAATGGATACCTAATCTGGCAACAGTGACCGAACCTCTAAGGAAACTTTTGCGACTAAAACTGGGAAAAAATGCAAACATTGAACGCTACTGGGGTCACGAACAAAAAGAATCATTTACCAAGCTAAAAGAATCACTCTCGAGTAACTCAGTTTTAGGATACTACGACCCTAAGGACCGGACCCAGGTTATAGCTGACGCTAGTCCCGTGGGATTGGCAGCTGTCCTAATCCAATTTGACAACAGGGGTCCCAGAGTTATCGCTTATGCTAATAAAAGTTTGACGGATTGTGAAAGGCGATACTGTCAAACAGAAAAAGAGGCCCTCGCGTTAGTATGGGCTGTTGAACACTTCAGAATATACTTATTTGGAAAAGACGAATTTGAACTCGTTACGGATCACAAGCCCCTCGAGACTATATTCGGGCCAAAATCTAAGCCTTGTGCAAGGATTGAACGCTGGGTTTTGAGGCTACAGTCCTTTAAATACAGAATAGTGTATCGCCCTGGCAAAGAAAATATCGCAGATCCACTATCTCGGCTGCATTCAGACCTAACACGTGATCAACCCTTCGAAAGGGAATTCATACACCAAATCGTTGAATACTCAAAGCCTGTAGCAATTTCAATGAAAGAACTCGAAAAATATTCCAAAAATGACCAGGAAATACAGATGGTTAAAAATGCACTGAGTGAAGGGAAATGGTTGAGTGGCACAGAAAGATACAAAATCTTTGAAAACGAACTTTGTTTCTACTCGAATATATTATTACGTAGTGATAGAATAGTCATTCCGGAAGCACTAAGGAAACGTGTTCTAGAGTTGGCACACGGAGGCCACCCAGGAATTGTAGCGATGAAGAAACGTCTCCGTACCAAAGTTTGGTGGCCAAGAGTAGACAGCGAGGCTGAAAAGTTTGTTCAAGAATGCAGAGACTGTACCCTAGTGTCCGCTCCAAATCCACCAGAACCGATGAAGAGGCGGCAGTTACCTTCGAGTCCCTGGGTGGATATCGCAATTGATTTCATGGGACCACTTCCGAGCAACGAATATTTATTGGTGATTGTAGATTACTACAGCCGTTATAAGGAGATCAAATGCATGAATACCATAACCTCCACCAGCACTATCAAAATCTTAGAGGAAGTATTTTCAAGGCTGGGTTTACCAGAATCGATAACGGCAGACAACGGTAAACAATTTTGTAGCCAAGAATTCAAGAATTTTTGCCGAATTAATAATATAACTCTCTTTCACACAATACCCTACTGGCCCCAACAGAACGGGGAAGTAGAGCGCCAAAACAGGGACATACTGAAAAGGCTAAAAATAAGTCAGATCAACAAGAAAAACTGGAAGGCTGATCCGCTGATCTACTGGAGTACTTAACGATGTATAATAGCACATCACATGCTACTACAGGAAAAACGCCATCTGAATTATTTTTTCGGCGACGTTTTCGCGACAAACTACCTAGTTTACCGAGTTCAGCTATCAGTCCCTCAGATGTAATTGAAGAAGAAATAAGCGACAGAGATTTATGGGAAAAAGAAAGAGGGAAGATATATGCAGATAGGAAAAGAAAAGCTCAACAAAGTGGACTTGAATGCGGGGACAAAGTATTCGTGAAAAACATCACGAAAGAAAATAAACTCACTCCTACGTTTGACCCAACTCCTCACACTATTACTAATAAGCAGGGCGCAGATGTCGAGGTGAAAAATAACGAGACCGGCCAAACTTATAGAAAAAAATGTAGTTCACCTGAAGAAAATCGCGGGGGAATGGAGAGTCACTAAACCCTCCTCCTCCAACTCCTCCCCCTCCTCCTCCTCCTGAGACAAACATAATATTTGCAACTCTATTACAAACAAGTGTTCATTTCTTTTTGTTTTCGTTCATTTTTATGTTTATTTTGTACTTTTTGTATCCTAGCATAGTGATTAGAAAGGTTTTTGAATTTCCAGTTATAGTCGATATTTTGATTCGTTTTCACATGTTAATGATTTCTTTACAATTGCTATTTTGATAGGGATATATATTATATATATGTAGTAGTATAAGTATTACATAAGATTGTTTAATTGCATTAAATCGCTGGTTTTGAATTTTCGTGAAAAAGATAGAGATGTAGTATATGTATAAGAATGATTGTGTAATTGATAAAGATATGAAACATAATATGATTCATTCGGTATCGGACGACCGGACAGTGTGCATGGAATAATAAAGTTCTCTGAGAGCGTACAAGTGTTTTATTAGTATATTACAACGTCTAAACTATTTAAGTGTGTCCCAGCTAGAACTTGTCATCCCCCTAATCTCCGATGTCGTTGAAAAAATTGAAAATCGCTCGATTTCAATTTGACGGGGGACACATTTTTCTGCAATTACCATATTCCAAAGTTAAAATCTTGAAGCGTAACGGGCATCATCTCTCGATTTTAAAATGGAGCACCCTGTATTTCATTGCATTTTTAGATTCTCCCTGGAGAGCTGCTTTCATCAATTCATCACACTTGGTGTCTAGCGGGAATGATTACAGAGATATAAGGTGTTCAAAATAGTAAACGTAAATGAACAAGTATATTGAATAGCAAAATAGGAATTACAGTAGGCGTTTTCGGAAACTTACTCTGGGTTGATAACTCGATCCAGATAGGTCACGTGACAAAAAACTCGGATCATCTACTCGTGTCCAACGTTTACGAACGTGTCAGGTTAGGAACACAGAATATTATATTTTTCCTGTGGTTTCATGAATTTGACAGACGAAAATGGTCACATTATATTCAAGTAATTTTTTGATCTGATTACAATTATTTATATTTACCCGTGTATTGGTGTACTTGTCTCATATGTAATGTTGCACATAACCACAAACTTCACCCCTGCTCAAATTCTCTTCTCAATGAATTACTTTATCGAATTATGAAGATTGAAAAGAACATTTATATCACCGGTCGTGATTTTTCCCAACAAGCAAATTATTTTATTATTATTGTTATCGTCGAATGTAAACTCCCGCGTTTTTTGAATGACTTAAATTCTGTAATGCGCATGCGGTGTCCTCTGCAACTCTGGCGACCCTGCTTTTGAGTAGGGTCACGAAAAATCAACCCGAGTCAGTGATCGAGTAAGCATCATTCAAGTTTCCGAACAGAGGTAGGTAAATCGGTTTGGGTAACCGAACGTTCAGATTAGGGATCCGAAAAACCCCAGTAAGTTTCCGAAAACGCCTAGACTATCTCGTCCCTTATCATCCCGAATTCCATACCAGCTCATCCGCTCAGCCGTTATTCCTTACATAACCCATAATGAATCAACACCCAACAGACATGAAATACAGGGTCGTCTCTTCGGATCGTCTATAGTTTTATTCTGAATGTCCGTCTACGCCTTTATGCATAATGAAACAGTAGATAGATAAATAGATAGGTAGATACTTTATTGCTTTCAGAAAGATTACAGTTCTATAGTGAGAATTCGGATATAATTTTAGCATACGAATATAAAAAGTTGTTTATAGTAACGTGACAAAGCCTTGGTAACCATAATAGTTTATATATTAGAGGTCATATAGGAGGGCAAAAAACGAAATTAAAGACAAATCAGAACTCCTACAGTAGATAAAACGCTATTCATTTCTCGCAATAGTTCTGCCAATGAATAGGGTGATATTATCAAGAGTATATCTTTTGTTATACGTAACTTGTATCAAGTATTTATTACATACTCTGAGTTGAGCAATAGTGCAAATGATCTGAATAGGTTGATCAAAGAGTTGATAGTTTGCAGCTGTTTTAGAAACTGTGAATGGGCGAGTGGACTTATAACACATTATTGGCATTCAATTACTACACTGTGTAGTAAGGAACCTGAATTAATTTTTGCAACACTTTTCACATTTTTTTATGCAAAAAATGAGTGTATGCGTTGTTCGAAATTTTTGAATTTCGGAGCTCATTTCAAACGTACTCATGGCCACTATTTGGCGATATGTCGAATAAATGGTGATGTCAGCTTTTATGCTGTTTTGTTATTGGTCAGATAATCTTCCATTCCCACTCACGAAGCAAGGTTGTCAAGTCACCAATTATAATGAATTTATCAAAAAGATGTAAGAGTTCTGTCGTTGAATAAAACATAACAAGAGGAACCCATGATATTATAGTTCATTCTTGACTCTTTCGAGCAACCAGCATGTCCAAATATTTCTAATACTGCATAACAAAATTGCATGAAAATGTTGGAGGCTTGGCAACATTGCTGAATGCTGAGAAGGGACAAGACCACGCCCACAAGTCGTACATGCGGTGTTGTCACGTTCACCGCTTCAAAGGTCCTCTAGTGCGAATTAATATAATTGCTATTTACACAAATGTATTATAAACAATAAGCCATCAACATTTCGAGACAATTGTTTTGTATTGTTAACTAGGAATGTTAGCAATACATAATTGAGAGTTTATTAATGTTTGAATAACTAATATTGGTTCCCAATCGTATTTCAACACATTACACAATTGCATCTGTGCTATGGTCTACTTACAAAATCTTGACTTCAGTTTTTACTTGCGGTAAAATTATGTTTGAAAATTACCGTGGCATTATTGGTGATTTTAGCACCTATAAATCGACCGAAAAATTCTAAAAATATATGAAATTGAAAGGTATTTGAGTGGTGATTTCAAGTGAGAAATAAAAAAAATATTCCACTCGCCTATTGAATATTACTTTTCTTGCCACTGCTAATTATTTTCACTTTACAGAAAGCTCTACAACCTATGTCTTCTTGTACAAGAGAAACGTAACTTTCTTGGTTCTTTCTTTGAAGCAGTAAATAGTAGGGTGAAAGGAACCAGACTTTGACGCCCTCATGATTCATTGTGGGTGTTTTTGCCTGAATTTCAATTGTTCTTTATAATTTAGAACTTACCAGAGTTTCGAGTTTGAGACCTCATCACAGGTGAATTTGGGCTATCATCATCAGTAACCATATGTGACTGATTCACAGAATCTTCAGCGTCATCTTCTCCATCTTCATCTGTCCCTATCCATATAGTTTGGCAGCAAGGGCATTTATTTTGATTACTCAAATATTTGTTTATACAGTAGGAATGAAATGTCTTTTGACATGAAGCACACTGTTTTCCCTTAAAATTAACACCGTTAAATGAAATATTTATAATTTAGCGACCTCTAACGCTTTGAAGCTAAATATTCTGACAGAATAGACTCATTTGCATGCTACAAACTTTCAGTTCAAAGTGAGGTGTCCCAGCTTTCTGTGTATGTTCATTTTTAGGTAAGTCACTAATTTTTATTGGATTGCACGGAATGTAATGATAATTTTGACAATATGTTTAGCAAAATTTCATAAGATGAAACCATTGAAATCATCAGAGATTATGGGGGTGTTTGAGGCAGTTTTAGAGACCTTTCTGGTCATCATATAGAGCTGAAACAATTTCACCACCATGTTTATCAAGAAAATTTCATATAATGAAATTGAAATCTGGTTCATCTCTGTAGCTTAATTGTTATTTTTTTTTAATCCTTCAATTAACCCCCCCCCCCCAAAATTCGAACCCACACTGCCAAAAATGTAGGTGCTGTGTGCCAAATCATTCATTATAAGGCATACATAAACGAGGGGTAAACCACGCTGGAATTCTGGTGTACAAACAACTGGAATTCCTTGGAATTCCCTGGATTTCCTTGGAATTCCTTGGATTTCCTTGAAACTCCCCGGAATTCTTTGGGTGAAGTACGGTATATTCCTGGTCTACAAACAACTATAATTCCTTGGATTTCCTTGAAATTCCTTGGATTTCCTTGGAATTCTTTAGGTGAAGTGCAGTATAATTCTGGTGTACAACAACTGGAATTACTTGAAATTCCTAGGGTTTTCTTGGATTTCTTTGGAATTCCTTGTATTTTTCTTTGGATTTCCTTGGAATTCCTTGAAATTCCTTGGATTTCCTTGGAATTCCCTGAAATTTCTTGATTAGAATCCCTTGTGTGAAGTGCCTTATAATTCTGGTGTACAGGGTGATTCACCATAAATGTCCCCCCCCTCTAGCTCAGTTATTTTTGTACAGTATCATCTCAAATGATTGTCGATAAAGTTTTTTCCGCTACATCAAAAAATACAGGGTGCTCGGAACAAATGATCTACAGAGTACTATTTGATTTTTTTTAATGGAACACCCTATTTTTCATTGTATTTTTAGATTCTCCCTGAAGAGCTGATTTGATCAATGCATCACACTTGGGGTCTAGCGAGAATGATTACAGAGATATAGGGTGTTCAAAATCGAGATTTTTCAACTTTAGATTTTTTTGTGACGAAACTATTCATTATCGGTCAAAACGGCTTTCATGTCCGTATCTTAACTTTTGATTTACTATCTACTGAAATTTAATGATTGGATTAGATACAGGGTGATCAGAATTCCCGCTAGACCCCAAGTGTGATATATCAATGAAATCAGCTCTTCAGGAATTCTAAAAATACAATAAAATACAGGGTGTTCCATTTGAAAAAATCAAGTAGTACTCTGTAGATCGTTTGTTTCGAGCACCCTGTATTTTCTGATGCAATGGGAAAAATATTTCTGAAAAATCATTTCAGATTATTTTTCAAATTTTTTAATCGGTTCCAAACTGAGTGAGATAGAGGGGGGGGCCTGTACAAACTGGAATTCCTTGAAATTCCTTGTGAAATTGAAGTTTGGTGTACACAATTTTAGCCACAGTTTACCCCTCAAGTCTAAAGAGCAATTGTGCAAATTTGCTTGCTTTCTATAGGAAATGTGGTTTTATTCTTCATACCTCTGGCATTAATAAGGGTGAATGCAATGGAAACTAAACAAGAGTACCATTTTTGAGTAAAAAGATTGAGATTTCTATATTCTCTACTGGCCAAACTGCCGAAAATGGCATGAACAAAAAGTTGGGGGAACAGTGCGCCTGATCCAACCTACTTTCTACACCCATGATCAGAATTTCCGAAAATTTCTAACATTTTCAAATTGTGCATGAAAAGTCAGGTGGTACATGTACACAATTTTGTTATTTCAGCACAGAGTGTTTTGAAAATATTCACAAAAAAACATCATCTAGGGCTGGCCTTAAGAAGACAACCCCCTAAGGGACCATTTTATTGAGTTTTTTTTTTTCAATTCCTCTCAAGTAAACTTCCATTACTAGTATTCAAGTTATAATTTAATTTTTGAGTTGTGTTCACTGAAGAAAGTACTCTCATTCTCATCTCGCAAGTACCTTCACCCCTTGAGAATAATTCACAAAAATCTGGACCACCCTGTAGAGGAGAACATTGAATCTGGATCTCAATGGGGGCTAACATTTTTAGTCTCACCAGTTGGTGCTTCTAAAATATGAGGTCAATGTAAAAGTCAAAAATTTCAAAATTTTGCAGGATAGTCCCAAAGGCTATGGCCTGTTTCAAGAATATTTGAAAAACATCATGTTGAATATTTGAACAAATAGAAAACCTCAAGTTATGGAAAGCCTTGAGCAGACTTATGTTTTTTTACTCTCAATGTGGAACTTTATGACCAATTCTCACATTGATGGGGAAGAAGATAGCATACCAAATGGACAAATGACACAAACATAAGACTGGGTGACTAGGTTTGGTGGACAATAAATAATGTTGGGCCTCATTATTATACTGCTTACCACAAAGACTATATCTGAACAAAGATTACACACAGCATCTGGATAGTGAGTCTTCAAATATGATGTGAATTCCAGAATCATTCTTGGTCCCAAGTAAATATGTGCACTTTTTCTCACAAAGTAACCAGTCTTCAACCATTTATTCAGGACTTTTTGTCCCTTATCTCTAGAGAAAAAATCTGTAAGGGTTGAAGTAATATTGATACAAACTATGAAGGTGATCCTGTGTTCTTCAGAGTTCAATATCTCTTGCATAATGGAATGAAAATATTCTAGTTCTAAAGCTGAGTATATATTCTGTAACTGAGATATTTTGTCATTTTTTGTATTCAGCCATAATACAAGGTGATTATTAGTCACTTCACAATTGCCTAGTACTATTTTATAGAATTGTTGTGAAATCTCTCTATTGATTTCCAGTATCAAGGTTTTTAAATGTGTCATATTTTTTATTTCACCTGAAATATAAAGATTGCATTAATTTTTCATGTAAGGAGCCAATAAAAAGGCAAATGTTCTATTATTTTAACAGCATGAGAGTTTCAGAAAATATAAATACAAAAATTACCTTTACTAACATATTCACAGAATGTAGTTGCATTTTCTACAGTTGAAATCCCGTTTTTAATCATATACTGAATAAAATACTGATGCTTTTGTTCCATATCCACCCCTATCTTATTATAATGATTTTCTTATCTATATTTTTTTTATGAAGGGTGAACTTAAAACTGATCAATGAAGTAAATCTTGAGACTCTTGAGCCATCTCTAGTTTAGCGCAAACTTCATAACATAACCTAATTATAAGTTAGGCTAAGTGATCTCTTCTTCTCAAACAATAACTAGTGTCTAGAGACAGGAGGCAACAAATAACTATTGCGATGGGGAAACGTTACAGCGCGGGTACACCTAACGACGCGTGGGACAAACGTTGCAGCTCATTGGTAGGAAAAAAAACCAATACCCCTAATGAGGGCTAACATTATTTATTGTCCACCTAATCTCGCCACTAAAACGTGCGGTCAGAGTATAGCGTGCTCCTCTTGGGTAATTAATATCGTTGATTGATATATTACGCTTACGCTAATATACTGGGATGCGTTCACGTTGGGTCAGGTTCGCATCAGATATCGGTTATGGGTGCTATCTGGGACAGCCCTGCATTGATGAGAGCCAAAAGCTCGAAACCAGTCTGCAGGTAGTCAAGCGTTCCTGAACCACTTAGGCGCATCTCGACGATTTTATTCGTCTATGCGAATTATTGAAGACAGCAATGCAGCTGCTGCTCAACGATTTTATCAAGAAAGATTTCCTCAAAGACGAGGTCCCCAACGTGTCCGTGTTTGCTAATACGTATCGTAGATTGAGCGAAACTTGCAATTTACATCAAAGAGATCCTAGAGCAAACAATCAACAACATCGCCCTGAAGTGGATCGGCATATCCTTGAAAATTCCGAAGCAGAGCCCACTAGTAGCACCAGAAAAATAGCGGAACACCCAGTTTGAAGAAGCACTTTCTGTCGATTCATCCTAAATGCCGACATAGGCAATCCAACATTCTTACGTAGGATTTTGTGGACTGATATTAATCGAACTTTTCTCGTGAAGAGATTAATAACTTCCATAACCTGCACTATTGGGCAAACGAAACCCCAATGTGAAGAAACAAATTTCCTTCCAACGGAAATTCAGTGTAAACGTGCAGAGTTCTGGTCGGTCCATATTTTTTGCCCAACAATTTAAATGGTGAAAACTATCTAGAATTATTAATAGATAATTTACCCAATATTTTGGATGAAGTTCCTTTAGATGTAAGAGGAAAAATCATTTATCAAAACGACGGATGTCCTGCCCATTTCCGTATAACTGTCAGAGATTTTTTAAATAATCAATTTCCAGGAAGACGGATAGGGCGAAATAATGGACCGATATTATGGCCTCCTAGATCTCCAGACCTGACCAGCGTCGACTATCATGTCTGGGGACGAATGAAGGAACTGGTGTATGAGGAAATTCGGGATCGAGAACATCTTATTCGAAAAATCAATGAGGCAGCAGATCAAATGAAGGCGAAAATTAGGCTAGGCATAACCACGACAGAGATGCGACGAAGATGTCGACTTTGTATTAGAAATGGTGGTTCTCATTTTGACCAAGAGATTTCATAAATAGATTCCTGTTCATAATTTTTTTCTGTTGAATCTTGCAATATTTTCCGCGAGACATTATTTTTTTATTAAAATAAGTATACTACATTATTAAGAAAGGACCAGAAAGTTTCCGAAGATATTCGAACGAATAATCCATCTGCATACCTCATCTTATTCGTATAAATTTGTTGATGGATATTACAATTAATCGTATTTTGAATTCTAATGAGCCACTATTTTTTCACCATACGTTGATCCCATTATACATGTTCAATATCGAATGAAATACGTATTCAACTTTATAGGAAAAAGAGATAAAATCAGACAAAATGTTTGACACAACTTTTATTATAACTTGTGGAACTATTCATCAAATTCGGTCAAATTCTGAAAATCGATGATATCTCGGAAAGCGTAACACTTTGTATAATAGTATACATGGAGTGTATAGTATATATGGAGTCCCACAAGGTACAGTCCTAGGTCCTGTTTTATATATTATATATTTGAATGATCTGCTTCAGCTGAATTCGAAAGGAGTAATATTATCCTTTGCAGATGATATACTTCCATTATCTATGAGTGTAACTCTTGGGACGAAATAGAACAAACTGCTATAAAGCAGACATTCAAATGATTTTTGATTGGTTCGATGAGAACAAACTGACAGTCAACGCTATGAAGACAAATAAAATTCTACCCTTCACATCTTACAAACCATTTCTGTCTAATTATGATACTATAATGTAAATAATCATGCAAATGAACTTGTACAATCAGTGAAATACCTAGGTATCTACATTTATTCCTTCTTAAGGTGGGATGTACAAGCTCGCAATATTGTGAACAAATTGAGAGGTATGATTCATAGATTCAAACAATTAGTTGGATTCCTAACACCACACCATCTCAAAACTATACTACGCATTCGTAGAATCCATTCTTCAATATGGTATTATAGGGTGGGGTGATATTAGGAGAAATTATTTGCAACCAATCGATGTTATTCAAAAATGGATAATTAAAATCATACTCAAGAAACCTCGCAAGTATCCCTCAAACCAGTTATTCATGGATGCCAAGGTGATGGACATACGACAACTCTTCTGTTTCAGAGCTCTCTGTTTCCTTCACTCCAATAGGCATATTTCAAATAATATACCACATACCTACGGTACCAGGCAAAATATATCATCTGCCATTTATGTCCCTGCTACTCAGAAATCGCTTGGTCAAAGAAATTTCCGCTATACAGGTTCAAAATTGTTCAATAAATTACCTAATGACTTAAAACAACTTAACTCGGCTCGTCTATTCAAAGCCAAACTGAAAACTTGGATATTGTCTAATGATAGAACATTCTTCACCTATATGTCATTAATCCAATCTAGAAAATATCTACTTCAGAAAAATGTTATAACTTTTAATTTCTTTCTTCTCATTGTTTCATTATTTACCTCTTTTGTACGTTTCAGAATCATCTTATATCAATTATCTTATTTTCTAATAAATAGTTAGGTAACAGTTACATAATGAGATCATATTTCTAGTTTTAGTATTGATTATTTCTTCCATTTATGTCTCTACTATAGTCGAATGATTCAACTGAACACATATTCTCAATAGTAAACTTCAACAGATTGTTAATACCCGAAGACAAGTTCTTAAATGAACTTAGTCGGGTACTGCTCTCTCCTGTTTATTTACTGCTATATTTCTTTCCGTAACGAACTATTTAGTTTTCACTGTTTATTGCATGAACACTATCTGTAAAAATAATGTACTGTAACCTTCTGTAAAATAAACATTCATTCATTTATGGTTAAATGTGTTCAAAATCATCCCACCTATCACATTCTTTCAGATACACATTATTCATAATTCTGAATTTTGAACTACCCTGTATTCGTCCAAATTCAATATCATTAGATAGTGAATCAAAAGTAAAGATGGGGACATGTGAGCCGTTCTGACCAATAATTAATAGTTTCGACACAAAAATTCTAAAGTTGAAGAATTCTCGATTTTGAACACCCTATAACTCTGTAATCATTCCCGCTAGATCCTGAGTGTGATGTATCGATGGAATCAGATCACAAAAGAAAATCAGAAAATGCAATAAAATACAGGGTGTCCTATAATAAAAAGTATAATTTTGATACGCCACGCATATTTGAGTCACCCTGTATACGCAAAGAAATTTAGAATAATTCTGCTCATGAGCCTAGACCATCAAGATATTTTTATTCAACTATCTCAAAGAGCGAAGCGGTTATCTCCTCCCATTTCAATGACTCACCCTGTATACGACATTTTTGGCAGGGTTTTTGCATGTGTACTGCAAATTTTCTGAGAATTCCGATATACAGTGTCATTCATATAAAGTCGGCATCATATGGGAAACACTTTTATTAATGACTTATTTTGAAATTCGAGTTGGACGTCAAGTTTTGCTTCAAAAAAGATGAAAAATGGCCTACTCAATTGGGGTCACGTGACTTTCGCTACATGTCAAAAGTGACATTTTTTCAAATTAATCGCTGAAAGTAGGCTTATTTGTTCGAATATCGAAAAAGTTTACTTGAAAAAGTTGTTTCTATTTCAATTTTACATATGTGACTCGGATATTATCTTTCTATTACATTTTTCAAATTTCGATATTTTTTTAAAATTTTCAAAATTTCTGTAGGTAATATTAAAAAAAAATTAAATTCGATAAGACTACTTCATACCAGTAGCTCCATCATGCTACTAAGTTTAATTTACTAATTATCACTAATTAACGACAAAAATATGATTTTCTTCGGTAAATGATAATCTCCGCTTCAAAATTCTGTTAGGTATGTTTGATGCAAACATAAAATCAAAATGCTGTTATGTTTGAGTCAAGCATTTAAAAACGAAATTCATTTGAATTCATTTTTTCAGTACTGAAAAGATCAGTTTAAATGAATTTCTTTTCTAAATGCTAGACGATATATTAACTTTGCATCAAACATAACAGAATTTGGAAGCGGGTATTATCATTTTCTGAAGAAAATCATATTTCTGTCCATAATCAGTGATAATAAGTAATTGAAAGTAAGAAGCATGAAAAAGTTACTGGTATGAAGTAGTTTCGTGAAATTAACAATTCTTCAAATATTTTGAAAAATTAAAAAAAAATGAAAATCTAAAAGTTGCAATAGAAGGATCAAATTCAAGAAGCATGTGTAATTGAAATAGAAGCAACTTTTTCAAGTAAACTCTTTCGATATTCGAACAAATAAGCCTACTTTCAGCGATCAATTTGAAAAAATGTCACTTTTGACATGTTGCGAAAGTCACGTGACCCCGATTGAGTAGGCCATTTTTCATCTTTTTTGAAGCAAAACTCAACGTCCAACTCGAATTCCAAAATGAGACATTAATAAAAGTTTTTCCCATATGATGCCGACTTTATGAATGACACTGTATATTGTGTGACAGTTTCAAAATAATCATTTAGAATAAACTCATTGGAACTTAGGTATTATCTGAATTCTGGTCTTCGCATAAAAAGTAGGACCACATATTTCGACACTGCCAGATTTGTAACTAGTAATTACCTAATGAGATTCAATATATGATCAATGACAACAGTATTCACATTCACAGAC